TGACTATTTGTATGTCAAAATTTGCACTGGGTGATAGCATTTCTTTATTTTTAAGTAATGTGAATATGAAACTGGCACCTAAACACAAGACTATAATTTTTACTGAAAATATTACCAACTCTTGTTTTCAACCCTCCACTGTTGGGTCATGCGTGTATCTTTTTAAGTCGACTTGTTCCAGTGCTAAATGATACTCAAGGGTTATCATGAATCATCCAACAGTTGCTTCAGTTTCCCTTTGTGTGTACAGTACATCATTACTAAATTTATCTATCTTCCTCTTGTCACTGATCTTATCAGGACTACAGAGATCCCAGAGTTTCTAATCCTTAGCCCTTAACTTAGCAGCGTAGCATTCACAAGCACTATTGCAATTTTAACCTTTGCACCTTTACTATAAAACATTGTTGAAAGTTTCATACAAAGCAACCTTCTCTCTTTTTAGATACACAGTTTTCCACCATTACATGCCATTTCCACACAGCCCACATACTTAAACTTTATTTCTACAATTCAGTTTTTTCCTTTTTCTGCATAACATTTTGATCTGGTCTGCAGTTAGCAGACACTTATCAACCTTGACAGTTCAGAAAATGGAAAGAGATTTCAAGTTCTCTTTGACAGTAATTGTGAAATATATAACTCACTTTGTCATTTTCTCAGAGAGGGCTTATCATTATTTATGAAACAAAACAGAATAGAAAAATGTACCTTGTGAGATAAACTCAAATTAGTAATTTTCCAAGAGGAAATTTGCAATTTGTGAATTAGAACTCTGTAATTTTCAAGAATGGTAATTCTGTATTTTGCACTCGTGTGGATTTAATGAATCAATGCATTGGCTAAGTGAAAGGAAAATTGCACCATTAAGCAATAAAATGTAAACCTAAAAAAATAATCCAGCGCTGAAGCCATGCAGTTTTAAATCATCTGTCTACAAAGTGAAATGCGTGACATGACACTCAACTTTAGGGTGTGAGTTGAGTGTATCTAATAGGGGAAAACTGTGTATCTGAAAAGAGAGAAGACCGCTTTGTACCAACAATATTTTCATAGCAAATTTGAAAACGTGAAAATTGCAATGGCACTTGTGCATACTATTTTAAGGACCAGAAATTCCATGATCTTTGTTGTCTGATAAGATCACTGACAAAAGGAATATGGCTAAATTCAATGATATACTGTATACACAAAGGGAAATGTGAAGCAACTGATGGATGATTCGTGATAACTCATGAGTATCATTTAGCACTGGTACAAGTTGACTTAACAGGCACATGCATGACTCAACAGTGGAGGATCAAAAACAAAAATAAAAATAGTAAGATGAAACACCGCTCAAAATAATTTGTAAAAACTCATTTAATCAGTAGCATTTACTTATACATCAACCTCCCACTCCCCCTTGTGTATTTACAGTTTGACCTCCTCCCCTCCCTCATTAACAACAGTCTGCCTACCACCCCTACCTGAGTACTAGTGGCCTACCTCCCCCCAATAAAATGGTTAAAAAAAGTAAAATAAAAAAAAGGTCCACAAAATGGTCCAAAAAAATAATCCAAGGGTCCAATAGTCCAGTCCACAATGTTTTCAATACCAATCCGGATATCCTATACCAATCCACATAGTTGTTTGCACACGTGCGTGAAAAATTTACCGATTTTTATCTTTTATCTTGATTTTAGAGTAAAAACTTGCGATGCATCAATCGCTTTTTTCGTTGAAAATACGTTATTTCAATGGTCTTCTCTCCGTTCCATAATTCCATCGAATGGGGTCACTTGGTTAAACTCAATGTATCGTATTCCTGACCTTTCTCGCTTTACAAAGTTATCGGCTCTTTTGGGTATTAATAGCTGATTGAAATGGTAAAATGCTCTCTCTTTGAATAAATAAATTTTTTCTTCAAAGTTTCCACGATGAGCAGATCAAACCTATTTGGATATTTCTGCAAGGAATACCACGATGAACTATTTGGAGATGTTTATCATCATCTGTTGTGTCACTGCAAGAACTGATAAAATCATAATCTTCGGATCTACAGAGCATAAATTAGTGATTCAGACGGTTAAATGTACTCTCTTTGAAGGAAAAATTTCTCCTCTAAGTTTTCATTGTGCGCTGATATATATCACACCTTATGAGATAATTCTGCAAAGAAAAGCTCCGTTTGTGCACGCGCCCTCCTGAAATGATTGTGAGATATTTATCGTCAATTGTAAAGTGGCAGCGAGGAACATCGGGTCAAAGTTGGGGCAAGATCTGATTTCTACTGTTACCATCTCTAACTCGCTCATTTCGAGGACAGTTTGTGGCTTCTCCTCTTTTGGGACGCGGTAGCCACAAAAACTGCTCGCAATTTGCTTAACCTGTGGTGCAGATACGAATATTCATCGATCACAATCACTTATGAAAAGAAAATACCCGAGCTGGTTACAAAATTATGAAAACCCGAGGATGTAACTCGGTGGATTCAAAACACCCCAGCAGGTTACAAAATGGATTTATGAAGTGTAAACGGAAAGAGTGAATGAAATTACGCTTTGATCTAATACAAGCTGCAAGCAACTATTTATACGCTAACCATGTGGTTACCTGAATGCTTTTGGGCACATTATGGCCATTATGCAAGACTCCGTTTCGATACGAAAACACAACTCGGACGCTTCGTGCAAACTGTGATGACTGATTCATCAATTTCCAGCCTAAGAAGATAATATCGTATCACAAACATGTTCATCATAACCTGGGTATCTAGAGCGTTTCACTCACCATTCTCGCAGTAAGTCCATACGTTTGATTGCTCTGCACTTCTGAAGTCCGTAAACGTATAGATGATTGACAGGTTCTCAGATGACAACTATGTAAACAAAGTAACCGCGTGGAACATGGGGGTCGCGGACCCAACCTCGTTTCATTTTAACCTTTGGAAAGACCCGTTAGGGTAAAGTCACGCATCTCCGACAAAAGTGCGATTCTTTTTTAAAAGAACTGAGCAAATAAACTCTGCGGTATAGAGAAATGAAGATTAAAGGTGTTAACCGTCAGTCGTAGAATGGCCCAAATTTTAACCGTTAGCCGTAAAAGCCATCACTCTCCTTCGCGTTTTTCCCGACTTGCACCACGACTAATACTCCTTGCTCTCTCTGGTCGCTCTTATCCTCATTCCAGCCTATTTTTACCCTTTCCACACGAAATTGAATTAAAATGGATTCTTCGTGTTCACGTAGCTTTAGCTCTAACTACTATTGCTCTGGAATGGAAAAATGTTAACCGTTAGCCGTAGATTAGCTAAACTTTTAACCGTTAGAAGTAAAAGCCATCACCCCATTGAGACCCTCGCAAGAGAAACCATGTTATTACTTGTTAATAATGTACATAAAAAAAATCATGAAATTTTGAAAGTGTACGCGCGCTATTTGTAATTGCACTCGTGTTAAAACTTTGCACTTACATGAGACATGCACTCATTTTTAGCCAACCAGAAGCGCGTAATTTTTTCATGTGCTTTATTATACATGGAACTTAATGCTTCTTGTAGTCAATTTTCCTCGCAATTCTCTTTCGGTTTGGCGTTTTCTACCAATCAAATTCACTACCTAGGACTTCACCCCATAACTTGTCAATTCTATGTAAAATAACCCGCATTTTGTCACGTATTCCACATACAAAGGGCAAAGTCCAGGTAGGCAGTAACCAAATAAGGAGCCCACGTCGTTATGCCCATATGAAATGATGATTCTTTTCTCTTCCTTCAATCCATCTTCACTTGACTGAAGAACGGAGACCGCAAAATATATTTGGTTATAGGCTATTGGAGATAGAATAGAGTATCAAAATCGTAATTAGATGAGAAATTACGTTCAATCAAAAGAATGTAAAAGGAAATTGATATTGAGTTACTTTGACCAAATTTTAGGCATTTTGAACTCTATTACATGTGCTGCTCATGCTCAGATTTCAGCCAATGAAATATTGTGCTGAAACGGATTATCACAGAGATCTTGTTCCCCATCCGTAAGGCATTAGAGATCGAGACCTCTGGGAACGAGACTGAGTTTTTTCCTAGAGCCGACGAATGAGAATTCCAGGTTATGCACGCAATCGCGCATGATGCCATAACTTCTCTCTCTTCCTTCTAATTGCGTAATGACTAGACTTGTGCCCGCAATGCAGTTGGCCGCGCAAGCTAAAAGTAGCACCTTGTCCATAAGTCGTACCGTCACGTAATAACCTTTTTTATCACATAAACTACGGTGTTATACAGGGATTTCCGGGCCTGAGAAAAGACGTAACAACGCAAGTGAAAAAATATCGAATTTTTTTCCACGTGTGTTGATATAGCCAATCAGCTGCTGTACGTCACTCGCATTTGGCGCCACTCGGTCAGGTTGATAAAGGAACGGCAAAGCCTTCACGGCTCTCAGCACAAGGTAGTTTGTTAGAACTTTCTCGGATTATGGCGGCCAAAACACTAAAAAAATCGTATTGCTGACAGACAGTGAATACAGTAACCGAAAGTTACGTATTCAGTGGCTTTGGTGTTGGCATTTTTCGCGGCTGAGAATGAAAATCGACAACTGTCGGTAAGGACAAAGTCAATAAATGAGAATTTCGTAAATTGAAAATTACGACCATCGTTGTTTTTGTAATCATGATTCAACGCATTTTTTCATCTTAAGAGTTAGCGCCAACGCACTCTACGATTGTTATTCGGGGATTGTCGATTCATTTATTTCATTCTTTATTGTAGTCGGCTTTTCTTCTCAGTCTAGGGCTATTGTGTTTATATGATAAACAAAATAGATAAGGAATTTCTCTTCGACATTTCACTCGTTCGCTGCGCACAGTCGTGAGCTATCGAGTTAAACACTCGAAGAGAAATCCCATATCTACGCACGCCCATGTATTCATGATTCTCTGTTTATTTTTTGGCTTGATGGGTTACCATTTTACTGAGTGTTGTGTCTCTACTTTAAATCTTTCTGGTCTTGTTTCAGACTGTCGCTCTGCTCATATCTATCAGTATGATCCTTGCCAAACGGGTTTCAATTTCTTCTTTAAGAAGTGGGGTGTGTTTGGTAAGTGAATTATTCATTTTTTCCCTGAATGTTATTCATGGTGGTATTAGGCTTTTTTGATCGTGACCAGAGTTACCAGACCCTCTTTATAGAGGATTCGGGAGGATATGTAGAGGATTGTTAATGTTAGCAGGTATTTCAGAAAACATAAAAGACCATTAGTGATTTTTATCCTCGGCTCCGCCTAAAAACAAGAAAGTATGCTAACCATCCAAACCGAGAAATTTTGGTTGTGACATCAACTTCAGTTAACTTTCCTTTTCAATTGAGACATATTTTCGAGAAAATCGCTGTCTTCTCTCAACTAACCATTATAATCCACAAATTCAGGAATACTTAGGATAGCTTGTCACTTCACACCCTTTTATTCAGTCTTGGGTGGACTGGTTTCAATTTTTATTACATCCATTTTGAAATCACTGGTGATCCTTGCAATCTGATTAGCTCTCATCTGTGCGATTTTTTCACGATTTATTGCACCATATTTTGCTCTAGATCGCATCATTTTCTCAGCCAATGACAAAAGTTTTACTCAATCACAACAGTCAAACAGATTCGATGCTTGTTTAAAGTAGGCAATCAAATTGCAGGAAAATTAATGAAATACAACTTTTGCAACTTTTTACAAACCAGCTCAGAACTGGATCAATAAAGTATTTGTACGGAATAAAAAGTACTATATTTCAGCGATTGAAATTTGCTATTTCAAAAGCGATGTAATAAAGTGGTAAATTATCTTCGTGTTGTGAAATTTTGGTCTGAAATCATACTTCCAATTTCAAATGAAACTCGCGCTGCGCGCTCGTTTGATTTTGACATGACGCGTATGGTTTCAGACCAAATTGCACTCCACACAGTTCAATTACCATTATTTATTATTTCTATTTTCCCCTTAGTTGGCCTGTATTGTGGTGGCTGTGTTGGTTGTGTTCTGGTTGCCGATGATTTCATTCTCGAGACCAACTCCAAAAGAGAACATGGAAACTACTCCTGTATCAGGTAAGAACGCCCGTGTTTAAATCACCGAACCCGCCAACGAGTTCAAAGCTACTGCAGATTTACCTTATGTCAAAGGTCTGTCCGAACAGCTTCGCTGTTGCCCACAACAACAAGGCGTACGCACTGTTTTCAAGTCGGAGACTACGCTAAGATCTCAGCTATTACGACCAAGAGACGCTGTCGACCCGGCTAAACAAGATGGCGTAGTTGACAGGATTCCTTATGAATGCAGCAAGGTGTACATCGGAGAGACTGGAAGACCCATGCAAGACAGAGTTAAGGAGCACGATCGAGACATCCGACAGCAAAATAGCAACATCAAAAGTTATCATCTTGTTTACTTTTTGGAGGGTATTTCATATAATATACACAGTTTTTAAACGAAGGTGTTTGGCTGATGTTCTGCTGCTTATTAAATTTTGTTGCGCCTGCGATCTTGTGGGCATTCTAATTAAGGCCTTGTCCATTTGAAAGTGTAATTTGATTTCTTTACTTAGGCGACCAAACTGAAATCAAGTGCAAGCCTCACAGGTAAGGAGAGGCATAGCTGATGCTCAATTGCTCTAATGATAAGACGTGGTTTTGTATCCAGTCACCAACCGTGTGCTTAATTAACTACGGGCTTGATGTTGATGCTATAAAGGTCGGTGCACGTATCGCTTGGTCGTTCGTGCAAGGATCTGGGCTCTGAAAAAGTTTGCACAATAAGGATGATGGTAATAAATGTATCCTGTATGCTCAAATGTCTTTAGATGCTGAATCAAAAGCGAAATTCATCGACAGATGCGATCAATCAATGCGGACTGATTTTTTTAATTGTAGGAACCATTAACATGCCTTTTCTGTCTTTTAGACCCGACCAGGATGGTATAAAGCAAATTACTGACCATTATGGGCCGTTAGACCGTATCGAGAGTAGGAAATGTGACGACAATCATTACTCAGACATCTGTGCATTTGGAAAAACAGAATCTAGAAACCAGGCCCTGTCGTGTGACCTCAAGGTCTGTGGCAAGTCCGAGGTTGAAATAGCTTCTGTTGATCCTAAAATGGGAAAAGCCGTGACGGACTGGAAATTGTTGCCAAAGGACCAAATTGATGTAACAGTTCAAAAGGCCGTCACATCCAATTTGGAAAGAGGATTTAACTTTCTTTTTTTAAGATGTGGAAGCATTTTCCAAGTGCTCAGCTTTCCTCCTGTCTTTAGGAAAGTCGACGGCGGCAAAAAAAGAACTAAAATCAATTTGAATGTGATATTGTTAGACTCCATCTCCAGGCCGCATTTTTACCGAATTCTTCCAAGGGCTGTAAAGGCTCTGCATAACATTTCACATGATCCTAAGATTCAAGCTACCACCTTGGACTTTGAACTTGTTCAGGGCATAGGACAACAGACATTTGAAAACATAAGGCCGTTCTTCTGTGGCGTCCTCGAAGGTGAGTGGAATTAACTCCATCAAAAACTGAATGGCGTAGGTTATCTTATCTTAGTGGCTATGACTTCTCTATATTGTAATTATGAGAACATTTCTGAAACGTTTTCAGACGACAACAAAGTTACTGCCTCTTCGAAAAATACCAGAGCTTCCCTGGGTGTGGAGGTGTTGTATGGGACCTTCAAGAAATGGGGCTACCAGACGTTATTTCAAGAGGATCTTTGTTGGTACGATGTATGGGGAAGCGTGTTAACAGACATTGAAAAGAGAGCAGTGCCTCAGTCAGATTCTGAGTTCAAGGAGAGGTAATAACCGGGTCTATGTTGCATGTTTGATGCTGAAATGATGCTTTGTTTGATACAAGTGTTATGTAGCTTTTTAATGCAATTTATCTGCCTGTTTCTGCGGAGCACAAAGGTTTTCCTAACATAATTAATTATACTCTAATTGCAGCTTTAAGATCTTGCCCCAATGAAAAACTTTGAATACGCATTTGGTATAAAGTTATAAAATGTTTGTTTAGAGGTTGACTGATACCAGGCAAGTTAAGGTTCTTTGAATATTGTTTTATGGGCGGGTGTCTCTTTGAGTTTATACAACAAGCACAGATCTTTAGGGCAGAGTCAGTCTAATTTTGTCAAGAAGCACAGTGCAATGGCTATATGAACGATTTAACCACTTATGAGAGCGTCTTTATTCGAATTCCTTTAAATATAAACTCAGAACTTAGTGTTATGCACAGTGTCCGAAAATACACAGATTTCTAGAAAGAACTGAAAAAAAAGTAAAATAGTCCAGTGGTTATCTAAATTATCCTCACAAGTTAGGACATATTTCATCACAGGTGGAAGGAATTTGAAGAAAAGGTGGCTAAGAAACAAGTTGACCATCAGGGTATTACACATTTTTCATGCACGGCGTTAGACAAAATGCTTCGCAGGACCAATCACTACGATTATCCCCAGAAAATCTGCCTAAATGGCAAGTTTTATAGTTGGTATTTCATGGACTACATAACAAAGGTGTACACTGCTCTGAAAAGCGACGAAAAAGCCAAACCTTTGCTATCCTACATGCATTTTAATACCGGACACGAGACTAATGGTAAACGGATGATCAACATGGACGCCAACATGGCGAAATTCATCATAAATATGGCCTCTTTTTCTGATACTCTAACGTTGATATTATCTGACCACGGTCACACAAGGACTCCGTTTCGTAACACAAAAGAGGGAGGAAAAGAGTTGTACGATCCATTATTCTTTATGATTGTTCCTGATGGCGTTAGGGAAAAACTTGGTCCACAAAGGATGAACGCTCTAGTCACCAACCAAAAGCGCCTTTTCGTACTTAAAGATGTACACAAAGCATTCATGAGTTTACATGATCGTCAGAAAATGGACTCTGTGGATTATTCAGTGACAGGAATTTTTTCAGAGATTCCAGCAAACCGCACATGCGCAGACCTCGAAATGCTCCCCGCTGCCAAATGTAAATGTGAAGGTTTTGATGAAGAAATTGAAATAAGAGAAAACGCAGATGACCAAAAGTGGCTAGCAGAATTTGCTGTGGGATACATCAATAATGCAATACAAAGACAACACAGGGAAGGTAAGATATTAAGAGAATATAAATAAGAAAACCAAGTGGAACTAAGCAGGGTGTAACACTGCTTTTATAGCTGATGGGTTTTACACTATACGTCCTACGTCGGTGTGGTTAAAGAAATCAGTTAATTAATATTTTACCATCTTTTTGCGAACTGTAATGGCTTTCATTACCCATGTAGGAATTTTAACCAAAAGTATATGCTCTCAATGGAGATATTTGGGGTCTCACAGGGACAGCAATTATCTCCTTGGGTATACTATATCTACTTTCACAAAGTTGTTAATCTCATGATACTTAGCACTGGCGCCAAATTTGCGTCAGATCGCCGATTTGAGTACAATTATTCCCTGATCGGTTTCGTCATAGACATTCTTTTAAATGTTGAAGTGCTTTTATTCATTTTAGGTTCTTCGTTTGCTTATTTTGGATATGATGATCATTAACCGGTAATTGAGTATTTTACATCTGTCCCATGCTCTGTTTCGTTGCAAACCCTTAATGAGCAGATCTACAGAGAACAAAGGTTTGTTCCAATCCAAGAAATATCATGAAAGGGTTTTGAGAGGGTCTAAAAGAGGTGATGGTTTTAGCTATCTCCCAAGGAATACAACATTTGGAACTGTATTTCCACATTGCTAGCTTTGTGTGTAATTCCACAGAACAGGCCTGTTCCAACCCAAGGAATACAATGAGAGGGGTTTGAGGGTTCAATCTTTGCTCATGGGGAATTAAGCTTAGATAGACTTCTCTCTCCTCTTTTCAGGAGGTGTCAACTCATATGGCTATGGAAACTGCGAACGTTTGGTTGGCAAATCGTTTTCAAAAGTGATCAAACGTTTCCGAGGAGAATTTATCATGACGAGCATGGACATCCACGTGTTCCCTCCAACCGGTTACAATGAGGATGAAGTGTTTAGAGTAACTGTCAAACAGTTCGCTGAACCGAAAGATGGAGTGTTTTTTCTAAATTCCATAAGAGTGACAACTTACGGCAAGTTTGAACTTTGTGCAGACAAGTCAGTCGATATTAAGCTCTGCGCATGCGCCAAAAATCAAATCACTAGGAAAGAAGTGTTGTTTGAGAATGGCGTTCCAAGCAAAATGTTTGGTTCGACGACAGTTGTAAAGAACCTGGACTCCAACTGTTTGTTGTTCATGAGACGAGATTACGGGTCGTTTTCTTTTGCATTAGAAGTAGCCAATGTTTGCACAAATACAACTTATAAATTTACGATGACAGGTTCAACGGATCAAAGAATTTTCACCAATACTTTGCCTATCTCTCTTGAGTTACCTCCCAAAACCTTTCATTTTCTAACATCTGTGACCAAGTATATCGTGAAGGTAGATACGGACCTTAATCTAAAAGCAAGTATACAGGTTCAGAACAGGGAATCGGATACCTTTCACAGTTTAGGAACTGTTGAAGTTTCGTAACGGTTAACATGCTGTTATTTGGAACATTTGAGTTTTACCACAATTGCATTAATGGTGAAATCTGATTGGCCACTTCGCTGTTGTCGATAAGGGTTCAGGCAACGCTGCTCTCGTCAAAGTGTCAAGCAATGGTCATGCGCTGAAAGAATCGTTTTATTTGACGTCGAAAACTAGTGGTTTAGCGAGGTCTGTACTCTTGTTGCAGACTCACTCGGCCACATCTCGTGAATCCACACTATTTTGACCACTGTGATGACGAGTATCGCCGTCAATAAGAATACAGACCATGTTAACCCATTGTTACAAATTTTCTTGGATATGTTGAGTTTAAAATACCGCAAAAATAGATAAACATTTCATAACTTAGTGTCATGCACGTGTCCAAAAATACACAGATTTCTAGAAATTAGTAAAATAGTGTGGTTATTCAAATTTCCCTTACAAGTTGGAGGATATTTAATTACGCTAGATATTTATAAATTAAATTATTTTAAGACTCCTTTGTGGTGAGTGTTGTTGTAGGAAAGAATTTCAGTATCTATCGAAGAATTTTGATTAACAGAGTGAATTGTAATATATGAATACAAAATTTAAGTATAGGCCGATTGGAGTCTGGCTAAGAATAGTTGCTCACGATTTTATTTTGAGGTCTAGACAATTATTTTACTTCATAAATGCCTTTATATCGTGCGGTTATCATGCTTCTTTTTTGACAGGGAGTGAGTGGGTGGGGGTCCTTTAGATCATAACCTCATTTCGCTCACCACTTAGGTTTCATCATTTATTTCCTATTCACTTTGCGTTTATTCTTCTCTGCATATTTCTCTCTTCCATTTCTTGTAAACTGAACTGAGTTAAATAAATAAAGCCTGAAAAAATAAATCATCTTTCTACTACACGTTTTACAACGGTAGCTAAAAATGGTTCATCGGTTTTGTTTTATACTTGTGATCCTAACATATTGAAAGCTCTTGATACAACTTTTCTCGAAACGAGTTATCGGGAGCGCTTCCAAAGAAGTATGGAAGGCCTGTGGTTGAATACCAAGCATATTTCTCTTACTTAATTAATTGTCTTTGAGTATGGCAATAATGCCTTGTGATTATACCCTTTTCCTCTTCTCATATTTTCGTTATCTGCAAAAAGGGAACACCTGATGGCAGGTGAAGGAAAAAGGAACTGCTTTAACGTGGGAGAACGTATTTCTATAGGAACTTTAAGTCGTTTTTACACATTTACACATCTTTCTTCCGTTGTTTTCTTAGACTGAGTGTAAGGCTGGTGGTTTTGCGTGTGCTTTGCGATAGACTTGTGCGCACACAAAAAGGTGAAGCACACCTCTCTACTCAACACTTAGCACTCATAAAAAGGTAAAACGCCCTCCAAACCGCTATAAAATTTACCATCGTCTCGGTCTATTCCGTATGGGGGAAAATGCTGGTTTATTTCATGAACAGGGGCTGGTAATCGAAAGGCTTGAAACGCCATTGACGCGATTTCATAATATGAGTGCGGCAAGCGATTGGGTGTGCGTGTGTGAACGTTGTTAAGTAAATGTTGATTGATCAAAGCAAAACAAAAGGTCACAAGACATCTGGTCAGTTTTCTACAATTCTCTTCCACCCATCTCAGTTCATTTGATCTTTCCTTACCTCATTTTATCACACACATTCTTTCTCGATCAGCATCTCATCATATCTTACTCAGCTCTAAACTAAACTTAACTGATACTACCCACCCTAACAGTCTTAGCACACAAAACCCCATTTTAACCCACCTAATCCAACCATACCTCACCCACAGTACCCATCTCTCTGTCTGCATTTCTCCATCTTACTTCCCCCCATCCCAACTCGCCCTACCCCAATCATCGATCACGACGTGGCTATCCGCCGGTTTCAGCAGTAGCATTCTATTTTTATTGCCTGATAAATGAAGACTCGTAACATGAAATACGAATCAATACCTAAATTTAGTTCGTTCGCAGAAAGAAACACACATACACATGCGCTCTTTCTGTCGGGTATTCTGAGGGTTAGTGATTTGTAGGGTTATCTATAGATATATTTACCTCCGTCCATGGGATAAATCCTGAAAAATTGGAAATCAATCTTAAAAATCGGCTGATTTAATATCAGAGGGGAATTAAAATGTCATTTTCCAGAGTCTAATTTGGTTTTTTTTAGCTTCTTGTGTGTACTTTGCACCTTAGGATAAAATACTATTTCCCAGGCTTCCCCAACACGTGCAGTCCAGTCAAGAGCATTATATGGATCAGGAAATTCTGTAGTTAATCTTCCTCCAAATGTATTTTCAATCCTCCTCTTTGTCAACTCTACATTGTCGTTTCGTTCTCGAAATCTCTGCTACAATGTTCGTAAAAATCTGCTCCATCGAATTAAGTGTTCAGGACTTACAATAAAAATATTATCTTAGTTTCCTTTCCTTTGGATAACGCAAAAGTTCGCCTAGAATTTTAAGCGACCCCTTTTCATGTGGTCTATGACGTCACCTATGCACGCAACATCTCTCAAAAGACGTCACGAGAGAAACATCTGTGAAAAAGAAATATATGAAATCCTAACACGACCAATAGCAGTTCGGCAGTGAAATTTACCTAATTAGTAACTGGTGTGAAAATAATCTAATGATTAATTGGTTCTCCGGGATAGGGTCATTAATATTTGCATAAATTAAACCATTATTAGAGACATCTCTCGGAAGGCCCTTATATGTATATTATCAGTCTGCTAAACGAAAACAAAAAAAAAAAAAAAAGCGCACGGATATTTCCTCGAGGCTTGAAATAACGCAACAGCCGATTATCCTTCAAAGTCACTGCAGTGATCCATTGAGAGCGGGCTGTGGCACAACCATCGCAGTGTCATTCAATATACTCCCGGGCACCTGCGAGTTTCGTTCCGTTGTCATCGAAATATCTTCCGGCAGCACCGGTGTGATTTGCAAATTACGTTGATATTATTGAAGTTTTGAAGCTTACAAGACGATCTTTGATGGGCTGATAAACGCCATTTTCAGTTCGATGGTTGCTACGAGCTACAGCAACCAATTCAGATTTTCGACGATTTTCGCTAGGTTATTTTATCTGTTAATTCTTCAGGTCGTTTCGGAGGTAAATCCGAGGTGATAAAAGCGACTGCACAAGCTAAGACAATTCGTAGCGCGGAAAGTCGGTTATTGGCAGAAGTTTTCTCATTGATTACGGTGGTTTTAAATCGACTCGCTAATTAGTGGTGGCCGATTACATATCATCTTCGACAAAGTTTCGCAGCAATCATGCAAGCAAACCGGCTCGTGGACTGCACATTAGTCAAAGTGAACCAGGGATTTCAAGAAAAAATACGGGGAATTTAGACTTCCAATAGCGCCTTTATTTGTCATGGAGGCGTTACATCTGATCCATAAACTTGTCCCTGGTCGCCAAAGGAGGTATCGTCTCAGTTCACATGGGTTAAATCGAAGTGTAGACAGCATCCTGGATGGCCTTGATGGTTCGAAACGACGAGCATCATATCCGGCAAACTCTGAGGTAAATATGTTATTTTCTTTTTCTGCTAAAGAGTCACTGATATTGCAGTTCAAGTATATGATTGTCATATGTAGAATACTCCGCTGAAAGTCGAATTTAAACGCTATGGCTTTTACGATGGTTTGCTTGGTAAAAACTAAACCGCACGAAAAGTTATGAAAATCGGATTTCAGACGAGGGGCTTTTAATCTTGTAAGTTATTTGTCTTGTTGCCATTCTGTTATAATTTCAGTTTCCAAAATCTTAAAATATGATATGCATTTTTTAAGCATGATATCTATTGCTCTGAATTGGTTTTGCGTCTGTCGGCTGGTTAATTTGAACGGATTATGGTTGGTCTTATCAAACGCGATTAAGAAAACTCGCTTCCCTGTGAAAAGTCAAGATTTTTATCATCTTTATAGTGGAGTGCAAGCAGATATTCGCACGCTGGTGATGAATCGTTTATTGAATTTTCTTGTGCGTATCTATGCGCTGTAATATACAACATCAGGAAAAGAACAAGCCTGATGAAGTGGGCGTTGAATTTACCTATGTCATACTCAGAAATAAAAACCACAAACTGAATGCGAAAAAAAAATTAGAACGTCATCATATTGTAGATATTACAAAATTGTTCCATATTGATCACCACCAAAATGGAAAAACATTAACTTCGGGGCCAAATTTATAACCAGATAGATGAAATTATTCATTGCCGTGAGTCTTTTCCTTGGAAGAAAACTATTTTTTGTTGCAATTTATGATAAGCAGGAAAGTGCACTACCAGTGAGTCTGATGTTTGAAATTTTTCGATGAAAATTGAGTAATATGAACTCGGTAAATGACCACACACAGAGAAAACTTTAAACTATTATGCATTTCACTTTATGATGATGTATATCTCCAGCGGTTTGAACGCATCAAACTGAACTCAGACGGAAGTCTTTGAATAGAACAGGTGGCCGTGAACTCGTCTTTGAACATGGCGTGCGCATTTACATCCAAACGATTCTATTGCCAAAAAATTGGATTCAGTGCTAAAAATATTTTTCAAGTCGTTGAATCGATGCTAGTGCACAATTTGAAACTTCGTGTTCAAACACTGAGATCAATCGACAAAGGAATCAGCTCTGAAATTTTTGATAATAAAACTGCTCGGTTCTGCCTTGTAATTTATTGATATTCTTTGTTGATATTCTAATGATGTGCCCTCTGCTTACTTATGCGGTCCTGACAATGAAGTTGTGGTTTTCAAACTTCCCAAAACCCATCGATCATTTCGTTCGCGTCTTTTTAATCTATTACCTCAGGGCGATGTTAGGTTTCCTATAAATTTAGGTTCTTTGGTCGCTAGCATAGTAAGTCAGTTGAATTCTCAATGGTCACGATTCACCCACAGTAAAACAAACTTTACTTCAATCGTTGGAGAAAAAAAAATATAGGGCATTTCGGACAATTTACTTCGACGATCGAAACTAAATAAAGCTGGCCTCTAGCCAGCCTTTTTTTGGAAAATCCACAATATTTCCGTTGTTTAACATGCCCAAACAAGCGAATACTTTCTATTCATCATGTTACGTATTGTGTTTGTGGTAGCACCTGCGTAGAGATTTTCGGTATATATTGGAGCCGTTTCAAATTAGAAGCTGATATTAGCGCCGAGGCTCAGACGGACCGATCATGATTGCGCGGCAAAGAGTCTTCAGACGATCACAAGCGTTTTCATTATTTCATTAACATTGTTTTTTAATACCACTGCGATCTTCTTTTGTTAAAATGTATTTTTTAATTGACTAACTAATATTGTGATCAGTTTTCTCCCATAGTCAACGCGCTTGTGGTCATTAAAAAATTCTGTAGAACTTCTTGAGGTTAAGATGCCATATTGATCTACACATCCCCGTTGATTTGAAGTAAAATTAAATAAATAAATACATGAAAATCAGCGAGCGACTCTGAATCCGTTCAGACGTTAAACGCACATTATGCTACAATTAAAGGTGTTTTAAGCGGCTGAAGTGTCACTATGGTAACTCACTGCGTCGGAAATGATATTTGAACGATTCATATACTTTTTAGTTGTGATTATAGATGAGAGCATAGGAAAGGAAAAACTCTAACAGAAGGCGCTGAAAAAGTAGGAGACACTTTTCAACTTCCTTAGCTGCGTTTAAGATGTGCAAGAGCACCTTTATTTTGTTTAACACTGCTCTGAGCGAGTTGAAAAGCTCAGGTGAAAGTTGATTTGGCCATTATGAGACCAAACGTTGAATATGCAGCTGTGTCACGATCGAATCGATACAAAAGCTATGCTCGAAAATACCAGTCGGTTGCAGCGTAATCGCTGCAACCATTTCCTCGATCAACTACAGTTGTGAAAAGATCTGCAAATCAGTAAATCAGCAATTTCAGGGGTTAGAAAATTATTTTATTTGGAGTTTGAGGCTTATCGAAGCCTCTATTAATAACAACGGAATCAAGAACCCCAGACTGAAAACAACGGAAGTATATGCTCAAAAATTGCATCAGCTTACGTAAACGGTTTGAACCGTATTGAATTTGCTTATCATTGGACAGGTTAGGTCGGGAATTCGAAATTGCTGTGAATGACATCATCTATTGTTATTTTATTGTTTGAAAGTCTAAATATAACTATTTAAATTTAGGATTATAAGGCTAAATATACTTCCGATATCCGTTGCAATAATTCTATTGGGGGGGGGGGACCCGACGATGGTTCCCTCCCCCTGACCCTTGAATACAACAAATTGGGGGATTAGGCTTCTTTTCACTTTATCAAGACTGCTCTACCTGGGTTCGATTTACTTGACCTGAGGAAGAGCGCTAGAGTAAATTAGGGTGAAGGGGGGGGGGGAGGGTTGAAATAAGATCTAGAGTGCCCTGTGGGGCTCAGCCTACGAGTTTTATTAAGCCAGAAGTCCCATACAGAACGAGTAGTTTCACAGACAGGCAGGGGAAGCTGTAGACGGGTGCGAGGTTAAATCCTGTATTCAAACAATCTGACAGTATGAACTTATCAGTGAGTGACCTACGAGTTAAGCTACCCCCTCTCCCCGCTTCCCGACTGAAATATATGTCTACATTTATTCTCACCGGTGGCAGTGAAACCTGTCCTAGGTATATTTTTAGAAATGACGGATGAAAAAGCTGCTTTTACCGCGTGACATCCACTTTTCAAGGCTTAATGAGCTCAAGTTTCCGGATCGTGCCAAAGTTATTTTGATGATGAAGGAAAAAGGTCACAAACCTAACTTCGAGTAAATTTATGACGCTACTAAGGAATTATAACGCGCTTTCTTCTTAACCTGAGGGGATCATTTTAAAAGGAGGTAGGGAGAGCTCCTATGGAGAAACTTTTTTCTCAGTATTCAAGAAAGGAACTTACTAAGCGTCGCGTAGACGAAAATACTGTCACCCTTTCAATTTGCCTTGACCTTGTCATAAATGCACTCTCCCTCCCCTCCCCCTGGCTTTTCCTGCATCACGTGCCTTGAGCCCAGTGTCTCGTTAGGTCGTATTCGAAAAGTTTTATCGATGAAATCATGGAGGAAAGGAACTAGTATTCCCGGGACGAAAATGATTCTCTATCAGGCTGTACGACAGCACTACTCACTAAAATTTTGTGATCTATTTCTCTCCTATCTGCAAACATAAGCTGCGGGCAATCAAAAGACTGAAAACAGTCAAAATGTCCACCAACGGACTGACGGTCTCGAAGGTACTCGAGCAGATCCAACTTGTGCAGGGTATGATTGACATAAACGCCTCCAGCTTAAACAGTCTTCGAACACAGTTTTCCACCAACAGCGACTTGATCCAGCAGGAAATTCGCACGTTAGAGGTAAACTTATTAACTTTTACGATTATGTTCAGGGTGTTTGGAGATCTTTTGGAAGAGGTTCATTTTACGGCAGTCGATCGCCAGATTGAGAATAACAAAATTGGCGTGCGTCGAACGTTTTAAGCTCAAGATCTATATTATATTGATGCCAGACATTCCGCCTACGTAAAACCGAAAAACTAGTTTCTCAAGAATTAATTTATACTTTAACTTTCAAGTGTATGCTATTATGTAAGACTGTAAAAGTGTTTATCGTTCTCGACGTACCGGTGTTCAGATCTTCGACATGTTTGCTGTTTGATTCTGTTTCCTACGTGACTTTAAGAGTAGCTGTTTTTATTGATGTTTACGTTATAGCGAATCTTGACACGAAATCTTGGGCACTCATTCGCGGTTGCCTGAGCAAACGTTTGACAATCGCCTACGCAGCATATTAAACACAGAAATGACCCTTTTCTTGTCGCGCTGGATTATAAGTGATCCGTGCATCAGTATTAAATACTCGTTCGCGCCTCGATCATGTCTTCGGAGACACAAGTTCCATTAACTACTTTAAAGATTTGAAGATATTGGCTGCAAGATTAAATTAAGTTTTTCTTGCGGCAACCGTTTCTGTAAAAACAACTATTCTGTCACCGGAAAAATTTTTTTTCGTAACTATGTCTGTAGAGAACTGGCTTTAAATTGGATCATGAAAATTCATAATCTTAGATTGTACATATTATAATAATTCCCGTGGAAATCAATTGAATGAGCGAAGAATTTAAATTTAACACCTGTATCAGCGATAAAAGGCTTTTTAATGCTATTTTCACTATATGTTACCACCGTTACATTTTTAAATTTTATTCATTTTTTTTTTAGGGAAAGCTTGTTAAACTGTTTTCGAGGCAGTTAGTTGCAAAGCAGAAGTGCAATGAAGATTGGAATGACTGTGAAAAACTCCGTTATTATCCTAAACTAGAACAATGGCTGCAGGTGGTAGGAATCAACGAAGAAGCAATTAAGGTATATTTGTTTTGTCTTGTCATTCCCTCACATGTAAAATCAAAAGCCTCACTGTCATTGTGTGCACAATGTTTGTATCACCCCACCCCTACTTGAACTTTTTTTTGCCATCTGATTCTGTGAAAGATAATATTGAAATTGTAAGGAATTGCTTTAAATTTTGTGTTGTGGCCAAAAATATTTTTAAGAATGTAACATGGAAGTTAGTGTTATCATAACATACATTTGCAAAAGGAAAGGTATCTTATTTTAGAACAAGGCCAAGAGTTTTAAATATTTATCTATGTTGGCTGGATTGTGTGTTTACATTTTGTAAGCACCAGTGTCCTGTGCTATTTTGTAGGTGTGTTGGGAAAAAATAGCATCTTGAGAAGATGTACCTCTTTGCCCTATGATTATATGGGAGTGTTGATCACAGAATCTGATTTTAAGGACTTTTTCCATGTTTACGCAGCTTCATATTAACATAAAAGATGGGAAAATTCAAGATGTGTTTAGATAAGGCAATGTGAAAACGGGAAAAGAGTCCTCTTTTTATCAAACTATTTCTCAAAACCTTTGCCTTGTATTAACTAATTTCTTACAGTAACTAAAATTAAAGAAAATGGAAATTTATAAAAATGGAAATTTACAAATTTAGCATGAAAACATCATTTGAAAGAAATATACACATATATATATATATTTTTTTGTCACTTACTTATATTCACCTTATTTGTATTCACATGTTACCTTAGTTCTTTATTTGCCTTTAACTCCTTTAACCCTTCTCAGTTTACAATTTAGACCTTTGTTGTATTACGTAACCTCAATCTTAAAATTTCTATTTTGTATATAAGTTGCAATCATTGTAAATAGTGTTTTAGTTTTTAATTACTGAAAAAGGCCAAATGGCTGAAACGCCATGCATTAAACTCATCCAGAACAGTCAAGAGTTGGCCTCTTCCTTACGTTCTTATAGTACACTTAAATTGCATTAATATTTTTACCTTTATGTTAGTGTTTTTGTTACATGTAGTATGTGTGTAGTGATTAGTTGAGTTAGTGGGCTAAATTACTCTGTATAGCTTGCTAAATTAAAAAATTTGTATGAACTGAAATCTTCTCCTTCGATTTAAATCCAGGGATATATTGTATGATAAATATCTATCACTCTGACAAAGGGCTAACACTTGAAATGTCAGGTTTTTTGCTCTTTATGATGGCCAATTTATGTTTTCAACTCAGTTGTTAACACTAAATTACCAAATATCTTACTTGTTTCATTTTCTCAGTCTGTACTGTAAGTTGTGGGATTAGGGTTTTTCCTTGTAGATGCACTAGCAGACTACTCTATGTGTTTGTGGTTAATAGTCGTTGCCATGAGGTGAACAAAATCTACGAGGGTAGTGAATAAAGCTCTGAAAATGGCTTATCTAAATTATGTCTGTGTCATGCAGGCTGTTTCAACAATACAATGCAGCACCTTTCCACAGCAACCCACCACAGTTCAAAAACTAAACCAAGCACTGATTGGTAAATTTGAAACGGTCTGCATACTTGGAATTCCTTTGATGGCTGAGTTTGGCATCAGTTGTATTTAGAAAGCTATATTCTTCATTTCAGCATCAATTTTCTTGGAAAATGTGGAGCAATGAAGCTCAAATTTGGAAAAGAGATAGAGCAACATCTCATCCATCAACAAGCCAGTTAGGAGAGATTTTCAGTAGTTTGGCATTAATTCCAATTTGAAGTGGAGGAGGTCGCAGCTGGCAGCCAAAAGTGGCTAGCCTTGTCTCCTTTCCTTTCTTAACTGCCTCCAGCCAAAAGTAATTTATAGAAAGATGCTTCAAACGGCCCACAAAGGCGACAAAAAACCATAAATGAGTTGATTAACACTTTATTTAACTTTATTAAGATATTCAGACAGAGGTTTAATTTAAATATGCAATTTTCAGAGCTTTACTCATAACCCTCCTAGATTTTTTTTGTATCATGTCAACAATTGTTAACCTCAAACACATAGTGAGGTCTGCCTGTAGTAGACGTATGGCCCATGTGCTTTGTGCCAGGGCTATAAATCCGAGTGGATAAAGCTTGGTCTATAACTTACGACATGAACCTCAAACTCAGGGAATAAGAGGTTGTATTTTCTTTCAAATTGACAGAATTTGGAGGAGAAGTGCAGCACAGTGGAAGGTCTTTTGTCTTTGTCTGATGAGAAAGTAAAAGCAATGCTGGAGAATTATGCTGAAGGACAAGAAGAAAGTAGAAGGTTAATTGCAGCTCTAAAACATCTTCAGGCATATACAGGTAACAGTCATATATGTACTTCAACCCAAGTAGTTAATAACACTTTATTACTTACTGCCATTTGAGCCAATTTGCACTGCCAGAAAATCAATTGTAAATGGAACAAAATATCTGGAATTTCAAAATTTCTGGATTCAAAGACAAGCTCTGAACATTTTCCTCAATTTTCTGAATTGTCTTGATTCCTAAAAATCTTCTTATCTGTAGGTTATCTTATCCCTTAATTCCCAAGATCTGATTGTTGATTCTCCTCTCCAGCTGCAACATGTTTCCATGCAAATTAGTTGAGAATTTGGCATAAGATCAAGGTAACAACTGCGACCTGATACAGTACTGCTCAAAAGAAAGTTGAAAGTCTCTTGAAACTTGATCTTTGATACTCAATTCTCAAAAACTTCGAGGATCAAGAGTCGAGTGAGGTTTGATCATTTGATCAAATTCCGTTTTTCGTATCAGGAAAGCTAGAAAGTGGCTTGTTGTGAGCTTGAGTCTTGTTGCATACATGCAAGCAGCTTCTGTGTTACAAAGCCACAAGTCAAGTGTTTTGTCATAGGATGTTGTTTTGCTAGCAGGAATGGAATCATGTCCTCGGAACTGCAATGGAGATCCTCGAAAAAGTTCTTTGAACATGTCAATCCTTGATTTTTCTCAATAGTTTCTCACTAGTTTTGAGGATCAAGGATCAAGTTTTGAGTCATGACTGAGTGGTACTGTAAGTCTGGGTATCCTCATTACCTTGTCTAAACAATCTTCTGTGAGTCAAACAAGCACTTTTCACTCAACTAATTTATTCTTGTTTTCTCGTCACCATATTCCCACTGATAGCATTGCTCCATTTTCTGCATGTAAACCCACAGACAACCCACAATTCCTCCAATCACTCTGACAAAGGGCTAATGCTCAAAGCATCAGTTAAATTACCCTGTTATATTTGAACTCAGAGGTTGCTTGCACATATATCATGCAGCGGTCCTGTGCTATAAGGGACCTAAAATCACGTAAAATTTTGTTTTTGTCCCACTTTAGAGCGACAGAAACAGGGTCACAAAGACAGCACTTCAGATATATATTGGGATTCCTGGGATACGGGAAAGACAAGGGAAAAGAGCCTCTCTATCAGCCCCTCTGAGCGTTCGTCACGTTCCTCTGTCACTTTGGACAGTGATGTACCCCTGTCATCACCAAGCTCAGATGCTGACACTGAAGGTTCCCGACTGTCAACACTATCTGCAAGTGATACTGATAGTACTCTGAGTCCTAAGCACATTGGTAATTCACAACCAGCTTATTTCAGTATGATCAAGAGAAGTGTATCTGATGATGCAAATTTAGGTAAGGATAATTAAAAGAAGCAACCTTTTAACTCCCATGAGTGACCAAGACAGAATTTCTCCTTACAATATCAATACAATATCAAAACAGACAAGTGATGAGAACAACTAAAAATATAAATTAGAGAAATGCAAGTCGATCCAATACCAAATTCTCAAATGTTACATCATAAGAATTAAATGGCAGTCAGTAAGGAGAATTGCTGATGAGATCATGGTCGGGAAAGGGTGAATATGGTACATGCGTGTGTGATGGTGATGAAATTTTGGCTCCTAATGGCTGGTTTTCAAAAGTGACTGAGTTGGGAATCCAAGTTGGAGTCATACGATCCCTTAACCCTTTAACTCCCAAGATCTCATTAGTAATTCTCCTTACTGTCTGCAATACAGTTCTTGTGATATTAGTTTTGAGAATTTGGTATTGGATCAACTATTAATCCTCTAACTGATATTTTTCTTTATTCTCATCACTTGCCTGCTCAATATTGTATTGATATTGTAAGAAGAAATTCCGTCTTGGTCACTAATTATTTAGTTCTAAACTTCTTGGCAGTCTGGTTTTCATAATTAACCCTTTTTGACCCCCAGAGTGACCAATGTCTAAGTTCTCCTTACAACATCACTCCTAAATCAAACATTAAGGTCGCAAGAATAAAGGAAATGACCACCTTCCAGATAAGCCCATGATTGTTAAACAAATTCTCCTTGTCAGCACCTTAGGAAAGGTACAGAGAAAAGTATGGAGAATATGCATACTGATGTTAAGGTGTAAAGGGTTAACCATCTTCAAATTTTGAAGATGAATGGCTAGTTACAATAATCAGAGAAAGTTAAACTATGGAAGAACTAGGCTTTTACCGTGATATTAAGCTGGCTTATTATTCATATCCTTAAATAACCTTAGTTACTGTCAGTTCTTCAGAGAGCTTTAGCTAACTTGACCTGAAATCCACCAAGCATAAAAAAGCAATCCCTGGTTTTATTTCTGTTTAGGGGGATTCCCATTTGTTTAAAATGCTTGTCAGGACCTTAAAAAAAAGTGGAGAGAGTGCACAATGCATAATCACATGTATCACTGTCTAGAATAATTTTACTTAGGGGCTTGTCATTTTTTGTTGTCAGAAGGGGGAGGGGGCAGAGTGAGGGGTGGGGGGGGGGGGGTCCAAGACGATTTTGGTTGTATGAGGACAAAATTTACTTGATCCCTCCACAAGGCTCTGTAGTTTCCTAATGATTCCCTCATTGGCAATCAATTTATAATAGCCTTTCACTTTGTTAGAGACAAGTTATCCCCACCACTGTTTCTTCTAGTCTCTAATACATGGTAGACTTTTAGGACTGAAATAATACTTCCCTCTTAATGGTAATTTTATTTAATTTTATTTCACAGGGAACAGAATATTTGTGAACAATAATGAGAATCCATATTTGAATTGTGGTAAAAAACGAGGAGGAAAGCTGGAACCTGTCACTCCTCTCACAATTAATATTCCTAAAAGTAGAAGTGGAGACATCTCACTACATTCCCAGTCTGATTCTGAGTCGGATCATAATCTAAGTAAGTTCATCAGCATGGGTTATTATCGTGATATTTAAATGTAGTTGTACTCACCAGTGGAGAGGTTTTGTTTGAATGCTTGTTTGATTATCAATAGCAAAGCCTCTACACTATGCCAAAGTCTTATTGAGCATAAGACTTGGGCAAACAAATTCAATCTCGGGCTCTTACACTGAAACTATAATTCTTAGGCATATACATTGAAAGTTCCTAATTTTAACCGTTGATTTTGAGATAGCAAACTGCTGCTTTAGTTAAGTTCCTTTAAACTTACTGTTACTCTTCTTAAGATATTTTACTCCTTGTTTCCTTTGTAGTTGCTTTTAAAACTTTCCAACAGTGAAAATTTGTGCTACAAATGAATGTACATCTTAGTAACTTCATTTTCTCTCACTTTCTGAGGATATGTACCCTTCCACCCTCCCCTCCCCTAATAGAAAAACAAATTGTAAGAGTCTTAGGAAATGCATAAAGAATAGTATGGAAAATATGCATTCTTATGTTAGGGTGTAAAGTCTTCATGCACCAAACATACAGTCTTGTACTACATGTAACTGTGTAACCTGTTAACCAATCTATGGCCATAAACAAGGTGTCTTCATGTTGAAGTTGTCACTACAGTGTTAGTTAATCTGTGATATTCATCATCCACCAGGTTCCCATGCAATAAATAATTCTCCATCAAGGATTACTCACTATGGGATGGGACATACAATCAGTCACAGGTAAACAAAATATCTATTATCCTTTTGAACCCAAAGAGAGACTAGCATCTCACTTTTCCTTACAATATCAGCCCTGAATCAAAGATTAGGGTCAAGAGATTAAAAGAAAATGATTACCATCTAAAACAGCTCTTGATTATTAAACAAATTCTCCTTGTCAGCACCTTAGGAAATGTATAGAAAATAGTATGGAGAATATGCATACTGATGTTAGAATGTTGAGGATTAACCAGATACATATTTGTATGCACTCAGCAGCCATGATGGTAAAATCCAGACATATTCTTCATACAATTCTGAAAGGTGCAGGAAGTATTTCACTTCAAAATTTTGTACCCAGTTGAAAGGCATCTGGAAAGCATTTGACAAGGAAATTAAAAATGCTATGCCTCTTTTACAAGGTTTTTGCATGCTTTTCAATTAGTCCTTAAAAGCAGAATATGCAAAGAGTACATTTTAAGCAAGCACTGAGAGCTGTAAACCAACAATACTCAACAGCTTAAAGTCATGTCTCCTACTGAGTGCCTAAGGTATGAGTCCTTCAATTAACCTTTTGACTCTTAAAAGAGTGACTAGCATCTATTTTCTCCCTACAATATCAGCCCTGAATCACGCATTAAGGTTAAAAGAATAAAATTAATGATTGCCAACTAAGGAAGCTCTGGATTGTTAAACAAATTCTCCTTGTCAGCACCTTTGTAAATGTAGATAGAGCAATAGGGAGAATATGCATACTGATATCAGGGTGTGATACAGCTGATACATGTATTTTCACCAATGTTCTCGGTGTGACAGATTATAGCATATTTTCTTCCTTTCTGATCAGGTTTTCACAAAAGGCATTTATGGTTAGTCTGGCTTGTGATCACTGCCATAAACTTCTTTTGGTTGGTGTAAAATGCAAATACTGCAAGTGAGTATGAAAAATGTTTTTTCTTTTTGTTTTCTTTTTCAGGTAATTTATTTATTTGTTTATTTATCATTTTCCATTCAAGTAATTGTGTGTATAATTATTATGCCAGTCAAAAGTAAAATGTGAAATAGTTCACTTTGTTAAGCTGTTGCTTCTTTCTCACTTTGAAGGCTCAAATTTCACAAGAAATGTGCAAAAAAGGCCACTGCTTCCTGTGGGCTCCCTAAAGGGTGTAGTGACTTTTTCACTGCTCAAGTGCGACGAGGTGAGTTCTCCTTGTCAGGCCACGACCTATATGTTGTTTTCTATTCATGGCAAGAAATATTAAAAAAATAAGATGTGCTGTAAGTAAGTTGGGTGCTGAATGTCGAAGCCGCTTGGTACATTGTTGAATATGGAATGTAACATTTCGTAGCGCGGTTAAGGTGATTCCTCAAAAAAAGAAGTTGTCGAACAATTTTTTAAAACTTTTCTTACATGTTTCCTACCACTGACTGTTTCGAAAAATACAATAAGAAAAGATAGGTCTCCGTGCTAGTTTAAGAGATATGACTGGACAAACTTACCCCGTTATGCCTTTACTGGCGTTAATCAGCGCGTCATTTAATGGGTTCCTGGTACATTTTGCGGTAGCTGGAAGCTCGTATTTAGGGTAACAATTACAAAAAACTTGATAGGCAGCAATTCTCGAGCGTATGGAACAATTTGTTATACAATTTGTGGAAAAATTACGCAATTTCAAACGACATCGACTCAAAACGTTCCTTAAGTCGTTGTTTTTAAGGTTATGATTTGCATCATCGAATGACGGGCTTCGTGAATGCTTTTAACCAATGATTTCCTTTTTTCCCTTCGATGGTTTTTTTTCTTTCTCCAATTTGAAGGGGATAATTTGTACACCAAAATTATGCAATGAAAAACGTAGATCAACTTGCTCGTTCACGAGCCAAAGACCATCGTACCTCTTTGCTTGGTCCATTTATTGAAACACAATACCGTGTTCTCGGGATGCGCGCGCGCTCATTCCCCAGATTACGTGATTATTTATGTGCAGTACAGGATGCGCAGTGCAATACTGAGAAACCACCTTAAGTAAATTATGAGACCAGAATATACAGTTTGTTTCATTGCAGAGGATCGGGACTGTTCATGTATTTAGACGGTGAAGTTTTTCACCAGAAACAAAACACATTTCTTGGTCTGTTCTTAGCCCTTTCCTAATTTAGAATGGTATTGGTCAAATAGATATCTAACAAAATTGATATTATTTTTTTGGTGCAAACAGCTTTAAATTACCGTTCTTTACCCATGACGCGGTCTCATGTGAAGAGAACAAACTCTGAACCATCGAGCATCGCCCTTCAAGTAGATCTACCCGAGCAGAGATTCAACCAGAATCGTAGCCATGGTGATCTGCATACAGTAGACCCGAAATCTTGGACACCTGTTCCAAACGAAACACCAAAAGGAGTTGACTCCTGTTCCACGTCATCATCAACCTCATCACCACCTTCTTCGCCTCTTCCGGCGGCATCAGCTAATGTTAGTCTGTCTGCACAAGAAGAACTTGACCAGTTTCCAGAGTCGCACTTCTCTTTCACTGGTAAATAAAACAATTATACTCACAGGTATCACAAGCATCCAGGAATATTGCAGCTCTGCTTTGATGCGATGACAACCCACTGCAGGTTGCTGCCCACTCAGTACTTTATTGTCTAAACTCTTGAGTGGAGAGAGGCACTGTAAGCTTAAAGAAAGCAGTGCAATTTCCTAGCCAGGGTGTTCGAGATTGCACGTGTATTAAACTGAAGACTGAGGAAAAGTCTTTTTGTAAACAGGATACTTGGTTGAAATTGTTTCTAAATTTATATAATTCTTGTGAATTTGTGTTCCCTTACCCCAGAGAAGTGCTTTAATGTAGAGAATGAACAAAGCTTTTTCTCAAACATTGGGTTGCTATCAAGACTAGTCTGAAATTGTTTGCTGTGTAATGGTTAATGACACTGTATGGTGTATATTGCAGCTGCATTGTCCGAGACCTAAAAACTTTTTCGTTTTGAAATCCATAAAATTGTCTTTAGTTTGAGTTTTCTCTTAACAACTTACTCATGTGATAGTGTGCAACACCTTATTGGCCCTTCGTTTAGTCAGATTATGGTAAACTTTTGCTACAACGTAGTGGTAACATTGATTTTTTTCTTAATTTTTAGATGTTTCAAGAATGACAGCTTCCTTGCACAGGTACTGCGCATTTAGTGTTACATTGTTGTGGGGTTCGTTTGTTTGATTCATTGTTTTTTTTTAATTCCCTCAATAATTGAATTTTCCAAGTAAGAAAAAATTGATTTGCACTATTTCAGTAACGAGATGATTGAGTCAACGAGCACCTTGGTAAGGACTGAAAGTGTTAAGTCACGGCAGAGCAACAACACCACAACTAGTAATGACTCGGTAAGTTATTTATCACAATACTCTAACAAGAAGGTATTTAGAAGCCTGTCTTGAGTTACTTGTGATGGGGCCGTATGACAGTTTATATGCAGTTTTACGTTTACATGTACACTTCTACACTGTATATTCAACCTAATTATGATATCCAGAGTGTACGGTACCGCTTCAGTAGTTCTTCGGATGAACAGTTCTTGAACTTGGTGGTCGTCATCTGATCACTGAATTAACTAGGAGAGACTTCACTTTCATCAACTTTGTCGATATGCAATGAAAGTGTTTGCAAATGAGGTTTTCGCTTTTTGTTTTGGTTTTGTTTTTTTTGGCAAAGAGAATTTCCCGACGAAAGCGCCTCAAAACTTGTGTCAGAGATTCAAACGCCGTGGTTGCAGTAGAATTTAGGCGGCTATTTTGTGGTCACATGCTGAAAGGTTTCTTTTCTTATTCTCTGACAGAGGTCTTCACGTAGGAAAATTTTTTGTCCCCTGAATGAATGTCCTCCTCTTTTTTTTTTAATGCACGTTAACATATACATTTTACGACGTATATTGTATATTTCGAGCTGCTTAATAAAGGCAATGCTTCATAGAAGAAGGAAGACGGTAAATTTTGAGCTCGGTTGTCGAACAAAGAAAGATTGTGCAACATATTGTTTTTTTTGTCACAAACAAACCAAAACGATGCTGTGTGTTACTATTTTACAGACTTTGTCTGGAGAGGATGTCCCGGGCATTGACTCGTTGGACAGTCAGATCTCTGATGTGGACCCTGAGAGCAAGACTTGGAACCGTAGCCGAGTGGTAATGTTAATTTGAATTTCTCATAAAAGTTTCGACATGTGTGAAAATTATTCTGTGACTCTCGAAAACTGGTATATCTGATACAATGAAATAATCTTATACCTGAATTATTAATAAAACGTTCACCATAATGCATTTGAAAGCCGTCATAAGTGTTGTGAAGGATTGTTTGGAAGTGCTTAGCTATTCCTTCTCAAAAGTACAGCCTGTGCAACATTGTTAACAACATTAATTGACATAAATGCATGTACCTAAATTGCATTTGTTTCTCATTTTTTTAATCGTTTTCATGTAACAATCTAAATGCACATCTCAATCGATCAGTCTAAACATAACTTAATTGTCAGTCATATCTTTCTTGCGCTGTTTAGGTTTAAAATTTGCGATTGTGTTGTTGGGAGTGTTTTCAAAAAATGCCGTTGTTGGTGACAGGGAACGATATTTCAACAGCTTGAAAGAATCATTACAAGTGCAAGTGTTACGATCGTCATCAGGGTCAAAATAGATCATAAGACTGCACGATCAACAGTTCCTCCTGGCTTCAAATTAACAAATATATCCCATGTTGCCGAGCGTTTGTTCAGTAATAGATCACAGATGACGTTAAAATGTGGTAAGAACAAACCAGTGGTACACAAGGCACGGCTGAGTGTGTCACTGGTGTTCTTACCACATCTAGACGTCTTAAATGACAAACTCTACAGACTCATAGCAATATGGAAAATATTGCTTTTATATGTTTAAAAGTAAAAATTTGCTTAATGGTGACGTCAACTATGCGTTTTTCCTCCTATACATCATTAGTAAGAACCAATCAAACTACGTGTACAATTTAGAAAAATATACGACATTTTTCAAAAAAAAAATGTTTCTGGTTTATACAAAGTACAAAGTTGAATCTCAAGTGTATAACAAAATGCTCATCTGACAAAACAAACAATAGAAACAAAACAATGTTTGCAGTTACAAGGAAAGTTTTAAATTAACACGATGAAGTTGATGATTAAGTGTAGGTTGCTCCCATTGAAAGTGAATAGCTTTTTTGACTTTTGGTTGGAGAGTTATGGAAGGGAGATCTAAGATGCTGAAACACTCATCAAAACATAGAGTGCGACATTTGGGAGAATTTTGTAAATGTCTGAAAATGTGAGAGGTCCTATCACTGACCAAGCGATCACGTTTTTAAAAAATGTCGTATATTTTCTTAAATTCGAGACATCTTTGCTGTTATCTAGACCTTTTGGCGTGTGAAATTCATATAACCATAATTACACTGTATAGTATATACACATGAAAAGATAACATTCGTCTCCATAATGAGCCATTAATTACATGTCACCCTCTTCTGATTGAATAACTCTAGCGATACTGACATTCAACATCAGCTGACATGAGTTAATCTTTGCATGTACGTGCATCACTGAAGCTTTTAAAAGAATGAAGCTAAATGTAAGATCTTGCACGTTTCACTGACTGATAATTTATATGCGTTTTTAACGAAAGGTTAATAAAAAGGACATGCTCCTGGACTTACATGTGAGTAAATGATTCTTGAGTAATTGAAATTCATAAAAATCTGACTTCTCCCTTTTTTTCAAACTTAGAAAGTAAATAAATCAAACAAAAAGTACTTTTAATTATTGTTAATATTAATATTATTATTGTTATTTTTATTATCATTATTATTTTAAGTTTAAATTATTTCTAGAGGGTAAGATTAGAAACAGATTGACTTAAAATCCACTCTGATGTTGTGGAAAGAGAGTGGTTGAATTAAACATCTGTAGGTACAGGTTGTTCAAAGCTAGGTTAAGATAATCCAAGTTTAGTGTGAAATCTGATTTCAGATGTGAAAGCTTTAAAAGAAAATTCAGTCGAATTTTTTTGTCTAGAATATGCATTTGAATAAAGGAATAAAGGAACTCAGATTAAAATTTAACTTTGGGTTTGCACTAATTAACCTTCGAACAACTGGGCCCTGAGATCCAAACTTTGCTGCAGTTAAAATTAAGCTGGAATTGTTTCTATACTATATTTCCAACAGATATGGGCCCCTAGTATCGTTTCCGACTTTGAAAACGGAGTGTTATGTTGGTTTCGAATCGGTTCCGAGTAGTTTCCGAGAGATCACGAGGAATTTATTGTGCGAACTGGCCTATCCACAAGGTCTGAGATGACTCAATGAATGATAAAAGCATTCAACTTGGATTGTTTTCATTGCAGCAACGAGGTAGCCTAATGTCAGAGTGGGTGATACCGTTTGAAGAATTGAATATCACCGGGAGTCCACTGGGCAGTGGTAGATTTGGTAAAGTTTACAGGTTAGTCGGAGATCCTTGGCTAAGATTATAAAATAGGGAGTTGAAAAAAACAACGACGGCGACGGCAACGGGAACGTCACTAAACAAAAGGTTTAATGAGGAGAACAATGGCTCCGCACGTGAATTATAAATCTTTGTACATTTCTTTGCATTCCCTGCAAAACAACGTGAAATGACCAAACTTTGCGTAGTCTGGAGAACGTGAACGGCGACGACTAATTTTGTAAATTTCTATTTTCTAATTTAACGCTGTGTTCCATACTCGGTTTCGAAATAGTTTTGACAGTAAGTAACAAACTAAATTACTTTAGAGTATCGCGAGATTCGTAAGTTAAATATAAGTTCATTTCGTAACTGACGTTGTCCACCGCGTCGCAGTCGTCGTTTCTTAAACTCCCTAAAAACTGAGACCCTACAAGAGCCTTAGTTGGTCAAAAATCTATCGTTTATTGCACCTGTAAACCCAAATAAAATTGAACTTTATGTTATCAAAGAAATAGACCGCGCTTTCTATTGGTTATTTCTAATAAACTACTTGAGATCTCAATTTGGAGAAGACTCGAAAAGTCAAACATCTCACGTGGGTTATGACGCCGGTAAACCGTTAGAAGGTGCGGTCTATTACTTAAATAAACTTGTCTTTGGTCGTCCGGTTAATAGAAATCATGGAAAGGACTCTGTCAGTTGAATTAACAAACACGTCGACAACTTGAGTGGTAGTCACCATCGTGGAAAAGGATTAGTTAATTTGGCCTTGAAATTACTCGCTGTAAGACTCAAAAAGTGTGAGTTAGTTTAGATCCCTCAGTTATGTTAGGTTGTTTTCTTCGATTTGTTGGTTGTGTTAATGTCGTTTGTACGACGCCAGTAATTTGTTGACTTTTGTTAAGAGTAGACTGCTCAAAGTTAGAGAAGCAGCCTTTTAGCGAACGTCAGTTGTGGAAAGTAGTTTGTAGTTTCGGTCAAATATTGAGAATAATCCCTGTCGGTAGTCCCACGCTATTGCCGGACATTTTCACAGTCTTACAGTCAATAAGATCAATTTTCACAAACCTGACTTAAATAACAAGACTAACGTACAACTCCTCACTTGAATCTGATGATGACAACCGCGCAGGTTGTCGAAAAGGTTTTCACACGAATGAAAGCGATCCTCGCAGTTATGAATACTGCTTAACTAGTAGTGAAAATAAGGCCTGAAAAAATTCAGACTCGTACGGGATTTGAACCTATGACCTCTGCGATACCGGTGGAGCGCTCTACCAACTGAGCTAACAAGCCAACTGGGAGGTGGTCATTATGTTGGTACTAAATAAACCCTCCAAGTGGTGACTAAACGACTGTGAATATATGAAAATCATATATATGGGAACTGCGGTTGAAGAAACGAATGAAAGCGATCCTCGTAGTTATGAATACTAGTTGAGTAGTGGTGAAAATAAGGCCTGAAAAAGTTGTTCACAGTCATCGATTACAGTCCTTTTCAAGACTTCTCTTACTCGAACGGTTAGACCGTATGATCAATATTTTCCAAAATCCCACAACAGTAGTGTGATTTTCACTACCTTTGTTTTACTTCAGGGGTCACTGGCACGGTGAAGTGGCTGTGAAGATGATCGAGATTGAGAATCCCACAGAGGAGCAGCTCAATGCCTTTAAGTTTCAAGTTGGAACTTTTAGAAAGACTCGTCATGAGAATGTGGTGTTGTTCATGGGCGCATGCATGGATCCTCCGAAACTTGCTATCATAACCAGGTAGGCAGAGAGTGACATTTTCAATTGCAACTAGCTATAATTTCCCTTGTAAAAGTTTGCTACGGAAGGTTACTCAGTGCTATCTGCAGTACTCTACCGACACATTGTTCACCAGTGGACAGAGAGGCGGAAAGAGGAAGCTTTTATCGTGACTTGATCTCTTTGACACAGTTCTTCTGTTTCTTTTGATGGATTTAAACTGTTTTGACTGCGTAAGAATGAATTAGGCTACACAACCGCCGAGTTACAGCGGAGCTAGAGGCTGTGTATTACAGCGATTGTTCCTCTCGATTATTTTTATTTTTTTAGTTGGCTTTTTTGTTTTGTTTTGTTTTTCATTCTGTTATTAAACGTTGCGTCTCGTTTTCTGATTGCAGCATGTGTCGTGGGTTTTCCCTATACACACATATACACGTTCGAAAGGACAGCTTTCCTCTGGATAAAATTTTACAGATTTGTACTCAGATTTCTCAGGTAAGGAAATACGCAGAAAGATTGAATAAGACACTGAATCCTTGTGTGACGTGCTGTCTGTTAATCTTAAGTTATGATTGCATGAAGTTGATAATAATATCATGGGAAAACTGAATTCAATAATTGTTTTATTAGACATCTTTTAAACAATCTGCGAAAGAAGACATGTCTGAGTTTGCAAAAGTATGATAACTCGTACATGGACAAGGGGCTTGGAAACTAGGCATACTTTGAATTTGACATGATAAATGCAATATTCATTGCAGATATAACTTTTAACGCGTCAACTTCACACGCTATTGTATATTGTACGTCGACTGTAAACGTGTAAAAAAAATTTACAAATCAGCAAGCAACACAAAGCGCACGAACTTGAAATGATTATCCTCAGAAATCATGCATCGCGGTCATACATGACATGATTGTCCGTGACCTTGAGTGTCCTTGACATGATTATTGTATAATCTGCAGCGAGATGACGTCCTAGGCGCTGATTTCGAAAATTCATCGTACATTTTCGGCCAATCAGAAAAGAGATAGTGAGTTGAATGTGTAATAACACTACTAATTATTTACCAACAGGGTATGGGTTATCTTCACGCACGAGGTATTGTTCACACTGACCTTCGTTCCAAGAATGTATTTCTGGAGTCATACAATCGCGTGGTGATCACAGATTTCGGGTTGTTTAGCGTGGCTGGGTTGACAACCAAATCTGTCAGGCCAGGTTTTTTGATGATTCCACAAGGATGGCTTCCATATTTGGCTCCCGAAATCCTTCGTTCGCTTACCACTCAACAAGACGCGCCAGACTCATCACAGTTCACCATGGCAACAGACATGTACGCCTTCGGGTAAGTTATTAACTGTTAACAGTGCTTCACAAGCACACTTCGCTGGTGTGTTCCTCTTATTTCTTTCTTACCTTTTTTCCTCTTCTGCCGTTAATGTAGTTTGTTGACTTTCCGACCAGTATATGTGCAAAAGCCAAGCTGGAAACGGGAAATGTATGCATAATACCTGCAAAGGGTCCGGTCCGGTCATTATTTTTTTGCCAGGGCGGGGGGGGGGGGGGGGGTGCGGCGGCAGTAGGAGGGTTTTGTCTGCCTTTCCCCCCTCATGAGGCTCTGTAATATTCGTACTTAGGCAATCACTTTTCTACAGTCCCTCCCTGGTACTATGTTGGCGACTAAAACGCCCTCTATTCCCCCGAAAACTATGTGATCCCTCTAAACTCCTACCCCACCCTCCACTAGGCAGGAAATAATGACAAGGAGAAAGTGTAAGGCGCTCAGAGTTCGCCAAGCTGCTGTTTTATTTTTCAAATGTGATCGCCAGGTATATGTTCTCACCATTACAGAAATGCAAGGCAAGAAACTTGATGCTGTTCTAGCATCTGGGTCAGGAAATATTTCTATTCGGTTTCGAAACTGTTAAACGGAACTGATGTTTGGTTTTTGTTGGTAGGACTGTGTGGTATGAGATGTGTTCTCGCTCCTGGCCATTTGAGAAAAATATACCTGAATCCATAATCTGGCAAGTGGGAAAAGGAGTAAAACAGTCGTTAGCAAATATAGATATTCCGAGAGAAGTTAAGGTATGTAAAATTACCACATTTGCGTGGTGAATGGCTAATTCATAATGAAAATAGGACTGAATGGAATCTCATTTGGTCTCCTCTCCGTGTAATCTTATGATTGATTAACAAACTCGCACGACCGTGAAAGGAGAGTCCGATTTGTTGAGAAACAATACTGTAACTGATCGATCTACGCGAAAGCGTCGAAGCAACACGCGATGTACATAATACATAAATCCCTTGAGCCAAGATACTTTGAGCCTAAAAAAACTAACGTGAGAGGGATTGCCTTAAGACTAGAGCCTTTTTGGGGTATTCAGTCTCCAAGATTGCTCCTCTCTCGTCTTCACTTCATGCTCTCTGTTCGTCGTAAATGCCATAGTATAGTGGAAGTGCAGTGAGTACTCTAACTAGCTTGATGTCACTTCTCTCCAGTACCCCTGCAAACAAATTAGACAGATCAAACGGAAGATGATTTAAAAACCCTAGTTGTCAAGAAGCATACAAGAGTTTGGGAAAGTTTAGATGAGGGGCTACCATAGAAACAAATCCTTTTGGTGAGCAAAGTCGGACGTGGGTTTATTTCGACGCACTCACTGTTCGACTTCGCTACCTCACGTTGAGACCATTTTCTTCTTTTTTTAGGATACTTTAACAGTTTGTTGGGCATTCGAGCCAGATAGACGACCAACTTTCGGAAATTTACTGAGAACTTTAGAAAGACTTCCAAAAATAAGACATACGCAACGGCTACACAGAAGTCCATCTCAGCCGTGCACTGTGGGGAGAGGGGCTGAGAATCTGATATGAAGCTATCATGTCAATTGAGCGAATCAAGGCTGTGGTAAAAAAGGCAATAATCTTCGCTGTCTTCGACGCTACTAGTATGAGCGTGTTTCTCCCAGTGTAAGCAATCAGGGACCTTAAGCAGTCAGGACGGCAACGCCAAGGAAAACTTCGATTAAAAAATGAATTTCTGCCTTAAATTAGAATTTCAAAAATGGCTGCATTTGTTTACCGTCTCATACAGCGCCACACCTCAACTTCAGCATACCGTATAAAAGAAGCGTTGAGTTCCAAATGGAAATTAAAATAATTTGTCGTCGCGGTCTCGGTTCGTAGACGACGCAAATTGTGGTGATTTCACGTTGTTGCTTTGCATAGGACGGCTAAGAAATTTACAAAGTTTTAAAACGCACGTGCTGAGCTATTGTTCTGCCAATTAGATCTTTTGTTTTTCCACGTCCACGTTGCAGTCGCCGTCGTGGTTTGCTTAAGGTCCCTATTACCTACTGAATAGAGGTGTAGTTGTCATTTGGGATGTTTGCCATTTCACTAGTGCAGCAGTGGGTCTGTTTTTTTCCCTCTTGTCTATGCACATTCTTCCTTATGGTTCTCTGGGAAATTTCTTTTGTATGAACTTTTTCCTTTTAAATAATCCACTGTCAATATCTATGAATGATAATTGATGACCGGCAGATAAATAAGGTTGTTACAAATTTCTAGATCGGAGGACTTTCGCTACCAAGTTACCAAGACTACTGAGGTTTTTTTTTAACCAAGACTTTTTTTTTTTTTTAAATTTTATTTTCAAAGAGCATTCTCCCCTGCATTTTAGAAGTATTCGTCCTTTTTTTTACTGGTTTTTTTTTTTATCTTTTTTATTTTTTAATCATTTTGTTATTGCTCTGGAAAACGTTTTACTTTTACCTAGGTATGGCGCGGTACTGCAATTGTCCTGGAAGGTTTTTCATATTTTTTTTAACCCGATTTTTCTTCTTGTTATTATGCGCTAAATGTGGCATCAGAGGGGCCCAGAAACCTCCAGAAGCCTTCTGTTTATGAAAAACAATGTCGCGTCATTTTAGATTGTTGTACACGATGAATAGATTCAATATTAGGAGGGCTTCAAATTTTTAGTTTGACATCAAAAAGGTGTTAAATAGGGAGGGGTTGGTGTAGGACGGAAAAGATTGACAAAATTACTCACAAATTATTGTTTAGGCTCCTTAAAAAAGCCCATTCTGGTATACTAGTTGTGCTTCAACCATCTCTCTTCCCCAAGTTATGATAAGAGAAACACTTCAGTAACTTGACAGTCAGTATATCTTAAAGAAATCTTTCCAGCCTCTTTCCTTGTATGTTCACAGAGTTTTTTTTACTAAGTTTTACTTTGGTATGAGTTGGGCGCAACAAATTTGGTAATAAACATTTATATAGTATTAGAGTAAACAAGTCTTACGGCCTTATCAGGCCTTCGGCTTAAGTTATGTCTTATGCTTCTCCTTTGTCTAAATATTACGGCAGATGAGACAAAGACATGTTGTGCTGCGATTTCTTACCCAGCAACAGGTAGTAACAGCAATTTGCAAGGCATTCAAGCGAAAAGAGTTTTCAATTACCTCAAAATTTTAAGATGAAGGAAACAAAATAAATTGTAAGTGTATTGTCCACGCCTCTGGGCACATAACAGAGGCAACTGACACTCTGTTTGGACTCTTTCACCCTCGAGGTCTCCAGAGTAATTCTCCTTGTCTTTCCTGTAATGTCCAGTGAGTGGCAAAAGAAGAAGACACGTCTCCGTTTAGTAGGTAGTCGGCTCTCCTTCTCCACTCAACATGATAAACAGAAACCTCTTAATTTATGTCTAAAAAGCTTATTGAAAGTCCCCCCCCCCCTCAAATAATGTTGCCTGGTGGTGACCATTATTTAACACCAACACTAGCATAAAGGAACTTTGAAATTGGAAGAGGGAGAGACAAATGAGAATTCTCGTAAAAAAAAGCTAAATAGTAGTCGAGCGTACTGAGGCTTTTGCTACTCATTGTTTTTCTAAGAATTAAATGGTTAGTAATTCCCCTCGTGGATCTTTTTGTTCATTTCACCACTAGTCTTCTTGATGGTGTATTAATATTTTATTGATAAATTACTTCTTGGTAATCGTTGAGAGTGAAAGGGTTTAGGTGGCCAAATAAAAAGTGCTGTTGGTGAACTTACGGACTGTAAGTGAACATAAGTAGTGAGCGAACATGAATTTTAGGTACGATTTCAGTTCATATGAATTGTAAATAATTATTTCGAGTTGTTTTTTACTTACAAAGGCCCCTAAATCCAGGGATGTAAATACGTTTCTTTGAGTCCATTTACTCCAGCTGAGGGTAACTTGTACAGTTTTCAGGGAAGTATTTCATGATTGTTATAATTGTAATATTTTCAATTTTTTAGAGACTGTTTGAAGTCTCGTAAATTATGAATTGCTGTATTCAGTCAGTTGGAAGATCTTCTACTCACATCTCTGAGTTTAAAATAAATTCTCCGTATTGCATTCTTTGTGTGAAAAATTTCATTGATTTTCTCGAGCTAAAATTTCTGTGGGCCCGATCACGAACCTTCGTTCTGGAAATGAGCTTACGCTCCATTTTCCGTTTATCCCCCCCTCCCCCAACCAAATTTCCTTCTCGGTAAGATCGAAGGACGAATCCGAGGAAACGGCCGAAGAGAGTCCACAGGTTATTTAGGTCTCTTGTACGCAATACGTTCAGTTGTCCTTGGCAGCATGCAGTCTTTCATCGGTCTCAATGAATGTGTTCATCTCGGATCTCTTCAGTTTTTTACTCAAAGTTCGTTGCCTTGTGAGTTCCCTGTAAATTTCATCATATGTAAAAAAGGAGGTTTCTTGTACTATATCTTTTCTGATTCCTGGCACAAAAAGGTTTCTGTTTATTAGGTTAATTTTCGGCCAACAAGCCCAACATTCGATCCTTATGAAGTGTTCAGGATCTTTGTCAATATAACCAATTGTTACATGATAAAATTACAATTATAGTTAATCTACAATATCGTAAGGGTTTCCTTGTATTGGTGCCGGAAAAAGGAATGGAAATATTATATTATTTTAAGCCATTTAATGCAAATTATAAAAAGGGCAGGTTGATTACTTCTTACTCCTTCTTGGAGGGTCTCAATGGGGTGATGGCTTTTACGGCTATCGGTTAAAATTTTGGCTAATTTCCGGCTAACGGTTAACACCTTTCCATTGTTTCCGCCAGAGATATTTTTTACGGTTAACTTTTTTCACGACTAACGGTTAAAATTTGTCAATTTTTACGTCTAACGGCTAAATATTTTGGCCGTTTTACGGCTAACGGTTAACCCCATTGGGACCCTCTTCTTGGTGGTCTTATCTTAAAGGTTGAGTTTGGTCACGTTCTTCTTGTGAGTTTGGTCACGTTCTCCTAGTGAGTTTAATCACGTTTTCCTCGTTGTGATCGTGAGGATGACATGAACTCGTGATAAGTCATGTTCTTAATTAAGTTAATTTTTTAGTCCAGGAAGAGTAAATCTCCCAGGTAATAGGTTGCGTTCGACACCTTCTTGTCCCCGGAGGTAATTTAAGGTGCAAACAGGTGATACCCCTCATGTTTCGCCACCAAAAGCAATTTGGGGGCGGTACTTGTGAGCGCCTTTCTTCTTTAACTCTTGTGACCAAGATGTTTTTATGTAACAATCTTTAAAGGTGATTTTCTCTTAAGATACCCTTTCAGGTATAAATAATACTCTGAACCAAGGTTATTTGTAATTTTTATATTATCGATCTCGTTTCTGTTCTAGCCGATCTCAACCGTAAAGATATGAAAATTAAGGAGAAATTGATTTTGTAACTGCGTAAACAACTCTAAGGTGCATACGTAGTATGTGGGAACTGTAATACGTAGTCAAGCGTGATTCGCTAGTTGAGATGGTGCGAAGACGATATAAGAAGATTGACGGCTAAGAAATGTCATCCGCAGTGTCACCTTTATAATCGGAGACTCTAGTTTTCGCTGTCAGATAGAAGCTAGTCCCCGTTGTATCAATTTGTGAAGAAAGAGAATAAAGAAGAATTAACCCATCAAACGACGAGTGTTAGAAAATTAATTTCTGATACAATATAACGTATTGAGTGAAATTAAAATACTGCCAATGGTCTCCAGTAACATAGACGCATAGTGGGCGAGAGTAGAACCTACTCCTCCACATCTCGTGATTCGTTCTTCCCCAGTCGACGCCACACATGACGTTAAAACCACAGTGAGCCTATAGACAATTGCCTTTCAGTTGACGTGGGAGGGAACTGTTCCAAGGACGGCCGTCGTTTCAATTCAGTTTCCTAAAAATGAAGTAACTGACGTTGAATTTGAAATTGTCTTGGCGTACTCTATGAGGTGGTAAAATGGACAAAATGCCTTTTGGGAATTTTCCTTCCCTATCCAAGCATAACTATGCCCTAAATTCAAGACTTTACTCCTCGATCTACACACATAACTCTAACTAAGTAAAATAATTGATCCATTAGAAGTCGTGCGTATTGTGATTAAAAGAGAAGGTTCTACTGAATGGGCAAATTTTTCTAATTTAAAAATTATATTTCGATTGAATAATTATGTTGTACTTAGTAAGTAAGTAATATATTTATGGTCTCTAATGACATATCTAGTAAATGCGTGTACGTTTATATGCAATTGCTTGAGAGTGCCTCAAATGTTTCATTGAGCACGCTGGCGGAGATTCTATGTGATTGTACTAAGGCGTGACATGCGTACATAGGAAATATCTTATAATAAAACGTTAAACTACCGCTATCAAAATTGTATAAAAAGCTAGCTCGAGTATTAACTATGCTTTCGTCAAGATGCAAAGCACCTAAAAAGTTTGACGAGCTTTCAAGAGGTTTAAGTGAGTTCCTTCCGGTTGCGACCTGAGCAACTCTTACTCATCTCTGGTGCTCTACTAAACTCTAAACACTTTCTTTCTCAATGAACTTGGGCCAGTATAGAAATCAATAACTAATCGATAACCAAACACACCTGCCGATAACGCAATGTTCGGAAATATTTCACTCGGTCCCTGTCCTCTGTTCGCACGTCTCTGTGTTATCCACTGAGGTTTGTTTGCTCCAGCGTATCCAGCGAAAGCAAAAGATCCCCTGTGGTCCGGCTGTACAGGGTCAGTAGCGCCCAGTCCCTTTAGCGCATCAATCGCTGGCGACATGTGTCTTGAGCCCTCATCTTGAATAGCAACTAACACTATTTTACTGTGAGGGAAGAGAAGTAGTATTTATACTAATTTTGTGAGAGCTAAGAAGAGCCGACAACTTATTAAACAAAAAATACAGAGCGTAAAATTAAAATCTCTTGTAGTTACGTGGATTTTAAAGTCATTTTCTTAGGGAAAAAAAATTGCGCACTAACAAACTGATGTGTTTGAAATCAAGCATTGAGTTGATAGAAGTCCAAACAAAAGTTACAATGTATTGGAAATGTAAGGCCACATAATATACCAATCATGGAAAAAATGTCCTAAATACATTTAATTAAAAACACTGACACTACAGACCCCTTACTATCAATATCGTCTGTGCTACGTTGTCAAATTCAAAGTGGTTCGGGAGTAATTACGAGTAATTCGAGGTGTTTTTAAAATTCTTGAAATTTATCAATAAGCGAAGTTATGACGTCGATAACTCGAAAAATATTGATTTCAAAATATATATATAAACTATATCTCAAGTAATTTGTTTCAGAAATGTTTGATTCCTTTTTGTAGGTTTGCTCCACACTATCAGTTTGATATCGATTACAATTCCACTAAAAACTGTAAGTTGAAGGTGTTTCTCAGGAACCTGGAGAGTTGCTCTGGTAGCCTTAGAGACTCAACGTGTTCAGACCCGATCTGACATTTTCTTGAATGAAAGTATTTTCAAGGATATGCACTTATGCTAGTACCAGTCTCTTCGAAAATTGCCATTTAAGAATGAAACTATTTTATCGCGCATTAAACATAACTTACTGGCCATGAAGACCGTTAAGGTAATCTCTGAGTGCATTACCCGCCGAGCTATTTTCATGAGTATCAAATCCTCTTGTATCGAGAACTGCACCTGTAGGAATGGAAAGCTATTAAACATGACCTAATGAGATTTTATTTGAAATTGTGAAAGATACCCTTTTTTCTGTCAAGCAATTTTTTTTTTCAGATTAAGTAAGCAGGGAGAAAGTGATTAAGTAAGAACGAATGAGTGAAGGAAGTAAAGAAACTGTGGTGCTGCGTCGGTGGGAAAGTATAACAGGGTAATTAAGTGTTATCAATTAATTTTCCCTTAATAATGAAACCTTGTGGGGTCTTACTTTTCCACTAATTTCGAGGAAGGCAGATTGTCAACCTAACTCATACCCCCACTACGCGAGCGCGTGAACAGATGTCAATCGTTACGTACGACAAGTTAATAGAGTCAAGCGAAACGACTCAACTGACTGGGTACGAAACGAGCGTGGGTACGAAACGACCATTAACCAATACAAACATTCTGCGATGGTTTTTAGGGTAAAACTGGGTGATTAGGACTAACCCAACTATTTAATTTTCATGTCTTTTGCGCAACCAGAAGTAGAGCATGTAAGAGGCTTAATTCCAAGGACATATCACAATAGCCCTCCTTTTTTGCCCGCTTTGAAAGCGCTAGACAGAGACCAGAGTTAAACAGGGGAGGTTTACTTAAGCGGCATAGTTCGTAGTACCTGTTGCTCCGTCCACAACAACAACGTTATATCCTCTGCTGTGAGGAGAGTGATCTGTTCCATCCACCTTAATGTAAGCTTTGCCGCAGACGTCTGCTCTTCCTGCATCCTCACAACCCTCGCTTCGAACGTGGATATCCAAGACACGAACTGAAACGAGAAAAAAGAGAAGACTGATTATGGCAACTCTTCCTTTATCTTAAAGTGAAAAGAAAAAAATGAAGAAAAAAAAAAGCAAACGAAAAACGAGAAGACTGATTATTGTAACCCTTCTTTTTATAGAAACAAAAGGGCAAAAAGACAAAACGAAAACAAAGAATTGAAACAATCAGAAAAACAAACCAAAAAGGCATCTATAATTTTGGAGAAAAAAAATCTGTTAGTACAGTCAGGAAGAAAATTCTGCACACTTATTGGTTATGAGCACGTTAATTGATCCCAAACAAAAAAAAAAATTTAAATGAGGAGTAACATTTGAAATATGTGAAAAAAGTTGAACTTTAATATATATGATAAATTTGTAATTAAATGGCTTTGAATGCAATTTAAATCAACTAAAAAGCTCGTGTAATCTTTTTAAAAAAAGAACAAGCTGGTACACAAATTGAGAAGGGATGAATCCACTGTACTTCAAATCTACTGACTTAGATGAAATATGCAATATGATGGACTGTGTATTTCATTTCCAATCCTAAACTTCTCATCTCCTGTAGCCTTAAGGGATAAAGCATCATTATAATTAGCGCGGGTACTAAGTACTTACCATTCTCACAGCTTACTCCTTCAGTCCAAACGGGACATGCGCAGATGTATCTATTAATCTGATCAGTGCAAGTACCTCCGTTTAAACAGGGATTACTGGAGCACTCGTTGATGTCTGGGTAAAAATGCATGTTTAAAGATCATTAGAAACACGGTTCAGGATCCTTTCTTTAGGATCTAATAATGAACAAGGAGAAGTGGACATCACAAATGACATATTTCTTATCTATTGACTTCGCCATTCGAATAGTTTATTAACTTCGTGCCATGTTATGGGATTCCAAAGAATAAATTGAACCTAATGTTCAAGTGCTACCCACAACAGTTCCTGCTCTGGTAATCACATTGCTCGAGTCTAGAATGTTTCAAGTAAGCAACCAGATTGCTAAGCAAATTTTAAAATTGCGCTGTCTCTCATTGAAGACAATTTTGAAGAGTAGATTACTCTATCAAATCTTAAAAAGCGCTCAGCGTCGTAATCTGATTTACAATTTTCAATGACGGAGATAAGAGTTATACGGCATCAGGAGCATGCTTTTCCTTTAGACTTACCGGTTTCACAATTCCGGCTGGTAAAACCTGGTTTGCAAACACATTCATAATCGTCTTGACTGTATAATGGTCGACAGAATAAAGCTCCTTGCTGACAAGGGTTGCTCATGCAGGGGCTCTGTTGAAAGAAAAAATCGTAAAAGAAAAAATTAACATTTAATCAAGACTCGAGAGGTGCACGGCACGACCAAACCTACAAGCGGAGGGATAAAGAAAGGGGGTAAATCTCGAAGGAAACAGTTGGGTGTGTGCGTGTAGTGTGTACGTATGGGGGGGGGGACGGGGGTTTGACAAGATATTTGGTTTTATCAACTGAGTTTAAAAAGCTGAGCGTTAGTCCAGAGTCATTCGCTTTGACGAAGGAATGACACTCGAAATCAGCTTTAAAACTCTTTACGGTGGCCAATTTACAATACTAACCAAGAGAATCTCTTGTATGAACTCAGTCGGAGGGATAGTTCTTTGTACAATAACAAAGTCGTGTATGGCAGAATTTAATAATTTAATCCAAATGAGCCAGATCGAGCGAGAAACATCTCAGTCTGTAAGGTACAGTGTAGGTCACGGCTATTAATTCCCCCAGTAGTGCATGGAATCAAAGAATGGACGAAGTGCTTCACAACTTCGGCTAACGCTGGAAGAGTGTCTTATTTTCATATGCTTTTGGTTGTTAGGAAGCAACATGTATTATGCCGAAAAAATATAGCTTTGTTCAATTACCAAAACAAATAGCCTGACACCTGCCTTGATATTATAATGGTCGAAGGTCTCGTTGAGAGCCAAATCATTCGGTTTTTGGAACTTGTCCGCGTTTAGTAACTCGCACTTGTGAGTTCCGTCAAGTGAAGCTGCAGCAAAATTGACTGAGTAACATTCCAGATGACTAACACAGCGATGAAGACACTCTTGGACTTTGTATACCCTTATAATGATTAGAACTGCGACATCAAGTCTTTGCAAGGGATTCTTCACAAAATTAGCGTAGTTTACACCGTATTGGCCTTCTCGTCTGAAGCTCTGAGCGGATATGAGCGTGTATATACCAATGGACAGCACGAATTTTATGTACGATTTGATCCTCTCCATTTGTCAGTAGCAGTTAAAAAAACTGGGTCAATGAAAGCTGTTGGTGAAGTGAAGATGAAGGTTTGTTTGTTAAACCTACCGCAGAAAATTTAAAATTAATGAAAATGTGTATGTATTCGCTTACCAGGAAGTTCCAATGAAATTGCGTAGTGTTCAATCAACAATTAATAATCAAGTATTATATATGCTGGTTGATCTTAATTAGAAATTTCCGTATTTACTTTCGACGGTGCCTGATGCGTCATTTGAAAAATGAAGCACTTTTGATTAGCTGCTTTCTTGCAAGGGGTGGGTGATAAAATTTTAATTTCGTTTGCTGCTGCGGAGAAGGCCCAATATGGTCACAAGGTGTCGGTCGCTTCTTTAATTATTAATCTTATTGGGAATACATCAATGTTTGTAATCACTAAATAGAATCTATAGAAAGTTATTGGACCATAATTTTCGATTTATGGAATGCACACGAAAATGACATGCGTCTTGCTGTCACCGATGAGCTGTTTCTAGTAATTTCTTAATCCGTGATGTCGTATGCTTAATTTCAACTTGTCCGTGATGATTATCATGGGGATTGCTCACCAACCGTGTATGTTTTAATTTTAAGATTCACGACAACGATTAACATAACCCCTTCCAAAAATAAGACATGCGCAACGGCTACACAGAAGTCCATCTCAGCCGTGCACTGTGGGGAGAGGGGATGAGAATCTGATATGAAGCTATCATGTCAATTGAGCGAGTCAAGGCTGTGGTAAAAAAGGCAATAATCTTCGCTGTCTTCGACCCTACGAGTATGAGCACGTTTCTCTCAGTGTAAGCAATTAGGGACCTTAAGCAGTCAGGACGACAACGCCAAGGAAAACTTTGATTAAAAAATTAATTTCTGCCTTAAATTAGAATTTCAAAAATGGCTGCATCTGTTCACCGTCTCATACGGTGCCACACCTCAACTTCAGCATAAAGTATAAAAGAAGCTTTGAGTTCCAAATTGAAATTAAAATAATTTGCCGTCCCGGTTTCGGTTTCGTAGACGACGCAAATTGTGATGATTTCACGTTGTTACTTTGCATAGGACGGCTAAGAAATGTACAAAGTTTAAAAACGCACGTGCTGAGCTATTGTTCTGCCAATTAGATCTTTTGTTTTTCCACGTCCTCGTTGCCGTCGCCGTCATGGTTTGCTTAAGGTCCCTATTACCTACTGAATGGAGGTGCAGTTGTCATTTGCGATGTTTGCCATTTCACTATTGCAGCAGTGGGTCTGTTTTCTCTCTCTTGTCTATGTACATTCTTCTTTATGGTTCTCTGGGGCTTTTGTCTACTCATTGTTTTTCTAAGAATTAAATGGTTAGTAATTCCCCTCGTGGATCTTTTTGTTCATTTGACCACTAGTCTTCTTAATGGTGTATTAATATTTTATTGATAAATTACTTCTTGGTAATCGTTGAGAGTGAAAGGGTTTAGGTGGCCAAATAAAAAGTGCTGTTGGTGAACTTACGGACTGTAGGGGACATAAGTAGTGAACGAACATGAATTTTAGGTACGATTTCAGTTCATATGAATTGTAAATAATTATTTCGAGTTGTTTTTTACTTACAAAGGCCCCTCAATCCAGGGATGTAAATACGTTTCTTTGAGTCCATTTACTCCAGATGAGGGTAACTTGTACAGTTTTCAGGGAAGTATTTCATGATTGTTATAATTGTAATATTTTCAATTTTTTAGAGACTGTTTGTAAGTCTCGTAAATTATGAATTGCTATATTCAGTCAGTTGGAAGACCTTCTACTCACATCTCTGAGTTTAAAATAAATTCTCCGTATTGCATTCTTTGTGTGAAAAATTTCATTGATTTTCTCGAGCTAAAATTTCCGTGGGCCCAATCACGAACCTTCGTTCTGGAAATGAGCTTACGCTCCATTTTCCGTTTATCCCCCCCTCCCCCAACCAAATTTCCTTCTCGGTACGATCGAAGAACGAATCCGAGGAAACGGCCGAAGAGAGTCCACAGGTTATTTAGGTCTCTTGTACGTAATACGTTCAGTTGTCCTTGGCAGCATGCAGTCTTTCATCGGTCTCAATGAATGCGTTCATCTCGGATCTCTTCAGTTTTTTTACTTTAAGTTCGTTGCCTTGTGAGTTCTCTGTAAATTTCATCATATATGAAAAGGGAGTTTTCTTGTACTATCTCTTTTTTTATTCCTGGCACAAAAAGGTTCCGTTTATTAGGTTAATTTTCGGTGAACAAGCCCAACATTCGATCCTTATGTAGTGTTTAGGATCTTCGTCAATATAACCAATTGCTAAATGATAAAATTACAATTATAGTTAATCTACAATATCGTAAGGGTTTCCTTGTATTGGTGTCGGAAAAAGGAATGGAAATATTATATTATTTTAAATCATTAAGTTATTATTTTAAAGGGCAGGTTGATTACTTCGTACTCCTTCTTGGTGGTCTTATCTTGAAGGTTGAGTTTGGTCACGTTCTTCTTGTGAGTTTGGTCACGTTCTCCTAGTGAGCTTAATCACGTTTTCCTCGTTGTGATCGTGAGGATGACATGAACTCGTGATAAGCCATGTTCTTAATTAAGTTAATTTGTTAGTCCGGGAAGAGTAAATCTCCCTGGTAATAGGTCGCGTTCGACACCTTCTTGTCCCCAGGGGTATTTTAAGGTGAAAACACGCAACCAAAAGCAATTTGGGGGCGGTACTTGTGAGCGCCTTTCTTCTTTAACTCTTGTGACCAAGATGTTATTATGTAACAATCTTTAAAGGTGATTTTCTCTTAAGATACCCTTTCAGGTATAAATGATACTCTGAACCAAGGTTAATTGTAATTTTTATATTATCGATTTCGTTTCTGTTCTGGCCGATCCCAACCGTAAAGATATGAAAGTTAAGGAGAAATTGATTTTGTAACTGCGTAAACAACTCTAAGGTGCATACTCAGTATGTGGGAACTGTAATACGTAGTCAAGCGTGATTCGCTAGTTGAGATGGTGCAAAGACGACATAAGAAGATTGACGGCTAAGAAATGTCATCTGCAGTGTCACCTTTATAGGCGGAGACTCTAGTTTTCCCTGTCATAAAGAAGCTAGTCCCCGTTGTATCAATTTGCAAAGAAAGAGAATAAGGAAGAATTAACCTATCAAACGACGAGTGTTAGAAAATTAATTTCTGATACAATATAACGTATTGAGTGAAATTCAGATACTGCCAATGGTCTCCAGTAACATAGACGCATAGTGGGGGAGAGTAGAACCTACTCCTCCACATCTCGTGATTCGTTCTTCCCCAGTCGACGCCACACATGACTTTAAAACCACAGTGAGCCTATAGACAATTGCCTTTCAGTTGACGTGGGAGGGAACTGTTCCAAGGACGGCCGTCGTTTCAATTCAGTTTCCTAAAAATGAAGTAACTGACGTTGAATTTGAAATTGTCTGGGCGTACTCTATGGGGTGGTAAAATGGACAAAATGCCTTTTGGAAATTTTCCTTCCTTATCCAAGCATAACTATACCCTAAATTCAAGACTTTACTCCTCGATCTACACATATGACTCTAAGTAAGTAAAATAATTGATCCATCAGAAGTTGTGCGTATTGTGATTAAAAAGGAAGGTTCTACTGAATGGGCAAATTTTTCTCATTTAAAAATTATATTTCGATTGAATAATTATGTTGTACTTAGTAAGTAAGTAATATATTTATAAGTTCTAATGACATATCCAGTAAATGCGTGTACGTTTATATGCAATTGCTTAAGAGTGCCTCAAATGTTTCATTGAGCACGCTGGCGGAGATTCTATGTGGTTGTTTTAAGGCGTGACATGCGTACATAGGAAATATCTAATAATAAAACGTTAAACTACCGCTATCAAAATGGTATAAAAAAGCTGGCTCGAGTATTAACTATGCTTTCGTCAAGATGTAAAGCACTTAAAAAGTTTGACGAGCTTTCAAGAGGTTTAAGTGAGTTCCTTCCGGTTGCGACCTGAGCAACTCTTACTCATCTCTGGTGCTCTACTAACCTCTAAACACTTTCTTTCTCAATGAACTTGGGCCAGTATAGAAATCAATAACTAATCGATAACCAAACACACCTGCCGATAACGCAATGTTCGGAAATATTTCACTCGGTCCCTGTCCTCTGTTCGCACGTCTCTGTGTTATCCACTGAGGTTTGTTTGCTCCAGCGTATCCAGCGAAAGCAAAAGATCCCCTGTGGTCCGGCTGTACAGGGTCAGTAGCGCCCAGTCCCTTTAGTGCATCAATCGCTGGCGACATGTGTCTTGAGCCCTCATCTTGAATAGCAACTAACACTATTTTACTGTGAGGGAAGAGAAGTAGTATTTATACTAATTTTGTGAGAGCTAAGAAGAGCCGACAACTTATTAAACAAAAAATACAGAGCGTAAAATTAAAATCTCTTGTAGTTACGTGGATTTTAAAGTCATTTTCTTAGGGAAAAAAAATTGCGCACTAACAATCTGATGTGTTTGAAATCAAGCATTGAGTTGATAGAAGTCCAAACAAAAGTTACAATGTATTGGAAATATAAGGCCACATAATATACCAATCATGGAAAAAATGTCCTAAATACATTTAATTAAAAACACTGACACTACAGACCCCTTACTCTCAATATCGTCTGTGCTACGTTGTCAAATTCAAAGCGGTTCGGGAGTAATTACGAGTAATTCGAGCTTCTTTTAAAATTCTTGAAATTTGTCAATAAGCGAAGTTATGACGTCGATAACTCGAAAAATATTGATTTCAAAACACATAGATAAACTATATCTCAAGTAATTTGTTTCAGAAATGTTTGATTCCTTTTTGTAGGACTTTAGGTTTGCTCCACACTATCAGTTTGATATCGATTACAATTCCACTAAAAACTGCAAGTTGAAGGTGTTTCTCAGGAACCTGGAGAGTTGCTCTGGTAGCCTTAGAGACTCAACGTGTTCAGACCCAATCTGACATTTTCTTGAATGAAAGCATTTTCAAGGATATGCACTTATGCTAGTACCAGTCTCTTGGAAAATTGCCATTTAAGAATGAAACTATTTTATGGCGCATTAAACATAACTTACTGGCCATGAAGACCGTTAAGGTAATCTCTGAGTGCATTACCCGCCGAGCTATTTTCATGAGTATCAAATCCTCTTGTATCGAGAACTGCACCTGTAGGAATGGAAAGCTATTAAAGACAACCGCATAAACATGACCTAATGAGATTTTATTTGAAATGGTGAAAGATACCCTTTTTTCTGTCAAGCAATTTTTTTTTTTCAGATTAAGTAAGCAGGGAGAAAGTGATTACGTAAGAACGAATGAGTGAAGGAAGTAAAGAAACTGTGGTGCTGCGTCGGTGGGAAAGTATAACAGGGTAATTAAGTGTTATCAATTAATTTTCCCTTAATAATGAAACCTTGTGGGGTCTTACTTTTCCACTAATTTCGAAGAAGGCAGATTGTCAACCTAACTCATACCCCCACTACGCGAGCGCGTGAACAGATGTCAATCGTTACGTACAACAAGTTAATAGAGTCAAGCGAAACGACTCAACTGACTGGGTACGAAACGAGCGTGGGTACGAAACGACCAGTAACCAATACAAACATTCTGCGACGGTTTTTAGGGTAAAACTGGGTGATTAGGACTAACCCAACTATTTAATTTTCATGTCTTTTGCGCATCTAGAAGTAGAGCATGTAAGAGGCTTAATTCCAAGGATTTATCACAATAGCCCTCCTTTTTTGCCCGCTTTGAAAGCGCTAGACAGAGACCAGGGTTAAACAGGGGAGGTTAAACAGGGGAGGTTTACTCAAGCGGCATAGTTCGTGGTACCTGTTGCTCCGTCCACAACAACAACGTTATATCCTCTGCTGTGAGGAGAGTGATCTGTTCCATTCACCTTGATGTAAGCTTTGCCGCAGCGGTCTGCTCTTCCTGCATCCTCACAACCCTCACTTCGAACGTGAATATTGAAGACAGGAACTGAAACGAGAAAAAGAGAAGACTGATTATTGCAACTCTTCCTTTTTCTTATAATGAAAAGAAAAAATGAGGAAAAAAAAAGAAAAAATTCAAACAAAAAAAAAACCAAAAACAAACGAAAAACGAGAAGACTGATTATTGTAACCCTTCTTATAGAAACAAAAGGGAAAAAAGACAAAACGAAAACAAAACAAAAGAAACAATCAGAAAAACAACCCAAAAAGCACCTATACTTTTGGAGAAAAAAAAAATCTGTTTGTATGTCAGGAAGAAAATTCTGCACGCCTTTTGGTTATGAGCACGTTAATTGATCCCAATCAGAAAAAAAAAATTTAAATTAGCAGTAACATTTGAAATAGGTGAAGAAAGTTGAAATTAAATATATATCATATATATGTTTTGAGTAAGCAACCAGGTTGCTAAGCAAATCTTAAAATTGCGCTGTCTCTCCTTGGAGACAATTTTTTAGGGGGGGTTACTTTATCAAATCTTAAAAAGCGCTCAGTGTCGTAACCTGATTTACAATTTTCAATGACGGAGATAAGAGTTATACGGCATCAGGAGCATGCTTTTCCTTTAGTCTTACCGGTTTCACAATTCCGGCTGGTAGAACCTACTTTGCAAACACATTCATAATCGTCTTGACAAGAGACATATAGTACGCCAGATGTTTTTGATAGTTGGAAATTTCAGTGGCTGGGAGATATGTATTATTCGCACGGATCCAATCATAGCAAAGGCGTTCTGGTGTTAATACGCGAGACCCTTCAATTTGAGTTGAAGTCGGTCAAGAAAGATAGCCAGGGCAGATTCGTCATCGTTGAAGCGTTAGTTCAAGATTCTCCCGTTTTGTTGATCAATATTTATGCTCCTAACAATACCCATGACGCTGTTGACTTCTATGAAAACCTTAGGACTACTTTACTTGAGAGTGACTATGACCAGGACTACAGGTTTATTATGGGAGGTGATTTTAATGTGCCATTAAGTCTTCAACTTGATAGCTATGGAAGTAAAACAGAAAAAAAAGACGTGGTAACCAAAATCCACGAGCTAATGTTAGACTTTAACCTGGTAGATATATGGAGACTAAGGAACCCGGACAAAAAGCGTTACACGTGGAAACAAAATAAGCCTTTAGTCCAACGTCGGTTAGACTACTGGCTAATAAGCGATGATTTTCAAGATGACGTGGACAGCACAGGTATAATTTCTGCCATTAAAACAGACCACGCTGCTATTGTGCTCCAGGTTAACAGTGTTGAAATGCAACCAACTGGGCCGTCATATTGGAAATTTAACTCTAGCCTGTTAGAAGATCCAGAATATATCAATCTTATAAAAGACAACGTTCCCTCGTGGCTAGTAGAATTTAATGAAGTGTTAGACAAAGGTCTTCTGTGGGATTTAATTAAATACAAAATAAGACAAGTAACAATGAAATATAGCAAAACAAAGGCAAAAGAAAGGAGAAGTCGTCTTTGCGAAATCGAGAATAAATTGAAAGAATGCCAAGAGATTTTTGACTCTAATCCGACAGAAAATAACGCTGTACAGCTGGAAACGATCAAATCTGAGTACAACTCACTGTATGATTATATTATTCAAGGTAATGTTATTCGTTCTAGAGCCAATTGGTATGAACATGGTGAGAAAAATAACAAATATTTCTTAAATTTAGAAAGTAGAAAGATGAGCAACTCTTGCGTCCGTAAACTTTTTGATAAAGGCGGTAAATTAATAACTAATCCCAAATCAATTTTATCAGAATTGTATGACTTTATACTGAATTGTACTCTAACCGCGACCCACCCAATCATAACAATGTTAGCGATGCGTTTCTTGACCAATGTCGTTTGCCAACTTTAAACGAAGATGCCAAACAAATTTGTGAAGGGGTTCTTACAAAGGCGGAGTGTTTTAAAGCTCTACAAACGTTTAAAAACGGAAAATCCCCAGGTAACGATGGCCTGACAGCAGAATTTTATCAAGTATTTTGGCCCACCTTAGGACATTTGTTAGTTGACTCTCTAAACAGTTCCTATGGAAAAGGAGAATTGGCAAACTCCCAAAAACAAGGAATTATAAAACTTATTGAGAAGAAAAACAAGGATAAAAGATATGTTGCGAATTGGAGACCCATTTCTCTGTTAAACGTGGATGTTAAGATTGCGTCCAAAGCTATATCATTAAGACTCGAGAAAGTTCTTCCCGACTTAATTAGTGCTGAACAGTGCGCATATGTGAAAGGAAGGAACATCTTTGATGCAGTACGAACTATAGGTGATATTATGGACTATACAAAGTTATACAATCTCCCCGGTCTCATGGTGACCATTGACTTCGAGAAAGCGTTTGACTCCTTAAGTTGGAACTTCCTTTTTAAGACCTTGGAAAAGTTCAATTTTGGAGAATCCTTTATTAGTTGGATACGTCTTTTCTATACTAATATATCCAGCTGCATTATGAATAATGGTGTAGCAACTCCTCTTTTTTCAATCGGAAGAGGAGTTAGACAGGGTGACCCTCTCTCGCCCTATTTATTTATTTTAGCCTTGGAAACCCTCCTTACCGCTATCAAACAGACTCGAGATATAAAAGGTATAGTAGTAGAAAACAAAGAAATCAAATGTATCACTTTCGCCGATGACTTAACAAACTTTTTACGCGATAAGGAATCTTATGACTCTCTTAGTTCCTTATTGAACACATATGGCGAATGTTCAGGGCTTAAACTAAATAAGGACAAAAAAGAAGCCTACTGGTTAGGAAGTTCCTATCGAAATCACGAAGCTCTCGATATTAATAAGGTGAATGAGCCAATTAAAATACTAGGTATATTTTTCACTTATGATCAGCGTAAAAGCAGAGAGCTTAACTTTGACCTTACTTTAAAGTCAATAAGAAAGTCCTTAAGTTGCTGGCAATGGAGAAACTTAACATTAATTGGTAAAATTCAATTAGTCAAAACATTTGCTATGCCTAAGTTTATGTGTCGGGCCTCCTTTATCTCTTTTGATAAGGATATAATTAAAAGCACAAATTCTGTGATATTCAATTTCGTGTGGAGAGGCAAAGACAAAGTCAAAAGACTAGCCTTAATTAGTGAATACGAAGACGGTGGCCTCAAAATGCCTCACCCTGAATCTTTAATTAAAACTCAAAGAATTGTGTGTCTGGCAAGGTATTTAGATGATAATAGTAGTCCGTGGAAAGTTTTCTTGTCTCATTATCTTAAGAATGTAGGAACCAGTTTTCTGCTTCAGTGCAATTTCAATCCATCGCGCCTACCCTGTAAACTACCTTCTTTTTATAAAGAATGTCTTGAAGTTTTGTCTGACTTTAATGGCAATCACGATATAATAGCTACAAAACAGGACGTTTTAAATGTGACTATCTGGAACAACCAGAACCTCTTGATTAACAAGAAATCAATATACAACAAGAGAATAAAAGAAGCAGGTTTTGTGAAACTTGGAGATATTCTCTCAAATGACTCAAAATTAAAAAGGTGGGACGCTTTTAGAGAGAAAAATCTCTCCTTGTCAGATTACTTACTCCTACAATGCATTTTTTCCGCCATTCTGCCTAACTGGAAACAGCTCCTTAACGTTGGAGAGAATAATAACAACCGAATTGACAAAACTGTTTCAGACGATGTTCAAGATATAACTAGAATGACTTCAAAATCAATCTATTCCACCCTGGTCAAACGAATCCAGATTTCTCCGACTGCCCAATCTAAGTTCAATTTCGTATACAATATTTCAGGTAATATAGACTGGAAAAATATTTATCTATTGCCGGGTCGAGTCACTCTTGACACTAGAACGAGAGCCTTTCAATACAAAATCTTAAATCGTATTCTCTACACCAATAAAATCCTCTATAAAATGAATTTGGTTCCTTCTCCGACGTGTACCTTTTGTGGAGATCACGAAGAAACTCTTGAGCATCTTCTAATCAGCTGTACTTACACTAAAAACTTTTAGCTTTCGGTTATTTCTTGGTTAAATACTTACAATATGAAAATTGATAAGCTTGATGAGGTAACAATCCTCTTTGGTATTTCCGATAATATCCCTGGGAATTGTTTGTTAAATCACATAATCATTCTTGGAAAATATACCATTTATTCATGTCGTTGTAAAAATATCAAGCCGTCTGTATCCTTACTGAAGGCTAAAACATCTGAAACTCGGAAATTTGAATTTTTGATTGCAAAAAAGAATAAAAAAGAATCTATTCATTATAAAAAATGGGAAAACATGTTATTGTAACTCAATAGATGAGTATCGGGTATTAACAGTTATAGACGCAGTTGTATATACAGTCGTTCTACCAAAAAAGGAATTTGATGTAGAAGTATTTGTACAAATTAGGTTTATATTATTATATAACCACAACATAAATTAAATCTAGCCGACTGTGAATGTAATGTAACGTAGTATTTCGTAATTAGTGTTAGTGAGTAGCGTAAGCGTTAGTGTAATTAACTTTGTATTTGTTTGTATTATTCTAGTATTTGTGCTTTAAGTGAAAATAAAATAAATAAATAAAAAATAAAAAAAAAAAATAATAATAATCGTCTTGACTGTATAATGGTCGACAGAATAAAGCTCCTTGCTGACAAGGGTTGCTCATGCAGGGGCTCTGTTGAAAGAAAAAATCGTAAAATGAAAAAAGTTAACATTTAATCAAGACTCGAGAGGTGCACCGCACGCCCAAACCTACAAGCGGAGGGATAAAGAAAGGGGGTAAATCTCGAAGGAAACAGTTGGGTGTGTGCATGTAGTGTGTACGTGGGGGGGGGGGGAAGGAGGGGGCGAAGGGGGGTTTGACAAGATATTTGGTTTTTATCAACTGAGTTTAAAAAGCTGAGCGTTAGTCCAAAGTCATTCGCATTGACGAAGGACTGACGCTCGAAATCAGCTTTAAAACTCTTTACGGTGACCAATTTACAATACTAACCAAGAGAATCTCTTGTATGAACTCAGTCGGAGGGATAGTTCTTTGTACAATAACAAGGTCGTGTATGGCAAAATTTAATAATTTAATCCAAACGAGCCAAATCGAACGACAAACATCTCAGTCTGTAAGGTACAGTGTAGGTCACGGCCATTAATCCCCCCAGTAGTACATGAAATCAAAGAATGGACGAAGTGCTTTACAACTTCGGCTAACGCTGGCAGTGTTTTATTTTTTTCTATGCTTTTGGTTGTTAGGAAGCAACATTTATTAGGCCAAAAAAACACAGCTTAGTTCAATTACCAAAACAAATAGCCTGACACCTGCCTTGATATTATAATGGTCGAAGGTCGCGTTGTGAGTCAAGTCATTCGGTTTTTGAAATTTGTCCGCGTTTAGTAACTCGCACTTGTGAGTTCCGTCAAGTAAAGCTGCAGCAAAATTGACTGAGTAACATTCCAGATGACTAACACAGCGATGAAGACACTCTTGGACTTTGTATACCCTTATAATGATTAGAACTGCGACATCAAGTCTTTGCAAAGGATTCTTCACAAAACTAGCGTAGTTTACACCGTATTGGCCTTCTCGTCTGAAGGTCTGAGCGGATATGAGCGTGTATATACCAATGGACAGCACGAGTTTTATGTACGATTTGATCCTCTCCATTTGTTAGGAGTCAGTGAAAGCTGTGGGTAAAGTGAAGATTAAAGGTTTGTTGTTGAACCTACCGCAGAAAAATTAATTAAAATGTGTTTTTTTCGCTTAACAAGAAAGTTCCAATGAGGTTGCGTAGTGTTCAATCAACAATTAATAATCAAGTGTTATATACGAAGGTAAACAATTAGGGACCTTAAGCAGTCAGGACGACAACGCCGATTAATTTCTGCCTTAAATTAGAATTTCAAAAATAGCTGCATTTGTTTATCGTCTCATACGGTGCCACACCTCAACTTCAGCATAACGTATAAAAGAAGCGTTGAGTTCCAAATGGAAATTAAAATAATTTGCCGTTGCGGTTTCGGTTTCGTAGAAATGTACAAAGTTTTAAAACGCACGTGCTGAGCTATTGTTCTGCCAATTAGATCTTTTGTTTTTCCACGTCCTCGTTACCGTCGCCGTCGTGGCTTGCTTAAGGTCCCTATTTCCTACTGAATGGAGGTGTAGTTGTCATTTGCGATGTTTGCCATTTCACTAGTGCAGCGGTGGGTCTGTTTTCTCCCTCTTGTCTATGTACATTCTTCCTTATGGTTCTCTGCGAAATTTCTTTTGCATGAACTTTTTCCTTTTAAACAATTCGCTGGCAATATCTATGAATGATAATTTATGACCGGCAGATAAATAGGTTGTTTTACATTGCTAAATCGGAGGACTGTCGTTACCAAGTTATCAAGACTACTGAGGTTTTTTTTTTTTAACCAAGAGTAGATGTTTTTTTTTAAAATTTTATTTTCGAAGAGCATTTTCCCCTGTATTGTAGAAGTATTCGTCATTTTTTTACTAGTTTCTTTTTTTTATTGCTCTGGAAAACGTTTTACTTTTACCCTGGTACGGCGCGGTACTGCAAATGTCCTGGAAGGTTTATCATATTTTTCGTAACCCAATTTTTCCGCTTGTTATTATGCGCTAAATGTGGCATCAGAGGGGCCCAGAAACCTCCAGAAGCCTTCTGTTTATGAAAAACAATGTCGCGACATTTTAGATTGTTGTACACGATGAATAGATTCAATATGAGGAGAGCTACAAATTTTTAGTTTGGCATCAAAAAGGTATTAATAGGGAAGGGTTGGTGTAGGACGGAAAAGATTGACAAGATTACTCACAAGTTATTGTTTAGGCACCTTAAAAGAGCCCATTCTGGTATACTGGTTATGCTTCAACCATCTCTCTTCCCCAAGTTTTGATATGGGAAACACTTCAGTAACCTGAAAGTCAGTATATCTTAAAGAAATCTTTCCAGCCTCTTTCCCTGTAATTTCACATTGTTTAGTCATTGAGTTTTTTACTAAGTTTTACTTTGGTATGAGTTGGGCGCAACAAATTTGGTAATAAACATTTATTTAACAAATAGAGAAGCCTTGACTGCTCTCTGTTCTGTTATAAAGCACGCAGGAAGCGGCTAGAGCACGAAAGAAGTGTAGGGAGAAACACGAGACGTAGTCGAGTGTTTCTCCCCACTTCTTGAGTGCTTTAGCCGCTTCCTTAGTGCTTTATAACAGAACAGAGCACAGTCAAGGCTTCTCTATTTGTTTTATAATAAAGAATCCATTAAATTCTCCAAGCATTACTTTCAATCACTCACTTTTCAAAACAAACTTTATTTCCAAAGGGAACAACAGTGTCGTCAGCATGCTCTATACTCTCATAAAGCACGCTACAATAAGCCAATCAGAATCCCTGTTAGAATGGTTCAAATAATCTGATTGGCTGTACAAGACTAGAGCTGTCAAAAGTGTCAAACCATCAAAGTTCAAAATACCAAAGTTCACATTCTGCGATAGTTTACAAACTGAAATAGATCGGCAGGTTGAGTTTAACACTTTTGCCTGAAGTTTTTAAGTCTATAATACAGAATCTTGAAGTGAAATGTGCAGTGAAATTCAGCCGAATTATGGCTCATGAAAACACGCGAGGGTTTTCACATGACAAGGTAGAAAACAAACTGTTCAAGGCGAGTGTTTTTTTTGAATGAACGACTGCCGAATTCACTGGAACATGAAAATCGCTCGGGATGACAGCGCTGCAAAACTCGGCTGCAGTGACTGATGTAACTTTCCACTCAACGCATCGGAAAGGATATCAGAGCAAGCTCTTATTTTTTTCACTCGAAGGGCGGCCGATGTAGTTTCTGAGGCTTGCTTTACTGTGATGACCGGAGATCGCCATGATGAGCGAGCCGCAATGGACTTCAGCATGATCATATTCGCTCTGACACCGTCATGATTAGTATGAATTTTAACAGTTATGCCGGTTTGGTTATATTTTTCATCATTTCTGTTTTTTTCTGTTTTGTTTTTGAACACTGAACTTTATATACTATACGAGTGTTAGCTGTGTTTGATTTTTATTACTATACATAAGCTTGCAATCTAACTGAGCGTGAAAATCTTTATAACTCGGAATGTCTATTTTGTTTTTCCTTTGAGGATTTTCGTATCTGCTCACGTTTTAATAACGTAGATCACGACGCCTGGTATGTTTACAAACGTTTGTTTGGTTCCTCTGTTGCTCCTTGCCGGCTCGCTTGTTCCGAAATTTCACTTTCAATCATTGGAAAAAAGCTAAAAAGAAGTCCCGGAAAAGGTAGAACATAGTACAATTTGGCAGATGGCGCGACAGCTTTAGCTCAGCTCTATGCTCTATACTCTCACAGTGCATGCTCTTTCAGCCAATGACAGCGCGCGTAATATCCGAACTTTATTATAAATAGTTTTAGAGCAAGCAAGTCTTATGGCCTTATCAGGCCTTCGGCTTAAGTTATATGTCTTATGCTTCTCCTTTGTCTAAATATTACGGCAGATGAGACAAAGACATGTTCTGCTGCGATTTCTTACTCAGTAATAGGTAGTAACAGCAATTTGCAAGGCGTTCAAGCGAAAAGAGTGTTTGATTACCTCAAAATTTTACGATGAAGGAAACAAAATAAACTGTAAGTGTATTGTCCACGCCTCTGGGCACATAACAGAGGCAACTGACACTCTCTTTTGACTTTTTTACCCGCGAGGATTTCAGTGTAATTCTCCTTGCCTCTCCGGTAACGTTCCAATGAGTGGCAAAAAAAGATGACACGTCTCCCTTCAGTAGGTAGTCGGCAACTCTCCACTCAACATAATAAACAGAAACCTCTTAATTTATGTCTAAAAAGTTTATTGAAAGTCCCGTCCCCCCTCTCCCCCCAAACAATGTTGCCTGGTGGTGACCATTATTTAACACCAGCACTAGCATTAAGGAACTTTGAAATTGGGAGAAAGAGAGACAAATGGGAATTGTCGTTAAAAAAAAAAGCTAAATAGTAGTTGAGCGTAATAAGGCTTTGTCTACTCATTGTTGTTCTAAGAATTAAATGTTAAGTAATTCCTCTCGTGGATCTTTTTGTTCGTTTCACCACAAGTCTTATTGATAAATTACTTCTGGGTAATCGTTGAGAGTGAAAGGGTTTAGGTGGCCAACTAAAAAGTGCTGTTGGTGAACTTACGGGCTGTAAGCTTACGGGCTGTAAGTGAACATAAGTAGTAAACGAGCATGAATTTAGGCACGATATCAGTTCAAACGAATTGTAAATAATTATTTCGAGTTGTTTTTTACTTACAAAGGCCCCTCAATCCAGGGATATAAATACGTTTCTTTGAGTCCATTTACTCCAGCTGAGAGTAACTTGTACAGTTTTCAGGGAAGTATTTCATGATTGTTATAATTGTAATATTTTCAATTTTTTAGAGACTGTTTGAAGTCTCGTAAATTATGAATTGCTGTATTCAGTCAGTTGGAAGACCTTCTACTCACATCTCTGAGTTTAAAATAAACTCTCCGTATTGCATTCTTTGTGTGAAAAATTTCATTGATTTTCTCGAGCTAAAATTTCCGTGGGCCCAATCACGAACCTTCGTTCTGGAAATGAGCTTACGCTCCATTTTCCGTTTTTCCCCCCCTCCCCTAACCAAATTTCCATTTCGGTACGATCGAAGAACGAATCCGAGGAAACGGCCGAAGATAGTCCACAGGTTATTTAGGTCACTTATACGCAATACGTTCAGTTGTCCTTGGCAGCATGCAGTCTTTCATCGGTCTCAATGAATGCGTTCATCTCGGATCTCTTCAGTTTTTTACTCAAAGTTCATTGCCTTGTGAGTTCTCTGTAAATTCATCATATGTGAAAAAGGAGTTTTCTTGTACTATCTCTTTTCTGATTCCTGGCACAAAAAGATTTCTGTTTATTAGGTTAATTTTCGGCCAACAAGCCCAACATTCGATCCTTATATAGTGTACAGGGTCTTCGTTAATATAACCAATATAACGTATTGAGTGAAATTCAAATACTGCCAATAGTCTCCAGTAACATAGACGCATAGTGGGCGAGGGTAGAACCTACTCCTCCACGTCTCGTGATTCGTTCTTCGCCAGTTGACGCCACACATGACTTTTAAACCACAGTGAGCGTGTAGACAATTGCCTTTCAGTTAACGTGGGAGGGAACTGTTCCGAGGACGGCCGTCGTTTCAATTCAGTTTCCTAAAAATGAAGTAAATGACGTTGAATTTGAAATTTTCTGGGCGTAGTCTATGGGGTGGTAAAATGGACAAAATGCCTTTTGGAAATTTTCCTTCCCTATCCAAGCATAACTATGCCCTGAATTCAAGATTTTACTCCTGAATCTACACGTATGACTCTAACTAAGTAAAATAATTGATCCATTAGAAGTTGTGCGTATTGTGATTAAAAGGGAAGGTTCTACTGAATGAGCAAATTTTTCTCATTTAAAAATTATATTTCGATTGAATAATTATGTTGTACTTAGTAAGTAAGTAATATATTTATATACATATCCGGTAAATGCGTGTACGTTTATATGCAATTGCTCGAGAGTGCCTCAAATGTTTCATTTAGCACGCTGGCGGAGATTCTTTGTGGTTGTACGAAGGCGTGACATGCGTACATATGGTATAAAAAAGCTGGCTCGAGTATTAACTGTGCTTTCGTCAAGATGTTAAGCACTAAAAAATTTGACGAGCTTTCAAAAGGTTTAAGTGGGTTCCTTTCGGTTGCGACCAGAGCAACTCTTACTCACTCTCGTGCTCTACAAACAAAAAATGGGCCAGTATATAAATCAATAACTAATTGATAACCAAACACGCCTGCCGATAACGCAATTTTCGGAAATATTTCACTCGGTCCCTGTCCTTTGTCCGCACGTCTCTGTGTTATCCACTGAGGTTTGTTTGCTCCAGCGTATCCAGCGAAAGCAAAAGATCCCCTATCGTCCGGCTGTACAGGGTCAGTAGCGCCCAGTCTCTTGAGCGCATCAATCGCTGGCGACATGTGAATTGAGCCCTCATCTTGAATAGCAACTAACACTATTTTACTGTGAGGGAAGAGAAGTGATATTTATATTAATTTTGTGAGAGCTAAGAAGGGCCGTTATGTTATTAAACAGGAAATACAGAGCGTAAAATTAAAATCTCTTGTAGTTACGTGGATTTTAAAATCAATTTTTGAGGGAAAAAAAATTGCGCACTAACAAACTGATGTGTATGAAATCAAGCATTGAGTTGACAGAAGTCCAAACAAAAGTTACAATGTATTGGAAATATAAGGCCACATAATATACTAATCATGGAAAAAAAATGTCCTAAATACATTTAATTAAAAACACTGACACTACAGGCCCCTTACTATCAATATCGTCTGTGCTGCGTTGTGAAATTCAAAGCGGTTCGGGAGTAATTACGAGTAATTCGAGGTGTTTTTAAAATTCTTGAAATTTATCAATAAGCGAAGTTATGACGTCGTTAACACAAAAAATATTGATCTCAAAACACGTAGATAAACTATATCTCAAGTAATTTGTTTCAGAAATGTTTGATTCCTTTTGTTCCTTTGTTTATATGTTCTATTGTCATGTTTGATATTCTTGTTTACAACTCAACGGTATAAACTGAAAGTTGAAGGTCGTTTCTCTGCGTTTGTGCGTCATTATGGACGCCTTAGATTTAACAAAAGAGACTCAACATGTTCAGACTCGATCTGACATTTTCCTGAATGAAAGACAATTTTAGTATATGACTCTATTTTGTACCAGTCTCTTGGAAAATTGCCATTTAAGAATGAAACTATTATATGGCGCATGAAACATAACTTACTGGCCATGAAGACCGTTAAGGTAATCTCTGAGTCTATTACCCGCCGAGCTATCTTCATAAGTATCAAATCCTCTTGTACCGAGAACTGCACCTGTAGGAATGTAAAGCTATTAAAGACAACCGCATAATACATACATACATACATACACACTTTATTGATGCTCCCTAAGTGGGCTTTTCAGCTCAATAGAATAAAAAAATACAAATATATAAATTAATTGAGAATGTAAATACAATAATATTATAATTACAAAATATATATCAATAATATAATATATCAACTTAATAAAACATTTGCAAGATGACGTCTAAAATTCCTGGGGCATTTTAAGGACTTAATGTTATCATTCAAGGAGTTCCAGAGTTTGGCTCCTCTGAAAGCAAAGGAGCGCTGCCCTGTTGACAGGCGACATAAAGGTATATCCAAAGCACCAGATGATCGAGTTTGTCTATTATGGACTTGAGAACGTGATTTAAACATATCAGCAAGATAGTCTGGAACAAGCTTGTTAATACATTTGTGCATCATAGTAGCGTCATTTAGAATGAGTTTCTCTCTAATAGGAAGCCATTTCAACGATCGCAACCCATCCGAAATATGGTCATACTTTCTTAGTCCCAGAATAATTCGCCCAGCAAAGTTTTGGACTTTTTTCAGCTTGTCAATATTGCTACTGCTGGTATTACTCCAGACAGTTGAACAATATTGGAGTTTACTAAAGACAAATGAATTTATTACTAACAGAAGTGTTTTCCTATCCAGGAGGTGCTTGATTCTGTTAATTTGGTACAATTTAAAAAGGCATTTAGAGGCAATCTCAGTGATATGTTGGTTATAACTGAGGTGTGTGTCGAGAAGAACACCCAAGTCCTTAACGACAGGCACAGGTGTTATTTCTTTGTCAAAAAGTGTTATACTGAATGATGACAGTTTCTTTAAAAGTTGTGGTAATCCAACAGCTAGAACCTTAGTTTTTTCCGGATTAATCAAAAGAGAGTTTTTACAGCACCACTGAGATATTCTCGTAAGATCTTCGTTTAAGGCGAGGATGGACGTGGGTAATTCGGCAGGTGAAAAGGACAAATACAATTTACAATCATCAACATAGGAGGCAGATAGACAACGTTTAGGAACAGAAAGGAGGTCGTTAACATAGATTGTAAACAAAACCGGACCTAAAATAGAGCCTTGCGGAACTCCGAACTCAAGTGGGAGTACTTTAGAAACTGCGTCACCAATTCGAACGCACTGTTGTCGGTTAGAAAGGTAACTCTGAAACCAATTCAACGCACCCTGGGAAAAATCGAGATTTTGTAGCTTGGATAACAAGATGTCGTGTCGAATACTATCAAATGCTTTAGACATATCTAATAAGACCATGATGGAAACTTTCTTGTTATCCATAGCCTGGAGCAACTGATCTGTAACGTACAACAGAGCGGTTTCTGTCGAGTGAAGTTTTCTATTTCCGCTCTGATGTGCTGCCAGTTTATTATTTCTAATTAGATGCTCCATAAGTTGTCCATGTACCAACCTTTCAGTGACTTTTGAGACTATTGGTAATAATGAGATGGGGCGATAGTTGTTAGGGACATCTGGATTACCGCATTTGAGAATAGGTGTAACCTCTGCTGTTTTCCATGCACGTGCAAATGTGTTGGTAACAAAGGAGTTATTCACAATGTGGGTAATTGTTGTTAGCGTACTGGGTAAACTGTCTTTAAGAATTCTAGAAGATATCTTGTCCATTCCAGGAGCTTTGTTAGATGGTAGGCTTCTAATCACCCTTTCTACCTGATTTTCCGTGACTTGATGGAGAACGAATAATTCGGGGCTAACGTCGGTGGATATGTGTAAAGGAGTCGGCACATCCAAATTTACATTAAGTCCATGATGTAAAGATAAGTCCCTGGCTTTTTGAGCAGTAATACTGCCGACGGAAATGAAGAAATCATTTAATTCGTTAGCTAACCCAGTGGGATCCTCAGAAGCCATAAGACTATCTTGTTGTTTACGTGGTAGACACCGGTTAATGATTTTCCAAATTGAGTTAGAATTTCCATTGCTATCCAGGATCTGAGTCCTGACGTGAACTTTTTCGGCCACACGAATCTCCCTTTTCACTTCTTGACGAAAAAATCTGTATCCGTTCCAGTGGAAAGGGTCATTTGTTTTTCCCGCAAGTTTGCGCCATTGGTCGCGCGTTCTCATTAGTTGACGAATTTCTGGTGTTATAAAGGGGTTAGGTTTAGATCTAATTTTAACCCTCTTGACTGGAGCATGTTGACTTAGTACTTCCAAGAACAGTTCGTTGAATACATCAACTTGATCGTTGAATACATCAACTTGATCCACATAAACATGACCTAATGAGATTTTATTGAAATTGTGAAAGATACCCTTTTTTCTGTCGAGCCATTTTTTTCCAGATTGAGTAAGCAGGGGGAAAGTGATTACGTAAGAACGAATGAGTGAAGGAAGTAAAGAAACTGTGGTGCTGCGTCGGTAGGAAAGTATAACAGGGTAATTAAGTGTTATCAACTGAGTTGATAACGTCAATTAGCCACCGTAAAGAGTTTCGACGTTTCGTGAGTTAGCCCTTCGTCAGAGCGGTTGGAGGAATTGTGGGTTGTGTGTGGGTTTATATGCAGAAAATGGAGCTACGCTATTGGTAGGAATATGATTACAAGAAAACAAGAATAAATTAGCATATGGCAGTTTCTAATAACGCTAGAAACGTCAGCCTTAAAACTCTTTACGGTGGCCAATTTACGTTATAAACTCATTCAATAACACTATATTACGACGTAAGGAAGAGCTCGAAGTGTGAGTGCCACCCCCTTTGCGTTTGTTGAATAGCTCGCGGCCAGTATTTCGTTCGAGCCCTGGACAGTGATCTAAGGATAAAAAGAAGGCGTGTGCAGAGAATTAATTTTCCCTTAATAATTAAACCCTCTGGGGTCTTACTTTTCCACTAGTTTCGAGGAAGGCAGAGTGTCAACCTAATTCATACCCCTATTTATATTTAAGAACAAATGAATGGAGCCTCGCTCCCATTCCTCTTGTTGGGTGTGCGCTATTCTAAAGGTATCCTGTCATTTCGTGCCCACGGTCATTTTGGACCCAAATGCGGTCGATTCGTACCTTAGTTTGAGTCGGTTCGTAACCAAACCGCTGGTCTAATTATTCATATATTTGAAAATATATGAGAATTAAAGTCAGAGTTAAACAGGGGAGGTTTACTCAAGCGGCATAGTTCGTGGTACCTGTTGCTCCGTCCACAACAACAACGTTATATCCTCTGCTGTGAGGAGAGTGATCTGTTCCATCCACCTTGATGTAAGCTTTGCCGCAGGGGTCTGCTCTTCCTGCATCCTCACAACCCTCGCTTCGAACGTGGATATCCAAGACACGAACTGAAACGAGAAAAAAGAGAAGACTGATTATGGCAACTCTTCCTTTATCTTAAAGTGAAAAGAAAAAAATGAAGAAACAAAAAGAAAAAAATGCAAACAGAAAAAAAAACAAAACAACGAAAAACGAGAAGACTGATTATTGTAACCCTTCTTTTTATAGAAACAAAAGGGCAAAAAGACAAAACGAAAACAAAGAATTGAAACAATCAGAAAAACAAACCAAAAAGGCATCTATAATTTTGGAAAAAAAAATCTGTTAGTATGTCAGGAAGAAAATTCTGCACACTTATTGGTTATGAGCACGTTAATTGATCCCAAACAGAAAAAAAAAATTTAAATGAGGAGTAACATTTGAAATGAGTGAAAAAAGTTGAAATTTAATATATATGATAAATTTGTAATTAAATGGCTTTGAATGCAATTTAAATCAACGAAAAAGCTCGTATAATATTTTTTTTAAAAAAAAACAAGCTCGTACACAAATTGAGAAGGGATGAATCCACTGTACTTCAAATCTACTGACTCAGATGAAATATGCAATATGATGGACTGTGAATTTCATTTCCAATCCTAAACTTCTCAGCTCCTGTAGCCTTAAGGGATAAAGCATCATTATAATTAGCGCGGGTACTAAGTACTTACCAGTCTCACAGCTTACTCCTTCAGTCCAAACGGGACATGCGCAGATGTATCTATTAATCTGATCAGTGCAAGTACCCCCGTTTAAACAGGGATTACTGGAGCACTCGTTGATGTCTGGGTAAAAATGCATGTTTAGAGATCATTAGAAACACTGTTCAGGATCCTTTCTTTAGGATCTAATAATGAACAAGGAGAAGTGGACATCACAAATGACATATTTCTTATCTATTGACTTCGCCATTCGAATAGTTTATTAACTTCGTGCCATGTTATGGGATTCCAAAGAATAAATTGAACCTAATGTTCAAGTGCTACCCACAACAGTTCCTGCTCTGGTAATCACATTGCTTGAGTCTGGAATGTTTCAAGTAAGCAACCAGATTGCTAAGCAAATTTTAAAATTGCGCTGTCTCTCATTGAAGACAATTTTGAAGAGTAGATTACTCTATCAAATCTTAAAAAGCGCTCAGCGTCGTAATCTGATTTACAATTTTCAATGACGGAGATAAGAGTTATACGTCATCAGGAGCATGCTTTTCCTTTAGACTTACCGGTTTCACAATTCCGGCTGGTAAAACCTGGTTTGCAAACACATTCATAATCGTCTTGACTGCATAATGGTCGACAGAATAAAGCTCCTTGCTGACAAGGGTTGCTCATGCAGGGGCTCTGTTGAAAAAAATCGTAAAAGAAAAAATTAACATTTAATCAAGACTCGAGAGGTGCACCGCACGACCAAACCTACAAGCGGAGGGATAAAGAAAGGGGGTAAATCTCGAAGGAAACAGTTGGGTGTGTGCGTGTAGTGTGTACGTATGGGGGGGGACGGGGGTTTGACAAGATATTTGGTTTTATCAACTGAGTTTAAAAAGCTGAGCGTTAGTCCAGAGTCATTCGCTTTGACGAAAGACTGACGCTCGAAATCAGCTTTAAAACTCTTTACGGTGGCCAATTTGCAATACTAACCAAGAGAATCTCTTGTATGAACTCAATCGGAGGGATAGTTCTTTGTACAATAACAAGGTCGTGTATGTCAAAATTTAATAATTTAATCCAAATGAGCCAAATCGAACGAGAAACATCTCAGTCTGTAAGGTACAGTGTATGTTACAGCCATTAATCCCCCCAGTAGTGCATGAAATCAAAGAATGGACGAAGTGCTTTACAACTTCGGCTAACGCTGGCAGTGTCTTATTTTTTTCTATGCTTTTGGTTGTTAGGAAGCAACATTTATTAGGCCGAAAAAACACAGCTTAGTTCAATTACCAAAACAAATAGCCTGACACCTGCCTTGATATTATAATGGTCGAAGGTCTCGTTGAGAGCCAAGTCATTCTGGAACTTGTCCGCGTTTAGTAACTCGCACTTGTGAGTTCCGTCAAGTAAAGCTGCAGCAAAATTGACTGAGTAACATTCCAGATGACTAACACAGCTATGAAGACACTCTTGGACTTTGTATACCCTTATAATGATTAGAACTGCGACATCAAGTCTTTGCAAAGGATTCTTCACAAAACTAGCGTAGTTTACACCGTATTGGCCTTCTCGTCTGAAGGTCTGAGCGGATATGAGCGTGTATATACCAATGGACAGCACGAATGTTAGGTACGATTTGATCCTCTCCATTTGTGAGTAGCAGTTAAAAAAACTGAGTCAATGAAAGCTTTTGGTGAAGTGAAGATGAAGGTTTGTTTGTTAAACCTACCACAGAAAAATCAATTAATTAAAATGTGTTTTTATTTGCTTACCAGGAAAGCTCCAATGAGATTGCGTACTGGTCAATCAACAATTAATAATCAAGCATCATTATACGCAGTTGACCTTAATTAAAATTTCCGAATTCACTTTCGACGGTACCTGATGCGTCATTTGAAAAATGAAGCACTTTTGATAGGTTGCTTTCTTGCACAGTGTGGGTGATAAAATTTTAATTTCGTTCACTGCTGCGGAGAAGGCTATAATATGGCAACAATTTGTCGGTCGCTTCTTTAATTAATCTTATTGGGAAGACATCAATCTTTTCTCATCACTAAATAAAATCAATAGAATGTTATTGGACCATAATTTTCGATTTATGGAATGTACACGAAAATTACACGCGTCTTGCTGTCACCGATGAGCTGCTTCTTGCAATTTCTCAATCCGTGATGTCGCGTGCTTAATTTCAACTTGTCCATGATTATAATTTAAGATTGACGACAACGATTAACATAACCCCACTGGTCACTGGAAAGAAAATAAATAAACGGCCGGAGACAATGCGGCTCTGTAATAGAAGTAAGGCTGAGTATTTTATATCTTTCTTGATTATGTCACTCTTTGAGGATGTTCAGCACATTACTGCGATGGAAAGTTCGTGACAGTAACCTCCTGGACCTACTTGATTATTGCTAGTGTGCGTTTCAACTTTAGGATAATCCTGCACAGAACGCATGAGAATTAAAGTGAGTCGTTCCTTCGGCGAGTGTAGTGTTTTGATTTACAAACAATAATTACCAGAATGGATACATTTGTAGATGAACCCTGACGTTGGCAATTTAGCTCTTCAGTTCATAGCTGTGATTTCTAATTCCTTTTCACAGGCTCATTTTGGAACATTTCACTAAAAGTTCTGTTTGACTGTTTGTACAGTGCAGTTATACAACTTTCGACCATGTCAGCCCACACGATATTTAATAAGCTTCAAGTTGGCGAGCATAAAAAAAATTCAAGATGAGAGAATACACTCAAGGTCTAAAATAATTCGTAGTTGCTCATTTGATCCTGGTAACGGAAGAGTACCTGAGCGCTTAGCACCACAAAAAGTAAAGACGGATGTCAAAGATTACCGTGAGTTTGAAAACTAATGGAACTATTCTCTACCTTGTATTCATTAAATAGCCAAGAGTAACTACAAATGGAGCACATTCGTAAGGTCTCTTGCCTCCTGTACTCTTCTAACTCGGGATGACACTCGAGACGTTTGTCTTTGACAATGCATGCATGACCTCGGTAAGAGAAAGTGGTAGATTGAGAACCTGTGAATTATTACTGTGTAAAACGCCATATAAACGCAGAAAATATCGTCGGGCAGCGGATATCTACAAACATTAGGCTATCGACATTACTGATCCTGGCAGTATGCAAGACGTGTTCGTTATAGACCTCACTCACCGTAGGGTCTCTGTGGCTCAGTGGTTAGAGCATCGAAGCGCGAAATCCGAGGGTCTGAGGTTGTCTTTGTCCCACGCTCGTTACAAGACGAAAAAAAAAACCTTTCTCTATATATCTGTTGAACTTTAAATTAGTCACAGCAGGTTTATTCCCGTTCGAAGAATATCAACGAATACAATTTTACCCTTTATAAAGAATCCAACCAGGTTCTTACGTTGTGATCGAACTACTTTCATTAGTAATTCATGTGATTTTCAATTTTTAATAAACAAACACCTCAATCCCTTGTTTTGGCCTAATTTCTAGAATCTCTTGAAATAACGCTGAAATTCTTTCGTCTTGGGAGATCTTCAAGAGACTAAAAATAACCAAAGTAACCCTTGAAAAATAACTTAACCTTGAAATTAACCTCAAAATAACTCTTGAGAACAAGAACTTCTAAAAGTCGAGCCATTCTTGTCAGTTCATATTAAGTAAATTAATTAAAATTATTTCGAGCACATATGAGACACAACAATCTTTTTTTCCTTGCAAATTTATTGAGACAGGTTAACCTTCTCATTAAGTTAATCTAGCTTCCCTGTTGTAGCTAGGTATAAGTAAACTTTCGAGTTTGATTATTAGAAAAAGAGTCACAGAAGCTATTGATTTCATGCCTGCTTCACCCTGCAGTACATTTTGTCTTAATGGTGAGATATCGTTTCATGGGTTTGATGGTAAATAACGCACATTTTATTTTACTGTGAATGTGATGCCTTGAATGGATATCTTAGTCACTCTTTTGCTTAAAATGAACTTTATTTTTATATATTATCAGCAGATGGAGGGCAGTAAATTATTTGTCATCTTTCTACTGAGTACCGACGTTTCGTACGGTGCTGAAAACTTCATACGAGATGACAAACGAGGAGAACGACACGCATATTTGGTGAGTAATCCTGCAATCCGACTTAGTTCTGCGATTCTGGATAGTTTTATAGTCTCCGAGCCCATGGGGTGTGTTTTTCGATGTATTAGTCACCAAGAATATTATTCAGTAAATTTTGCTGCGGTTTCACATGACGGAAGGTATATGTGTGAGCTATTGACCGCGGATAAGTTTCAAATCTCCAGCAATTTTTTTCATAGCGTAAGCTTGGACCATTATAACGGTATCCAGTTACCTCGCCACCAAGTAGACTCGCCAACAGCGAACTCGCCACCAAGGAACGATCTCGCCACCAACGTACTCGCCACCAAGCGAAGTCTTCTCGCCACCAACCACCAATAAAGAGAGATTAGTCGAGGAGAGTAGGATGTTCGGCTGATAAGTTTGTTCGCTTGTCTGTACTCAAACTTTATAAACGTATGTTGTCGATAGTACGTTCTGCTATCGAGTTTCATTTCATCACTTATTTCTTCCCATGAAGTTTCATTTTCTCTCAAGTAAGTTTTTATTCCTCGCATCGAGTTTTGCAATTTCTCCTCGCTTACGTGCAAAAGACAAACATGATACGTTTCGATGTCAATGAGTTAGGAACGGAACACATCTAACACGTCGCTGAAGGTCATAATTTAAATACAGACAAGCGCACAAACGTATCGGCCGATTTGAATTGTGCTCGTTCGAACATCCTACTCTCCTCGACTACTTTATTGACTCGACTCTCTTTATTGGTGGTTGGTGGCGAGAAGACTTCGCTTGGTGGCGAGTACGTTGGTGGCGAGATCGTTCCTTGGTGGCGAGTTCGCTGGTGGCGAGTCTCCCTGGTGGCGAGGTAACCGGTAACCATTATAACATGATGGTAAGTGCGAAATAATATGCCGTTTTAACAAGTGGTTGTAATAGTAACCCATCAAGCCGAGAAAATTTGGTACATCACATGACCGTACGACCTACTGAACATAAAAACATGCGCGAACAATTGAGTCGCGCGCAAAAATCTTGGCTTTTCAAAATATACAACGGGGAAGGCAAAGGTAATACACTTGCGTGCTTACGCGTGTAAGGAAATCGTATGAGCTTGCGCTAATTGACGTAATTATGATGAGGTGCTCATACTCCGTAAGGCTAGTTGATGTGAAGTCCGAGCAAACAAAGGATTTGTAACCTCAGATTTTGAGAGGAAATTCATACTGATTGAGTCGTAGTTGAAATTAATGCCTGAAATTAATGGAAAGCCTCCTCTTTCAAGTCGTTGTCTCACTTTGACCGGATTAATCTTTAGGGATATATACGTCAATGTAGCTTTATTGTATTTTAATATATTTCCTGCTTTTCTTCTCCTCTAGATATTTGCACCAATAACCCAGTCATTATCACCATCATGTTAACTCTCATTGTTCGCTGAACCTATTAAAAAATGAAACCTTCTTTCATTGTTAAATGAAAGAAGAAAAGCCAATCACTTGTTCTTATCAAGAGACATATGTAATATTTACAACCATAACGCGTTCCTCCATCTGTAGCTGTTTGGTTAGCCCAAAGAGAAATTCATCCTTTTCTTGAAGGTCGTGTTTTGGACATTCATATTCGAAGCGAATGTTGCAGCGATCCAGGAATAGCACCCCCCTGTGGTAACGCTTACATTAAGGTGGATGGGACAGATTATTCTCCTCAAGGAAGAGGATATAACGTTGTTGTTGTGAATGGTGAAACAGGTAATTGATAGACTGCAGAACTGAAGTCATTACTTTTCGTGCTATTGTTTATTTTCATTGCAACCCTACTTGTTATTTTCTTGTATTCACCTGTCGAGCGAAGGCAAACACCAGGCGGGCCGAGGCAGAATTCACTCTTGTAAAACGGAGCCCGTTCTCCAAGCTATGTAATCGACAACACTAGAAATCATTTCTTCTTCTTTCATAGTCTCTATTTGGTGGTTAAAGCAAGCGGAACAAGCAAATTGTACTCGGATTGTGGAAGTAAAGAAAAAAAAATAGCCTAATTAAGGAAAAGTTTTTTCACCGCTCCCACTTCAAGGTGCTGTCAATAGACGCCACGCTGAAGGAAAAACGAAGACCATTACCTTATAGGTTCGCATATTTAAAGCAAAAGAAAAAATCGAAAAGATATATGAAGATTTGACATGTTGACTTATTTCTTTATGTCGTGTCTTCCTTGAGGCAAGATCATTTTTAGCAGCCTTGAAATGTTGCATATAGCCCGAAAACAATAACTGCCATTGTGCTTCATATTTCCGAAACTTTTCATTCAAGCGATGATATTATGATTTAAGGTTGCCAAGAGTTGACTTTGAAAACACTTTAGCCCGGAGCGATGACATTGTCTTTGCGGTAGTCTCAGACAATCCAAGTTTTTCTCGACATAACCCAGAAAGGTTCACCTCTCTCGATTTTTTAACTGAATGTACCCTGATTAAATCTAATATTCTTTTAATCCAGTACTATTGTCCACAGAGAGCTCACAAAAATTTGAGAACGTAAAAAAAACTAGGTTGAATTAGACTACACCTTTTTCAGAACGTTCTCGTGATATAAATAATTCTGTAAGGACTGAAAACTTTAAATTAATCACAGCAGGTTAGTTCCGACTTAAAGAAATGTCAAAGAATTCAATTTTATTCTTGACAGAGAACTTAGCCTGATTGTTATGACGCAATCGGAACACTTTCATTGGTAATTTACATGGTTTTTAAATTTTCAACAGACAAACACTTCAATCCCATGTTTTGGCCCTATTTTTAAGAACTCTTGAAAAACTTTTTAAGTCTCTCGTTTTGCGGGATCTCCGGGGGACATAAAAATAAGCAATGATTATTTTGATTCGACATTTAACCCATAAGAGGAACTCCGATAAGTCTAACCATTCTGGTTGGGCCTTTAAGTTATTAAGAATCTACTCAAGGGATTCTTTCAAGATAATTTTCGACACAACATTTTCGTTTTCCTTGCAATTCTCTTCATGGTTTAGATTGCTATGTAAATTAATTTAGCTTCTCTGCGGTCGTTATCATAAATAAACTTTTATTTAAGAGTAACTAATTAACTATAACTAATGAGTTCTTACTCATTTGTGTGTGCGGTACGTTATTGATTTGATGCCTGTTTTTGCATGCGGTTCGTTTTATGTCTTAATGGTAAAGAATTATTTCAAGGGTGTGATGGTAAATTGCAAATTTGAAATGATACAGCGGATGTAATACATTGAAAGTGTGTTCCTGTCAATGTTTTGTTTGAAATAAGCGATTTTCTTTCTGCCGTTGGAAGATGGAGAGCAGCAAATTACTTGTTACCTTTCTACTGTCATTACCACTGAGTACTGACTCTTTCCTCGGCGCTAAACACTTCAATCGAGATGACAAACGAGGAGAACGACATGTATATTTTGTGAGAGATCCTGCAAAGCGACTAAATTCTTCTATTCTAGATAGTTTTATGGTTTCCGAACCTATGGGGTGTGTTTTTCGATGTATTGGTCACCAAGAATGTTATTCGGTAAATTTTGCTGCGGTTTCACATGACAGAAGGCATACGTGTGAGCTGTTGAACGCGGACAAGTTTCAAAACTCCAGCAATTTTATTCATAGCGTAAACTTTGACCATTACAACATTAAGGTAAGTGCAAACGTATTTCGTTTAACTATTTTCGTTTAACATGTTGTGTATTCATTTTAATGTCATGTACTACAAAAAGGGAAATTCGTGTTCACTCATATCAATTTTGATATAATCTCCGTGAAGAATTGATTATCAATTTTTCCTTCTGGATATTGATGGCGACAGGGGGTCGAAAAAATGGAAATTTAGGGAAAGAGAGTGCTGGCTTTGTTTCTTTTCGTGCGTTTGGCCAGGCCTTGACAGAGTGAGTTTGGGAAGATTACGTCATCTACTTTGTTCTTATTAGTGCTGTGTTATTTTAAGAAATGTTTTTTGTCTTGTGGAATAGAGCCCCTGTATGAGCAATCCCTGTCTAGACGGAGCCTTATTCTGTCGACCAATTTACCAGCAAGACGATTATCAGTGTGTCTGCAAACCAGGTTTTACTGGACACTACTGTGAAACGGGTGAGTTATTAAACTGAGCTGTATTTTTCATGTATCATTTTTTAATGTTCTAATCTCTCCCCCCTCTACCCAGACATCTCATAGACCTCTCCCATGAAAGGATAAACAAGCCAGCATAGATTCTTTAAGATTTACAGACTGCAACAAAACACGGTTGATTGACTGTTTTGATATTTACTAATAACGTATTTATAATTAAATTTTATCTCGCAGATATTAACGAATGCTCCAGTAATCCTTGTTTAAACGGAGGAGTTTGCAATGACCAAGTGAATGGATATGTATGTGCCTGTCTTGCTGGATACACTGGCCTTCACTGTGGAACAAGTAAGTAAGGGAACCAGATTGAATTTTTTACACTTTGTTGAAAAGTGTGCCAAATAAATCATCATTAATTGTTCTACCTTCACAAAGATATCAACGAGTGCTCCAGTAATCCCTGCTTGAATGGAGGTACTTGTACTGACCAAGTTGATGGATATGTTTGTTCCTGCATCGCTATGTACACAGGACCACGATGTGAGACTGGTATGTAAACAACATTTTGTATTTGACTTCATAACTACTGCGTAAAAGCATGGGCCTCGTTATTTTTGCTGCGAGAAGATTCATTGAACGAGTTACATCACATTCAAAGGACGAATTTCAAAATATTTGAAGTTTCTGAAACGTTTTGACATTGAGCAGGTTCATAGGCGAGCCACCTGATGGATTTTGAGTTTAAAGCCTCGCCAGATGCCGTGTTGAGACAGATTGCTTGCATTGAATATATTGCCCCTCGTTTACGATAGAGATATCATGGATCATGTTTTCTTTTATAAGACCGGTTACGGCTATATTGATATTGACGCTCGTGACGTAAAGGATTGAGTCGGTCAAAGGTAACATGCTCGCCGCGGCCAGTCCGCTGGTTGCTTACTGTCAAGTAATTTTTTAATTTACTGTCAAGTAATTTTCAAGCTCCATATTTTTTTCGTACTGTAAAATTGTGGAATACTATGTGCAATGTTGCAGAATTCCTTAGTAATTTTATCTCCGTGGGAAAAATCTTTTAACTTTAGTTTCTGATTTGGACGGGATCTATTCTTGGTTTATCTCAACGGATTTTTAATGTCACCATCTTAATGTCACCGCCTCTTGAAGGCGAAACTTTTCCTAATGAAAGGCATTTGTAACAGTTGCGAAATTTTTTATCAACGTCTCTCAATAAACGGTTCCTTTAGAAACCACCAAATGCTAAAAAAGTGAACCGGCCCTCGGAAGTTAACAAAGAAGAAAAATAAAAGTTATAAAGTTATAATAATTCAATACCTATTTTGGCTTTCACATACTACTACAGACGTCCAATTTTCATAGGCCAGTCAAGATACTAAACCAAAAGAAAGTAGTTTGAAGCGAATTCGAAGCGCACTTTGAGCAATTTGAGCACTTGTTAACTCATCGATGGTCGCCAAAGAATTGAGAAAATTTAACAGCGAAAATTTTGTTTGCGTTTCGGGAACTACCTTAAGGGTGTGCTCCTTAATAAAAAAGTCAGTTTTTAGAAATCTGAAGAAAGAGCCTTTAACGATTATGCTTCCTTCTGCAACGACATTGGTCGAAAAATTCGAATGCGGCCGTCGGAGGGAACAAAATAGAACAGAGGACGCCAAGTCGCTTTCAGCAAAATTTCGCATCATCAAAACTGAAAAATGAGTAGAAGTTCAAATTCTAGGCTTTTATATGATATAAGTTTCATTAGGTTTGATTACGAATTGTGTTTGTTAGGACAAATCTCGTGTTAAAGGTCACGTCGACATTCTTTGTGCTTTAAACAAAGAAAGGACGCCAAGTCTGTTTCTATAAACTTCGCTGTTTTTATGCGTGCTCTTTGTAGCAGTATTTCTCAGCCTTTATTTGATATAAGTTTCATACCATTTCATAAACATCGGCGAAAATCACTTGGCGAATATCACTCGGCGAAAGTCACTCTGGTTTGGCTTTACGCAAACTGATCATAATCTTCGTGATATCAACAAGTTTTATTACATTTAACGATTAACGTTTAATTAATTGAGAGGCTGCACAGAACTTCTGAGTCCCTTTTCTTTTCGCAATATACTACTACATCTTTCTTTTAATTTGATTTGAGTTTCACACGACAGGTTTCACGTAAAGAGAAAGTCAAATCGCCACCAGTGGCGATTGAACTTAAGGCGTGTTTTGTGGTGACGAGTTTGTTGTAATGGCGATTTGACCGTAAACCTGATGAAAATCCTACATTTATGACTGCTAAGTCACCCTAACTAGAAAGTAATCCTTTTCCTTTACTTGCAGTTCGTGTTTTGGACATTTATATTCGAAGCGAAGGTTGCGACGATCCGGGAAAAGGACCCAATTGCGGCAAAGCTTACATTAAGGTGGATGGGACGGATTATTCTCTTCAAAAAAGAGGATTTAACGTTGTTGTTGTGAATGGTGAAACAGGTGATTGACAGACTGTGGAACTGGAGTTGTTAATTTATCATCTTCATTATTTTTTTTTCCGCGTTTTTCATTCGAGCGCAGGCAAGCCCTAGGTGTGCCGAGAATGAGTCACATGTATTGGAGAGGTTTGTTTCGCGGCGGAAGAGAACGAACGTATAATATCGTTCGTTATTAAGAGGACATTTTCATTTGCCTTTGTGTTCACTCCCTCAGAAAGGGAACAAAACCGACAGATGTTCTCCAAGTTTCGTGACAGCCAGAAAACGTTGACAATTTTCTTTCGTCTCGCCCCTTACAAACGCCATTCGAAACTTGCGCGAATGGATTGCGAGCGTAAAATAAAACAGACAACATGGACAGGTGTCGTCCCTGTAAAATGCCGAATTGAGCATTATGCCGAAAAGAGTAAGACACATATATTATGACTGATTATGTAATTGGAACCATGTTGTCACTCAATATTTGTCACAAAATTGCGGATACGATACGGATAAGATACGGCTTCGTCGAACTGCCTTATTTTGGTGACGATAAAACTTTAAGAATGCCAGGTTGTGAAAATGGTAAGAGTAAATGGAAGATAAATTGAATGCGTAATACCCATCATTACCACGTTGTAATCACACAGTGATGGTGGTGGGTGATCTCAAACAAAATTTACGAAAACCTCGGTTTTGGTGAAGATGATCTGCGATTGCTGATAATCAGAAGCGCTTAAAAAAAATATCAAAATCACTAGACAGAAACATTTGTAACTTGTTGCTCAAGTTGCAAAATCCTTCACGATGTCCCTGTATTAAGATATCAAAACTTCTCTCTAAAAAAAAATAAAAGACGATGTAAGAGCTAAACTATTTGAATTTTAACCTCAAAACGTGTAACTTCATGTCAGGCAAGCTTCATCATTCGCAACTGTCAGATAGGCCGAGGAACAACGATAACAGTATCACAACAGTAACAGAAAAGAGCTATATCCCAATGTTGAATCCAGTGCTAGACTAGAATTCACTCTTCTCAGAGAGAGAGAGTTCTTAAATAGGATCGAAAATCCACAGATCTTCTGTCTGTATCGAGCCCTAATAGAGTACGTGACTTGAGGTCAATCTTAATTAGCATGTGCACTTTCTGTGAGTGCCTAACAGAGTTCGAGGCTTGAGGCAATTTTTCTTGACATGTGCGTTTTCTGTGCGTGCCGAATAGAGAATGAGACTTGTAGTCAACCTTAATTGACACGTGCGTTTTCTGAGCGCGCTGAATAGAGTGCGAGAAGTCATTCCCACTCGACATGTGAGATTCTGAGAGTGCCGAATAGAGTGCGAGACTTGAAGTCAATCTTACTTAACACGTGCGTGTTAATTAGAGTTAGCGACTTACGAAGTCATTTTCACTTGACATGCGAGATTTCTGACCATGCCAAATTAGTAGACTTGAGGTCAGTCTTAATTAAGTCGGTTAGTCAATCCACCTCAACAAGTGCGTTTTCTGAGCGTGCCGAATAGAGTGCGGGACTTCAGGTGATATTACTTGACATGTACGTTTTCTGTGTGTGCTGAATATAGTGCGAAACTTGAGGCAATCTTACTTGACATGTGCGTTTCTGTGCGTGCCGAATAGAGTGCGGGACTTGACGTCAGCCTTACTAACCATGTGCGTTTTGTGCGTGCCGAATAGAGTAAGAGTTTGTAGACAATCTCATCGACATGCGCGTTTTTTGTACGTGCCGAATAGAGTGCGAGACTTAAGACGATCTTGCTTGACATGTGCAATTCTGTGCGTGCCGAATAGAGTACGAGTGTTGCGGTCAATCTCACTGGAAATGTGCGTATCTGTGCGTGCCGAATAGAGTACGAGTTTGTAGACAATCTCACCGACATGTGCGTTTTCTGTGCGTGCCGAATAGAGTGCGAGACTTGAGGCAATCTTTTTTGAAATGTGCGTTTCTGTGGGTATCGAATAGAGTGCGAGACGCATTCAATCTTTCTTGACATATGCAATTCTGTGCGTGCAGATTGTTGTAATCAATCTCACTGGAAATGTGCGTATCTGTGCGTGCCGAACAGAGTAAGTAACAGTAAGTCCGCCTTACTTAACATGTACGTTTTGTGTGCGTGCCGAATAGAACACGATACTTGTAGTCAATCTCATTTGACATGTGCGTTTCGTGCGTGCCGAATAGAGTGCGAGTGTGGTAGACAATCTCACTCGACATGTGCGTTTTCCGTAAGTGCCGAATAGATTGCGGAACTTGATCAATCACAGATGACATATGCGTCTTCTGAGCTTGTCGAATAGAAAGCAAGACTTGAAATCAATCTTGCTCGACATGGGTGTTTTCTGTGCGTGCTGAATAGAGTGAAAATTTTGAGGCAATCGTACTTGAAATATGCGTTTTTCTGAGTGCTAAATAGAGTGCGAGATCTTATTTGACATATTCATTTTCTGAGCGTGCCGAATAGAGTGCGAGACCTTAAGTCAGCTTACTTGACATGTGAATTTTCTGTGCGTGCCAAATAGTGTGCGAGACTTGCTGCAATCTCACTAAACACGTGTGTTTCCTGAGCGTGCTGACTAGAATGCAAGATTTTAAACCAATCTTACTTGACATGTACGTTTTCTGTGCGTGTTGAATAGAGTGAGATCAGTAGTTAATTCTAATGACTGGAAGGTGTGGTGCGAGTTTTTCTTCAAACACCGAAACCAACTCTTTTGGAAGAGCAACTCTGATAAACTCAGATAAAGGGCAAACCAAGATTCTGAAGAATGGTTTCTATGTTACTTGGAATAAAAAACAAAGATTTGGTGTTAATTGCAAATAGAACCCGAACTTAGTGTTCATTAAGTATTGTTAACGTGCGAAGAATTTAGTGTGATCACCTTTTTTTACGCAACATTATGTAATTAGCATTAAAAAAATATGTTCAGTTGTCCATGTTTCTTAGGTTAGGTTAAGTTAAGTTAGTTAGTAGTTGTGTATCTAGCGAAAAGTTTTTTCACGTTCTTTTTAAAATGTTGTTCTTTGCTTAAACACAAAAAAAGTAGGGTAGGGATATGTGTGCGCCACATCGAGAGAAATCGAACTTTCGGTTCAACCGACAATTTTCCTTTTACAGATATATATATATAGGAGGTACTCGCCGAGGAAGGAAGCAATAAATTTCCTATTCATGATCACGGAACGGGAAAGCTGTGACTATGATATAGTTATGGGTAAATCGCTAAGTGAGGACGAGGCGTGAAACACCTTTTACTTCGAAAACATGGAACGAGCTGCTTCCAAGATTCAAACATCCGTCTGTGGCAGCTAAAAAAGTTAGAGGTAGATTCGAGTATCATATCAAATGAAGAGATCTGTGGAGAAACCTCTTCGAACAATAAGATATGATGACTTAGCTTGCCTAGCGATTGTACTTCTGAACATATGGTCGCGGTGATACTCGCAATAAAGCAGAAAATTAATATTAGGAGTGCATGCACTATTTTGCCATCCTGATAAATTCTTAACCCGTTTTGATAAAAAAATATGCGGAGAGGATCGCCCGCAAATAACTGACTGGATTCTTATTATATCTAAGCAGCTCGAGTCAGTTCCATTAAAGAGAAAGATATGATATATGCTGTTGCGAAAACGAAATCGTCGAATTCTTTTAGGTTCACAAGTAGTCTCTTCATCGGCTATCACATTCTTCACCTATTCAAACATTTCACCAACTTTGGTGAATATTAATATGTTATCTTTTCCTAATATTTGTATTATCTCTCCCTTGAAAGCTTATTTCGATTATGTTGCAAAGCCATTTGTTACAATAAATAAAATTTCCATTGTAGGACCTTGTTGTTGTCCAAAATTGTCGCTACTTGAATTTAATAACGCTAGTTGAGTTTTGGTTAAACAAGGTAAGAATTAGGAGACTCAACTTACGTAAAGTTACGCTCGGGGATGTAAGCGTCTTGTGAGCTGTTCTGACTTTTGTTAAAACAAGACAAGAATCCAGAGCCAAACAAGCTATGTCACCGAAAGGACAGCATTCACAGCGAGAGCAATTCGACGAAGCCGTATCTTGCACGACAAATACTGAGTAGCCAGATGGCTTCAATTGCATAATCAGTCATAATTTATGCGTCGTGCTCTTTTCGGCACGGTGCTCTATTCAGCATCTTACATTCCCCCAGTCCAGCTTCAAGATGATGTCCACATTGTCATACAAAAAAAGGAAATTCGCAGAACTTCATATTATCCTTACTCGGATTTAAAGAAAAACCTGAAAGATAGAAGATAATGCACTAAATATTTTCACGTACAGGTGTCTTCTTGCAGCAAGAGCATTTGATACTCATGCAGATTATTGTTTTCATAACCATCACTACTTATTATTTTCTAGTGTTCACCTGTCGAGCGGAGACAAGCACGAGGCGGGCCGTGGGTGAATTCACTCTTGAAGAACGGGGAACACAAAGACGTTGCCCGTTCTCCAAGCTATGTCATTGACAACGCTAGAATCATTTCGTCTTCCCTCATGTTCACTATTCGGTGGTAAAAGCAAGCGGAACAAGCAAATTGTACTCGGATTGTCGACGTAAAGAAAAAAAAAAGCCAAAGGGAAACTTTTTCGCCGCTCCCACTTCAAGGTGTTGTCAATAGATGCCGCGTTGAAACAAACGAAGACCATTCCGTTGTAGATTTGCATGTTTAAAGCAAAAAGAAAACCGAAAATATATATGACGATTTGATTTTTTTTTTATGTCAGGTGTCTTCCTTGAGGCAAGATCATTTGATACTTATGCAGATAGTTCGAGCGGCTATCATTTGAGAGACTACCTGAACAGCCTGAGTGGCAAGTATGTTACAACTAATTAGTAACTATTGTTGTACGTACAACACTTTAAGCACTTTTAATAGACAATAAATACTCCCGACCTGATGATAATGCTTCCTTCACCTCCATTTCGATTATCCTGCTTGAGTAGAAAGACGCTCTTTTCTACATTGTTTTTTACACGCCACTCCTTTCTCGCCTTTGAAGCAAAGAAAGAGAAAGAAGCGGCTGCTCTCGGAGGCTACCTTACCAATTTACTATTTATAATCATATGTCTTTCAGGAACCCGTCAACGGGAGCCGCTATCTCCACTGATTCTTTGAGTCAACACTTTCCCTGAGTGAAAATATTTTTAGAACCACAGCTTTTCCCCGAAAAAAGGATTATATTCCGTCGGAACAACCGCGAATCGCAAGATATGGTTTCACTGCCCAATGCAAATGAGCAGATGATTTGGTCGCAGAACGCAAAAATTGCACTAGGAACCTTTCTGTCAGTAGATATACTCGGGAAAGGGTTGACTCCAAGGCTTAGCATGAGAGATAGTTAGGTAGAGGGATGGAAGGCTTAGTATGAGACTCCTACTCTGGGAGAAGGGTTTTGTTGTAATATGATATACACATGCATAACTTTTCTCTGATGGCTGAATGTTATGATATACACGCATCTTTTCTAGTTTTTTAGTGCGTGTGTTGGCAACAGATAAGGGGGTTTTTTTACTCCAATTTTCAACTGATCTCACCCTTTTGCATTTGGTGTCTTTGCTCTCGACACAGTAAAATCGTTTTGGTTGCTACTCAAGATTCAGCCTCCGAGCACATGTCACCTGCAATTGACGCTCTCAAGAGACTGGGTGCTACCGATCCTCTTCAAGGAAACCACCGAGATTCCTTTGCTTTCGCTGGATACGCAGGAGTTAACAAACCACAATGGATCACACAAAAAAGAGCAGATAGATACCTGGGACCCAGTGAAATATTTCCGCAAATACCGCTGTCAATTAATCAATAGATCGGAACTACTCTAAGATGAGCGAGGAAACATAAAGATTCAAGACTATATGAATCATTGTAATCCTCCCAAAAAAATCTGGTGATATTTTAGATAACATAGAAAATCTGCAGTTACAGTCGCCAGAATGATGACCTGTGTTTGGATGTAATGAAGCTTTTAAGGATATACAGTACACAATCGAAAGCATTACTATTTTAACTACAGTTTTCCAAAAACAAAATTGCTAAATATTGAAATGCGCTTAATAAGTTTTAAAAAGTGTGATTAGCCAATTTTAACATGTCACCTCAAATGATTCCCTAAGTGTTTTATGTGGCACAAAATCCTGGTCTTTGAATTTCAGTCGCGTAAAAATCTCCTGTTTTCGATTGCACGTGGAGATCTTTGCTGTCTGTCCGCGTTTAAAACCAGACTGTAAAGAGAGAATAAAAGAGAACAAAAGGGGTAGAGTCCTTAGGTGAAAATCATGCTGTTAAAGTTGCGACTTTTTCTGCAATAAATATTCCCTTTCTCTCCTCGGTTGTCGTAACATTAAACCTTGAAATATTGCGTGCAGTTCAATGACAATTGATACCTTATTGCCTTTTGTCAGAAATTTTCATTCAAGAGAAAATTTTATATATACTCTTTAGGTCGCCAAACAGCTGTGACGTTGTGGAAACCTAAGCCTAGAGCCTTGACATTGTCTTGGTTGCAGAGGTTGTACAGGTAGTGCGGGCAGCCCGTCTGTTATCTCCCGCTCCACTGTTCTAAAAGCTTTAAAAATAAATGAGGACATAGATGCATTTCCTCTCATTTATATCTTATCGTCGCAAAATCTGGAAAATCAAAATAGTCACGTGTCTTTAAATTGAAACTTTATTCCAAAGGAAATAAAGAATCGTTGTTTTATCATCGCTAATTATTTTGATACAATTGGAAGTTAACATGATCAAGATCTAAATCCTTTCTCAAACATAACCTCACTGGAAAAAAATGTATCCACGCTTTGACACTTAAAAATGTCTCATCTTAATCATCTGAATAGTAGAAGTAGTGGTTGGAGTAGTAGAAGTAGTCTTAATTTTTTCACGGGATAAAAACATCATATCTTTTATTACATAGTTAAAAACTAGTTAAAAGATGAAAAATAGTAAAAAGTGTTAATTTAAAAATTTGATTTTTAAAAACAGTCTGTTTAATAGTCTATAAATACGAGGCAATGACTTGATTTGTTTCTAAAATTTTATTTCGTCTCCTTCTTCTCTAGGAGTCAATTTCTGAGGATGGAAATCCATTTTTGCACTTAATTGAAAAACTTTTCTTTCTGTTTTTCTAGTATTTAATTACAATCCCCGGAAATGTCAGGAGAACCGTAGAAACACGCGTAACGATCCCAATATTAAAAATGGTTCCGTTACGGTGGACAATTATTTTTTCAAATTGAGAAATTGACTCAAGGTTACTGAGAAATAATACTCGTCTTCTTATATTCTTATTCTTCTTCCACTTTCTCATATCGCAAATAAACAAGTTCAATGATGTTTGAAAGAAAAAAAACATCTCTACCTTTCTAATCACTAGATTAACGATTTTTATTACGAAAATATACATAAAATACGATTAGGCTTGCGCCATGCCACACATAGTTACTGACTATCATGAACTGGATTAAATTCTCATACAAATATTTTTGTTATCTTCTGCAGCTGTCGGCTTCGAGCCTACTGAAACACAGGACCTTACGCTTTGGACGTAACTTGCCCCGCCAAAAATAAAACTTTTATTGCTAAAAGCTTTAGGGAGGGAGTGAAACAGATGTTGTTATCTTTCACGACTAAAAATGTATGTACAGCAGATTCAATGTTATTGTCCCAAAAATATAGCTTACAAAATCTAACTCACAGAGAAACCAACATGGTCCCAAAAATACAACAAACAAAGTCTTACTAACAGAGAAATAACCCTGGAGCCTGCTGTTGCTATCAAATTAAGTTCATTACTTATTGATATGGTCTTTCAAAGCAGAAAAAAATAGATTATTTCTTCGTTGCCTGATATGTGGAGTTCAAAATTTTCTTCATGAACTTTGATTTTAAACCCTAACTGTACATATAAAGCCTAGCTTATGATACAGTCGAACCCCTTTTTAGCAGTAACCCACTTCACATTATCAGCTTTGACCATTATAACAAGGGGGTAAGTGCAAATGTATCCCGTTTAACTAAGTTGATTGTGGCATAAGTGTTGTGTATGGGTGTGCGTGAGTGTGTGGTCCCAAAAGGTTCCAATGTTCCTTTTACGTATTTCTTTATATATTACCACGAAATTCACTCTTACGATTTGAATTCATTCCCTCAAAATATCAAAACACATCATTTTGATTCCTTGACAGTTCATTGTACCAAAGGATACCAGATAGAATGTTGTTTATAAGCTTTCGCTAGACGATTTTAAAGTTACTCTTCTGAATTGTGCAAATTATTACGTTGCCCTCGTCGTATTTCAACAGAGGCACCTTACGAAATTCTTTAAAAGTGAAAAATTGGTTGAAAATCATCCTTAAACGGCTAATAATATCATTTTCAAAAACATGAATAAGTTTCTAAGAATGTTATTGTTTGATTTAAATGTCGCCCTGTCATGCTAGTTACAGCATTTAAGTTAATCAACATGGTGTTTTTTCTACTTGTACTAAGGTTTTGTGTTAATAATTGATGAAAAAGAGCTAAAACCCTCAAGATCACTATAATTGGCAACATTTCTCACGAAAACATGTTCGCAACGCTCCTTCTAACTTCCTTAGTGATTACTTTAACAAACGGAGAAAGTCGATTAACAACATCCAACTACAAAGCCGTTAACTTTGCCAAAGAAATAAGAGGACGACGGCTTAACGGAAGTGTTACCAAGGAAATTGAAGTGGATTCTGAGAGTTCTTGTCGACTGCAGTGTGTGGAGGAAACTTCGTGTCTGTCATACAACTTTGGACCCGGTGAAGACAAAAAGATGTTTAAATGCCAGCTGAGCAACTCTGATCGGTTTACTGGGCTGAACAATTTCATTGAAGATCCCCAAGTTCTTTATAGAGGCATAAAGGTAGGTAATTTACCTCAATTTGCAATTTTTTTTCCATTCCAAAGAGGACATAATATTTGATTGAAGGAACGACGTAGATGTTTATATAGGGCGTTTGGTAATGGTAATGGTAAAGAAATACAATTTGAGAATAACTGTAGAAAATTTCTCATCATCGTCTGATTTTGAAAGACGAAGATTTAAACTTTAACTGTTCAGTGGGCCTCTGAATTTGATGGCTCAGAAACGTTAACGAGATCTTGTGCAAGCATCTCCTACGTCTTCGACCTTAAATAAACTATCCTATTCTATTCTATTCTAAAGCAAAAAGAAAGCCTTTGAATCCACTAAAAAATATCCGTTAGACTCAACAAACACATCTTTTTCCTCCTTTGTCGGTTCTTTAAATTTTCGGTAAACACGAAGAATGTACATATTCTAATTCAAGAGAATTAGACTCCAATTTAAAATTTAAATTCTCTCGTCTCATTGTAATAACAATGAATAGACAATCCACCTTTTTTTCAACATTAGCTAGAAAGGTTAACTTCTCTGAATTCTTTTACTGGATATACTCCGATTCTATTATTCCAGTATATTTGTCCACAGAGAGCTCACGAAAATTTGAGAACGTATAAGAACTAAGATTGAATCAGACTGCACCTTGGTCAGAACGTTCTCGTGATTTATATACGTCTGTAGGGCCTGAAAACTTTAATTTAGTCACAGCAGGCTAGTTTCTACTTAAAGAAATGTCAAAGAATTCAGTTTTATCCTCAACAAAGAACTTAGCATGACCGTCATGACGCGATCGGAACACTCTCATCAGTAATTACACCTCAAAACACCTCGCTCCCTTGTTTTGGCCCTATTTTAGGAACCCTTGAAAAAGTTTTTAAGTCTTTCCTTTTGGGAAATCTACGGGAGAGTTAGAAATAAGCAATGATTATTTTGATTCGACATTTAACATAAGAAGAGAAACTCCGATAAGTTAAACCGTTCTCGTCGGGCCCTCAAGTTAGGAGGAATCTACTCAGGGGATTCTTTCAAGCATATTTTAGACATAACATTCTCGTTTTCTTTGCAAATATCTTCATGGGTTGGATTGTTATGTAAATTAACAGTTCGGGCCATAACCATTTCTGGATATCGGTTTCGAGCTTTGTGATTGGGTGAGATCAAAACCAAAACAAAGCAAATTTGGCCGAGAGGTGCTGGAAACAAGAAGAAGCTGATTTTTTTTTTTGTGGCGGCCATGTTGTAATGCGGTAGTAAGCTGAAACAAAATTCGCTAATTAGGACTTGACGTAAGATACCATTAAAAATATTCGTTTATTTCAAACATTCAACATGCATGTCCTCGACATTCTCGCATTCTGGAAGAGTAAAACGGATTCTTTCTAGCACAAATTCTTTGTAACGCTGTGGTCCTTTCACCAAGAGCGTCACAGGAATAAAAGCTCCTCCGCCAGCCTGTTTGTATCTGGAGAACTTCTGGGTAGAGCTTGGCCTCGATGTTACTGTCCGTTCTCCGTTGATTTCCCTATTTTGGGTTACAAGAAAACCAATTAAATAAGGTTGAACCAAATAACGCGCACTGATAACAATTGGGACGAGTGAGGTGTAAGATTGCAGAATCGGGACAATTTCATTTCTCTCCAGTATAGGTCGAGGAAAGACAATATCTTGCTTCTCTCCGATTTTTAAATAGACATTATCAATTTCAGTCCATCAAGCCTTTACGAAAAAGTAACAGTAAAGCAAGAAAACAGTAACTTACCCTTCAATTCCTGGTTATTTTGCCACATCGAAGCAAAGCATGCAGCTGTATGTTTAGAAAGTGCTGAACCATGCCGATCTGCTGCCCTTTGAAATCTCCTAAAGTGTATGTCTTTCTCTGCGATTTGCTGAAAATCTGGACTTCTCGTAGAGCCTCTGGAATGCGTTCCATTTCTCGTGGAAGAAGACAAGCCAGTGCATGCGAGTCATACGTGTTGTCGTCTTCACTTTGAATAACAAGCGGTGTTCCACGTGGAGCTTTGATATTGAAATTATGATACCTGGAAAATAAACGCCAATAAATACATGAGTGGGATAAAATAAAATCAAGTAGTCACAATCTATATTAAGACGAATACACATGATCGAATTCAATGCAAGAGAATCATACAAGGTATTTTGCGCGCTATTGATCGATTCGCGGGAGAATCTAGGTCTCAGAACACTACAAATTCGGTCCTACAGCTTTTAGTCAGCAATAATATGTCCTTTACAATTACCCTTTGATTTGAACACCCTGTATAGAAAGTTTGTTTAGGTAATCATTGCAAAATGTGAAAGCACGAGCGGTGTTTCTAAACGAGTTTCACAATTACAGACAAGTCCCTAGTGGTTTTAGACGAAAATTTCACTCTCATCAGTTCGTGTAGTTAAACTCCAACCTTTGTTTCCGGAATGCTGTAATAGAGACACTTCGGCAAGGCTTTCCACCAATGTGATTTCTTTATTTTCATCTTCATGCCGCTCTTATCGCACATTTCCCGGATACGATACCTGAAGATGTGATACTTCTTTGTTTTATGTTTGCCCGATGGAGAACTTACTCGCTGAATAATCACATTTATGTGTTAGATCCGTGGTTTCCTGAAATTATTTTTTAGTGTGCATTCGCCTTGGCTGAATGAATCTCTCTGATGTCAAGATCGACATTGATTCTAAATTTCATCCAGAGCTCCGATGTAAAAGATTCTTTGTTTGTAGCACTGACCGTGGCAGATTTGTGCCACAAAGACGACAAAGTGTCTCGAGATACTGAATGTGTTCATCCATGCTGTTGGCTTGATCTGAAATTCACAATGTAGGCTTATAAAGGTCCGATAAATAATTGTCCTTTTACTTTAAATTGGCCGGTCACAACGTATGGTTAAAATTTATGGTTTACACGATACTCCGATGGATCTGAACAAAGGAATCCGTCTGGTAGTTTGCACACTAACAGACTTTCAACATTAGTGCACTCGAGCAAAAACCTCGTGCACTCGATTGGAATTTTGACAAATTGGAAGCAAATTTATTCTAGTTTTTTAAAAGATTTTTTTTAGGAATCAAAACAAATGTTGCATACCTGAAAACCTCAACTAAAGAGAGGTTATTCCTCGATCGAGCCCTTCGCAACATGGACCTCCACCCGACTTTTCATCTAAATTTTTCCTTCTGGTCATCGCGACCACCATCAGTTCTTTGCTTGTTGTGTGTAATTGCTTGTCTTCTGTAATTTTGCAAGGTTTCATGGGATATGAGTAGGGAACTAAGTCGCTAGGGCTCGAATAAAGTAATGAGTGAGTTTCCTCGATGTCCCACTACGACATCCATGATGGTGACGTCATCAAGTATCCAGAAATGGTTATGGCCCGGACTGATTAAAATAGCTTTTCATAAATAAACCGTTTAAATAAAACTTAAGTTTCATTCAAGAGTAACTAATTAACAATAACTAATGCTTTCTAACCTGTTTTGGTGTGCGCTACGTTATTGACTTGATGCCTGTTTTTGCGTGCGGTACTTTTTATGTCTTGACGGTAAAGAATTATTTCAGTGGTTTGATGGTAAATTGCAAACTTGAAATGATACAGCGGATGCAATACATTGAAGTGTGTTCCTGTGATTGTTTTAAAATAAGCGATTTTCTTTCTGTCGCTGGAAGATGGAGGGCAGTAAATTACTTGTTGCCTTTCTACTGTCATTACCACTGAGTACTGACGCTTTGTTCGGCGCTAAACACTTCAATCGAGATGACAAACGAGGAAAACGTGCATATTTTGTCAGAGATCCTGCAAAGCGACTAAATTCTTCTATTCTTGATAGTTTTATGGTTTCCGAGCCTATGGGGTGTGTTTTTCGATGTATTGGTCACCAAGAATGTTATTCGGTAAATTTTGCTGCGGTTTCACATGACGGAAGGCATATGTGTGAGCTGTTGAACACGGAAAAGTTTCAAAACTCCAGAAATTTTCTTCATACTATCAGCTTTGACCATTATAATAAGAAGGTAAGTGCGAACGTACCCCACTTAACTAAGTCGATTGTGGCATCTACGGTTGTGTATATATATTTTTGCAAGCGTGAAAACATTCTTTCATCTTAATCTAAGGTAATACAAAAGTAGAAATTCATGTTCACTCATATCAATTTTGAAATAACTTCCGTAAGAGTTGATTATCATTTTTAATAATTGATTATTTTTCCTGGATAGTAACGGCAGCGGCAGGGTGTCGAAAAATTCGAAACTTAGGGAAAGAGGGCGCTGGCTTTGTTTCTTTACGACGGATGTATTTAGAGGAAAATATTGACGTAGACGGGGGTTAACTATCCGCTGATTTTGCACCACGTAATGTAGCCTATGTGTAGCTGTACCCTCCCCCCCCAAGGTGAAACGGAAGCAAGGGAACGTCCACTCAAACTTGACACTAATTGTGTTCCGTGACGTCACCCTTTTGCAAGAAAATATACCAGGACTTTTTATTGGTTAACTCCTTTTGCCGATTCCTTCGTTAATTCTGATTGGCTAGAGTTGGTAATTTATTTTCACACTAACGAACAAGATGGTGAACAAAATGCTTTCATGGTCAGCTTATCAGACAACAGCGACAAGTTTTGGGATAGAGACATTTCAAGATGAACCGAAGAAAGTCATAGATATGTTTTTCGAAGTTAACGATGTCTCAGTTTCGTTACCAACTGGCTATGGAAAATCTTCAATATATCAAGCAGCGCCGGTGGTCGATCGCCTCTCTTCTCCAGGAGAACCGTTTGCTCTATATTTACTACGTTAATGTAATTTGGCCAAGAGGATTCAGCGCCTCAGCTTTAATTTTAAATTAAAGCTAGTTGTTTCTTGCAGTGATTCTTTAGACTGAGAAAAGAGTCGCTCTTTCTTCACGCTTGCGGCATAACTATCTTTTAAAGAAAACTGTAAAAACCTTGAGATTCTGCAGCAAATGGTCCAAATTTGTCGATGATCGTGGTACTGTTTACAAATGCAGGCAGAAACCGTGTGGACGTTGAAATCTAGTTTCGTAAACGCGATGCTAATCGAACATGGCCTCTTTTTACTCTATACTAAAAATCATAATCTTTTCCTATATTCTTAAAGCAAAGAATATATTTGAACCCGGACGCTGAATTGCAAATTTGCCCGAAAAATGGAAAATGAATGCACTTCAATGTTGTTGTTTATCTCGATAACCTTCACGTTAACACGTGCCACCTGGCAAAAAAGTATTATTATTAAGTGACATTATTTTGCATAAATTAAAGTGATGTCACGGGACACTATCAGTGTCGTTTCACCTTGGGGGAGGGGGAGGGTACGGCTACAAGTAAGCTGCTCGTAATGTAAAGCAGCCAATAGAATTGCGCTAGAATTGATGGGTGGGTTATAGCTTGAAATGCCCCCCACCGGCCCAGCAATGCAGTTTATTTAGAAAATAAATAATTTAAAGCTCGGCCAAAGTAGATGACGTGATCTGCTCAAACTCACGCAGTAAAGGCCTGGCCAAACGCACGCAACATTTCAACGCAAAATCTGGCAGCATTGTTGGATTGTTTTGTGAGGTGATGTGAAGGAGCTGGCCAAACGCGTGCAACATCTTGCAACATCCAAAAATGCTGCAACCAAAATTTTACCATTTCCAAAAACCATGCAACACGTTGAAACATTTTGCTACAGGGTGGCCAAACGCGTGAAATACGTCTCACGCCACAATGTCCTAAGGCAAGAGTTTGGGCAGATCACGTCATTTACTTTGCTCTTATGGTGCTGTGTTATTTTAGGAAATATTTTTTTCTTGTGGAATAGAGCCCCTGCAGGAGCAATCCCTGTCTAGATGGAGCCCTATTCTGTCGACCAATTTACCAGCAAGACGATTATCAGTGTGTCTGCAAACCAGGTTTTACTGGACACTACTGTGAAACGGGTGAGTTATTACGCTGAGCTATATTTTTCATGTATCATTTTTTAGTGTTCTAATCTCTCCCCTCAAGACCTCTCACATGAAAGGATGAACAAACCAGCATAGATTCTTTAAGATCTACAAACCGCAACAAAACACGGTTGATTCATTGTTTTGATATTTACAACATTCATTGAAATACATGTAATTTACCCAAGAACTGATGACGTGTTTATAATGCTCTAAGCAAGGTGGCAGAATAGCTCAGTAATTTCCTTTCTCTTTTGAGCTTTTACTCGCTTTAGTTGTCCTTCTCATTCTTCATCATCCGGTAACTACCATAATTTCTCCATTAATTGCCCATCAAGTGCTCTCCAATCTTCCCGCGTGCATCCATAACTCGTTAAACACATACTAAGTACGAATCAATTCTTCAGTGAAAAGAGTTGATGGACAGAGAGGACAGCTGCCCGAGATTTCAATTGAAACCATCAATAATCTTTGATAAAACGAAAAAACTATGAAAGATGAATGGTGCAGATGCGTCCACTTTCAGTTTATGACATGGTGATCATTATTTTTAGTGAGAAGTTACCATCTCTGCCCTGACCGAACAAAACCCGTCGATACTCTTTTAACGCCCCTTGAAAGTGAAACTTTTACTTATAAAAGCATTTGCAGCATTTGCAACTGTAATGGGTATCCGGTCAATTCGCCACCACAACAAACACGCCACCACAAAACTCGCCACCACTGAAAGTCACCGATGGCGATTTGACTTTTTCGTTTTGTGTAGCCTGTTGTATGAAACTTACGTTAAATAAAAGCTAAGATGTATTCGTATATTGCGAAAAAGGAAGGGGATTCAGAAGTTATGTGTAGCCTCTCAATTATGGAACGTTAACCGTTCAATGAAATGAAAATTGTTTTTATCACGAAGATTATGATAAGTTTGCGTAAAATGAAACCAGATCGCTAGGGTGACTTTCGCCGGGTGCTATTCGCTAAGTGATTTCCGCCGATGTTTGTGAAATCGTATGAGACTGTGATGTAATCCTATATTTATGACTGCTAGATCACCCTAACCAGAAATTCATTCTTTTCCTATTCTTGCAGTTCATGTTTTGGACATTCATATTCGAAGCGAAGGTAACGACGATCCGGGAAAAGCATACCGTCGCAGCAAAGCCTACATTAAGGTGGATGGGATAGATTATTCTCTTCAAAAACGAGGATTTAACGTTGTTGTTGTGGATGGTGAAACAGGTAATTGATAGACTGTAGAACCGGAGTTACCTATTTATCATCATAGTTATTTTTTTCGACTTTTTCATTCGAGCCGAGGCAAGCCCAGGCATGCCGAAAATGAGTCACATGTATTGGAGAGGTTTGAGGTTTATTTCGAGACTTATAACATCGTTCGTTGCGAAGAAATTTGCATTTGCCTTCGCGTTCAATCACCTTAGAAATAGGAGAAAAAGACAACATGTGCTCTCCAAGTTTCGTGCTAGCCAGAAAAGGTTGAAATTTTCCTTTTGTCTCGTCCCTTTCAACCGCCATTTGAAACTAGCGCGAGCAGATTGCGAGTGTAAAAATAAAACAGGCAACATGGACAAGTGTCCCCTCACATCCACTCTAAGCTTGTGTGCACTTTATCATATAAAAAAAAAGTAAAGTCGCAGAATTTTACATTATAGTTTTTTGGAGTTAAGGAAAAACCTGAAAGATAGATGATAATATGGTGCACTAAATATTTTCATGTACAGGTGTCTTCCTCGAGGCAAGATCATTTGATACTTTTGCAGATAGCTCGAGCGGCAATCATTTGAGAGACTTCCTCAACAACCTGAGTGGCAAGTATGTTACAACTAATCAGTAACTATTTTTGTGGTAGAAGGAAATTCTTTTACACCCTACTCTTTTCTCACCATTGAAGCAAAGAAAAATTTTTGTGCGTGTGATGCAACAGATAATAGGGTTTTACTCTAATTTTCAACTGACATCATTTTGTGTCTTTGCTCTCAACACAGTAAAATCGTTTTGGTTGCTACTCAAGATTCAGCCTCCAAGTACATGTCACCTGCGATTGACGCTCTCAAGAGGCTGGGTGCTACCGATCCTCTTCAGGTAAACTACCGAGATTCCTTTGCTTTCGCTGGATACGCAGGAGTAAACAAACCACAATGGATTACACAAGAAAGAGCAGATAGATACCTAGGACCCAGTGAGATATTTCCGCAAATACCGCTGCCAATTAATCAATAGATCGGAACTACTCTTAGATGAGCAAGCAAACATGACGATTCAAGACTGTACGAATACTGTCATCCTCTCAAAAAAATCTGTGATATTTTGGGTACCATAGCAAATTTGCACTAACAGTTGCCATTCTAGCGACCTGCGTTTAGATGTAATGAAGCATTTAAGGGTACAGGAGACAGTCGAGGTCCCTTTTCTTCCTTTCACTTCCAATTAAGTATTACTATTTTAACAACAGTTCTCCAAAAACAGAATTGTCAAATATTGAAATGTACCTAAGTTAAAAGAGTGTGATTGGCTAATTACAACATGTCACTATAAATGACTCCCGAAGTGTTTTATGCGGCAAAACATCCTGGTCCTTGAATTTCAATGGCGTAAACATCTTCTGATTCCGGTTGCACGTGGAGATCTTTGTTATCTGTCTGCGTTTATAACTAGACTGTGAATAGAGAAAGAATAAAAGGGGTAGAGTCCTCAGGTGAAAATCAAAGATAAACCTGGTCGTTAGCACAATTGCAATTGCAAGAAATGCTGTTAAAGACTGGCTGCCTGTTCGGTGTGGAGTGCCGCAAGGGAGCCTTTTAGGTCCGCTTTTTTATAATGCCTTTGTGAATGATATCAATTACTCAAGTGGATCTCCCCCCCCCTCCCCCCCACGTTTATATGCTGATGACACAATGCAATATATAGCCCATGAAAGCCCCTGCACTCTTGAATCTACATTGAATCAAGCAAAGATAGATTAACGCTCTGATTTACTGCGAACCACCTGAAAGTAAACGCTGCCAAAACTCAGGCAATGACACTGGGGAAATCTCAGTACCCATACAATATTTTTATTGGTGACAGGTCCATCGAAAATGAACCAACTCTCAAGATTCTTGGCGTTACATTGGATCGGGATTTGTCTTTCAAGCCCCACGTTGCAATCATGCTGAAAAAGCGTATGCCAAGATAGCCGCACCACGGAGGATTAAGCGCTTAATTACTTCAGACGTCATGGTCATTATGCGATCAAGACACTACGAAATCTAGTTAATTCGGCTACCTATGACTTTTGCCTAGTAATGGCTGCTATGAACACGCTTGAGCAGACTTACCCTGCAATCGCTTATTCTATTTTGTAACGTTTTAAAGTAGATGGCCCTAATAATATCTCCCAATTTTTTCACCTTGGTTAACAAAATACAATTTACGAGGCAGGGGCTTAAATGTTGAGCAGCCTTCGTATAACAGCCTTGTCATGCACAACTCCTATTTTTCCATGATTGCCCACATGTGGAATCAGTTACCAGCTGTAACCAACTCCTCGACCACTTTAGCACAATTTCGTGTTCGCCTGAATAATGCTAATTTCACAGCATGCCAATGTATGAAATGTATATAATTTTATCTATTTTTACATACGCTTAGGCTAGTTAATATTTAAAGATACTTTATAATAATATAATATTTATATATATATAACTCGCATTTGATCTTGGTTTGTATTTTTAGTTCGTCGAACGTTTTTAACATGAGCCTCTGGCTCGGAAGATTGTGCAAGCACTTCCTACGTCTTCGACATTAAATAAACTATCCTATTCTATTCTATTCTATTCTAAAGAAAAAAGAAAATATTCTATTCTATTCTAAAGCAAAAAGAAAGCCTTTGAATCCACCGAAAAATATCCGTTAGACTCAACAAACACATCATTTTCTTTCTTTGTCGGTTTTTTTTTTATTTTCGGTAAACACGAAGAATGTACATGCTCTAACTCAAGAGAATTAAAACTGCAATTTAAATTCTCTCGTCTTATTGTAATAACAATGAAAAGACAATCCACCTTTTTTTTCGACATTAGCTAGAAAGGTTTACTTCTCTGAATTCTTTTACTGAATGTACCCTGAGTAAACCTAATCATAGAATAGTACTCTATCATTCCTGAATTTGGTTGTCCACAGAAAGCTCACGAAAATTTGAGAACGTATAAGAACTAGGTTGAATTAGACTGCACCTTGTTCAGAACTTTCTCGTGATTTATATACGTCTGTATGGTCTGAAAACTTTAATTTAGTCACAGCAGGTTAGTTTCGACTTAGAGAAATGTCAAAGAATTCAGTTTTATCCTTGACAAAGAACTTAGCATGATGTTTTGACGCGATCGGAACACTCTCATCAGTAATTACACCTCAAAACACCTCACTCCCTTGTTTTGGTCCTATTTTAGGAACTCTGGAGAAAGTTTTTAAGTCTTTCGTTTTGGGAAATCTCCGCGGGACTTAAAAATAAGAAATGATTATTTTGACTCCACATTTCACCCCCCAAGAAAAGGATCTCCGATAAGTCGAACCATTCTCGTCGGGCCTTCAAGTTTTGAAGAATCTACTCAAGGGACTCTTTCAAGCATATTTTAGACATAACATTCTCGTTTTCTTTGCAATTATCTTCATGGGTTGGTTTGTTATGTAAATTAATATAGCTTCTCATAAATAAACCGTTTAAATAAAACTTAAGTTTCATTCAAGAGTAACTAATTAACAATGACTAATGCTTTCTAACCTGTTTTGGTGTGCGGTGCGTTATTGATTTGATGCCCGTTTTTGCGTGCGGTACTTTTTATGTTTTAACGGCAAAGAATTATTTCAGTGGTTTGATGGTAAATTGCAAATTTGAAATGGTACAGCGGATGCATTACATTGAAAGTGTGTTCCTGTGATTGTTTCGTTTAAGCGATTTTCTTTCTGTCGCTGGAAGATGGAGGGCAGTAAATTACTTGCTTCCTATCTACTGTCATTACTACTGTGTACTGACGCTTCGTTCGGCGCTAAACACTTTAATCGTGATGACAAACGAAGAGAACGACACGCATATTTTGTAAGGAATCCTTCAAAGCGACTAAATTCATCTATTCTGGATAGTTTTATGGTCTCCGAGCCTATGAGGTGTTTTTTTCGATGTATTAGTCACCAAGAATGTTATTCAGTAAATTTCGCTTCGGTTTCACATGATGGAAGACATATGTGTGAGCTGTTGAACGCGGACAAGTTTCAAAACTCCAGCAATTTCCTTCATAGTATCAGCTTTGACCATTATAATAAGAAGGTAAGTGCGAACGTATCCCGTTTAACAAATTTGATTGTGGCATTTGTGTTGTGTGTATATGTTTTGCACGCGTGAAAACATTCTTTCATCTTAATCTAAGGCAGTACAAAAGCAGAAGTTCATGTTCACTCATATCAATTTTGATATAACTTCCGTGAAGAGTAGATTATCATTTTTAATATTTGATTATTTTTTTCTTGATACTAACGAAAGCGGCAGGGCGTCGAAAAAACGGAAATTTAGGGAAAGAGGGCTCTGGCTTTGTTTCTTCACAACGGAAGTATTTAGAGGAAAATATTGTCGTAGACGGGGGTTATTGCGTGCTAACTATCTTGTGATTTTGCACCACGTAATTTAGCTTACGTGTAGCCGTTACCTCTTCCCGAAGGCGAAACAGAAGTGAGGGAACGTCTTCCCAAATCTGACACTAATCATGTTCCGTGACGTCACTCTTTTGCAAGCAAATATACAACGGCCTTTTATTGGTTAACCCCTGTTGCCGACCCCTTCGTCAATTCTGATTGGCTAGAGTTTGTGATTCATTTTCAAACTAACGAATAAGGTGGTGAACAAAGTGCTTTCATGGTCAACTTATCAGAAAACAGCGTTTGACAACGAGGTTTTAGGCAAGTTTGCGCAACTCTTGGGACAGAGACATTTCAAGAAGAACGGAAGAAAGCCATATATATGTTTTTCGAAGTTAACGGTCTCCATCTCGTTAACGACTGGCTATGGAAAATCTTCAATATATCAAGCAGCGCCAGTGATCGATGGACTCCCTTCTCCAGAAGAGCCGTTAACTATATTTATTGTGCCGCCCGTTAAAGCTCTCACAGAAGATAAGGTGCACTCTCTTAATGTACTTGGGCCAAGAGGATTGTGCGCCTCAGCCTTAACTTTAAATTAAAGCAGTTGTTTCTTGCAGCTATTCTTTCGACTGAGAAAAGAGTGGCTCTTTCTTCACGCTTGCAGCGTAACTATCTTTTAAAGAAATCTAAAAAAACCTTGAGAATTTGCAGCAAATGATCCAAATTTTTTGACGACCGTGGCACTCTTTACAAATACAAGCAGAAACCGCGTGGACGTTGAAATCTAGTTTCGTAAGCGAGATGCTAATCGAACATCGTCCTCCTCTTACTCTATACCAAAAATCGCTCATAATCTTTTCCTATATTCTTAAAGCAAAGTATATATTTGAACTCGGACGCTGAATTGCAAATTTGCCCGAAAAATGGAAAATGAATTCACTTCAATGTTGTTGTAAATCTCGATAACTTTCACACTAACACGTGTCACCTCACAAAAAAAGTGACATTATTTTGCATAAGTTAAAGTGATGTCACGGGACACGATCAGTGTCAGGTTCAAGGCGTAAACGTTCCCTCGCTTCCGTTTCACCATAGGGGAAGGGTACGGCTACAAGTAAGTTACTCGTAATGTAAAGCAGCCAATCATGATCGCGCGAGAATTGATGGGTGGGTTATAGCTTGAAATACCCCCACGCCGACCCAGCACTACAGTTTATTTTGGAAATAATTAATTTAAGGCCCGGCCAAAGTAGATGACATGATCTGCTCAAACTCACGCGTAAAGGCCTGGCCAAACGCACACAACATTTCAACGCAAAATCTGGCAACATCGTTGGATTGTGTTGTGAGGTGATGTGAAGGAGCTCTCCAAACGTGCGCAACATCTTGCAACATTTAAAAATGCTGCAACCAAAATTTTACCATTTTCAAAATTTATCCAAAACCATCCAACACGCTGCAACATTTTGCTACAGGGTGTAGATGTACATGTCCCAAGGTGTTGCGTTGAAATGTTGCGTGCGTTTGGCCACGCCTTGACAGAGCGAGTTTGGGCAGATCACGTCATCATCTATGTTCTTATTGGGGCTGTGTTATTTTAAGAAATATTTTTTTGTCTTGTGGAATAGAGCCCCTGCATGAGCAATCCCTGCCTAGATGGAGCCTTATTCTGTCGACCAATTTACCAGCAGGACGATTATCAGTGTGTCTGCAAACCAGCTTTTACTGGACACTACTGTGAAACGGGTCAGTTATTACACTGAGCTGTATTTTTCATGTATCAGCTTTTACTCGCTACTGGTTATCCCTCTCATTAATTGCCCAATAAAGATTTAATATTATCACAACATATCGCGGGCGCAGTCCCATCTAATCCTTAGGGAGCTACTCTGGCACGCTTCTCTCGTTCTCTCCAGTACTCGTTACACGCACACTGAGTATGAATCAATTCGGTCAGTTAACAGAGTTGATAGACGGCCGCCCGAGATTTACACTTGAAACCGTCAATGACCTTTGATGAAACAAAAACTAGGAGAGATTATTGGTGCAGATGCGTCCACTTTCTGTTTATGACATAGTGACTGTGATCCTTATTTTTTGGTAAGGAGTTAATAATCGACCCTCTCTGCCCTGACCGTACAAAAACCGTTATTACTCTTTTATCGCCCCTTGAAAGTGAAACTTTTTATTAATGAGAAGCATTTGGGTATCCGGTCAATTTGACACCACAAATTTCGCCACCTCTGAGAGTCAAATCGCCAAGGGTGGCGATTTGACTTTTTCGTTATGAGTAGCCTGTCGTATGAAACTTATATTAAATGAAAGCTAGGATGTAGTAGAATATTGCAAAAAAGGAAAGGGACTCAGAACTTATGTGCAGCCTCTCAATTATGGCTCGTTAACCGTTAAATGAAATGAGAATTTTTTTATATCACGAAGATTATATGATAAGTTTGCATAAAGTGAAACCAGAGTTATTTTCGCCGAGTGCTTTTCGCTGAGTAATTTCCGCCGAGTGCTATTCGCCAATTGATTTCCGCCGATGTTTGTGAACTCGTATGAAATTGTACTGTAATCCTATATTTATGACTGCTAGATCACCCTAACCTGAAATTCATGCTTTTTCTATTCTTGCAGCTCGTGTTTTGGACATTCGTATTCGAAGCGAAGGTTGCGATGATCCAGGAAGAGCATCCCCCTGCGGCAAAGCTTACATTGAGGTGGATGGGACAGATTACTCTCCTCAAGGAAGAGGATATAACGTTGTTGTTGTGGATGGTGAAACAGGTAATCGATAGACTGCAGAACTGGAGTTGCCTATTTGTCATCATAGGTTTTTTTTCGGCGTTTGTCCATCGAGCAGAGGCAAGCCCTAGGCATGTCGAGAATGGGCTCACATGACATAGAGAGGTTTATCTAGAGGCAGGAGAGAACAAACGTACAATATTCGTTAAGAGGACATTTGCATTTGTCTCTGTTTTTACTCACCTTAGAAACGGGAAAAAAAGACAACGTGTGTTCTCCAAGTTTCGTGCTAGCCAGAAAATGCAAAGAAAAATTTTGGTCTCGTCCCTTACAAACGCCTTTCGAAACTAGCGCGAGCGGATTACGAGCGTAAACATAAAACAGACAACATGGACAAGTGTCGTCCCCCACTCCAACTTCAAGCTGATGTCCACTTTGTCATAAAACATGTAAATTCGCAGAACTTTTCATAATACTTCCTCGGTTTAAAGAAAAACCTGAAAGGTAGATCATAAGATGATGCTCTAAATATTTTCATGTACAGGTGTCTTCCTTGAGGCAAGATCATTTGATACTTATGCAGATAGTTCGAGCGGCTATCATTTGAGAGACTTCCTCAACAACCTAAGTGGCAAGTATGTCACAACTAATTAGTAACTATTGTTGTACGTACAATACTTTAAGTACTTTTGGTAGACAATAAATACTCCTGACTTGATGATAATGCTTCCTTCACCGTCCATCTCGATTATCCTGCTTGACGCTCTTTTCTACATTGTCTTTTACACGCCACTCCTTTCTCGCCATTGAAGCAAAGAAAGAGAAAGAAGCGTCTGCTCTCGGAGGCTACCTTACCAATTTACTATGTATAATCATATCTCTTTCAGGAACCCGTCAACGGGAGCCGCTATCTCCACTGATTCTTTGAGTCAACACTTTCCCTGAGTGAAAATATTTTTAGAACCACAGCTTTTCCCCGCAAAAAGGATTATATTCCGTCGGAACAACCGCGAATCGCAAAATATGGTTTCACCGCCCAATGCAAATGAGCAGATGATTTTATCGCAGAACGCAAAAATTGCGCTTGGAGCCTTTCTTTCAGTAGCTAGATATACTCGGGAAAGGGTTGACTCCAAGGCTTAGTATGAGAGATAACTAGGTAGAGAGATGGAAGGCTTAGTATGAGAGATAATTAGGTAGAGAGATGGAAGGCTTAGTATGAGAGATGATTAGGTAGAGAGATGGAAGGCTTAGTATGAGAGATAATTAGGTAGAGAGATAGAAGGCTTAGTATGAGACTCTTACTGTGGGAGAAGGGTTTTGTTGTAAAAAGACATACACATGCATAAATTTTCCCAGATGGCTGAATGTTATGATATACAGGCATGTTTGCTAGTTTTTTGTTTGTGTGTTGGCAACAGATAAGGGGGTTTTTTACTCTAATTTTTTAACTGATCTCACCCCTTTGCATTTTGTGTCTTTGCTCTCGACACAGTAAAATCGTTTTGGTTGCTACTCAAGATTCAGCCTCCAAGCACATGTCACCTGCAATTGAAGCTCTCAAGAGACTGGGTGCTACCGATCCTCTTCAGGGAAACCACCGAGATTCCTTTGCTTTCGCTGGATACGCAGGAGTTAACAAACCACAATGGATCACACAAAAAAGAGCAGATAGATACCTAGGACCCAGTGAGATATTTCCGCAAATACCGCTGTCAGGACTAATTTAA